TGTGAGAAATGATTTGTGAAACTAATATCGAATAATTGTTGTTTGGATCTTACCTTCTTTTTCCGAAAGTGCTCCGCTAGTTTATGTTGCAGTTGCAAGTTCATAGCGTTAACTTGATCTCGTTCTGTAAAAGCCATCTGTAAATGACGAAATGGTTACTAAGAGAAACTCTAATTGATAGTTTAATTAAATTATTAGATTTTATAAGCAGATTCTGTTTGCTTTTTTTTGGGCACAATTATTCAGCAAAACATGTACGTGTATAGTTAATTCGATCAGAAAGCATTACCTGATACCGTTCTAGAAGGAAAGCTCGATCAAATTTTGGAACTTCAAATTCTTCTATCTCTTCTTTACTGGTATTATATTCATCTTCGTCGTCACTTTCTTCCCCTTCCATAATGTCTGATTAATTAAACAGTAAGTTTTTCTTAATCGATAATTACCGAAGCAATTAATTTTATCTAAGTTTAGTGAATATATATTAACGCTTATAGAAACATTTCCATTTAAAATTAATATAAACAGTTTACCATCATTAATGCTATGCATGTCTTGATCGTAATAATCAGAAGTAGGGGTTTGCCTAGCATCTAAATCTTCCACTAGCTCTCGTGGTTCTAGCTCTTCGGTAAAATCGGCTTCATCTAATTTCTCAGTTAACGGTAGCATTGCAGGACTATTGCGACCACTTTCGTTAGGCCTGTCTTCGTGTTGTTCCTAAGTATCATACACGACATTATTTATAAGAAGAATACAATTCATTTAGCCAAGATGTATAATCAAATTTGTTTCGTTACCTTTTCTTCGTCACCTTCATGCTGATTCTCGTTTTCTGCTGTATTTTCTTCATCTGCTTCATTATGTAACTCCTGATTTTGTTCAACATCATTAGAATCGGCAATAACATCTTTTGCATCATTTGGAGACTCTTCAGTCGTATCTTGATTATTATTATCATTATTACTATTTTCCGTGGCGACTGCACCTGTGTCGTCAGTATCTATTTACGATACATGAGGGTTAATTGTATATTTTGTGCAATCCTTTATTCTAGAATAGTATCAAACTATTAGTATATTTTGTTACAGTACCTTGTTGAGCTTTATCAGTATCTGAAGTCGGATCATGAACGGCTTCATCATTGGCATTTGGTGTGTCCTCTTTCACACCCTCTTCCACTTTCTCGACGTCAGCATTGTGAATGGATTGTTGACTTGCCGAACGCTCTTTAGAATTTTCTACCGTATTCTCATCCTCCTTCAATTCATCATTCTCTTCTGTTGGATCACTAGTTACTTGTTCGTGAGGTTCATTTTCGCTAGCTATCGGAGTAGTAGCCACCTCTACGTTACTTTCAGCGACAACTTCATTAGTATTGCTCTCTACTGGATGGATTTCTTGTTGTGATGATAATTCATTGTTATCGTTTTGAAGGGGACTATCTTCACCGGTTTCAGCATTCGTAGTATCAACATTTTTCTCTAATGGTGTATCTGTCTCTTGTGGTGAGTTGTTGTCCATGTCATCCTAAAAATGAATATCCTATTTATCGCACTTTATAACATCCACCTCTATACCTCTTATTTATACCATTAACAGAAACAGAAACAGAAATAATCAATCATAAGGAAAGGTATCTTGAAATAGTGTCATTGTTGTAATGATAATGTACGTCCATCTCTAAAATTAAGTCAATATATTGAAATTAAGAATTTAGAGTTATTATAATGATTGAGCAGTCTAGTCTGTTTTGGTATTGGAAACGATATAAATGATTAGTCATGATCTTTTCCTTCACTGAATTTCATGATTATAAATCCAATCTACATATCCATCCTGATAACACTATGTTGGAACTCTTCGTAAGATAATGCTGTTTTATCCAATTTTAGCAGATAAATCGATAATATATAATGATGATGATCTATTTTACCTGTTCAACGTTGGTCGACATCTTTATTTGGATGGAGTGAATTTGATCTAAAAGACGATTGGTGTTTGCTTGTCCCTATAGCAACTACTGGACCTCAATTGATTCGTGCATGCGCACTTGGGTCATGGTGGATCTTCATCGCTTCATCAATTGATTGTTTACCACGACTGCGTATTCAGTGCCAGCTTCTGATCGTCTCATGACGTCATGCCCATTCAATGGAGGAAAAAAATAAATAATTATATAAATAAATATTAATGAGAAAGTTGCGGTATTTTAGTTCAATTTCTACAGCAAGTTTGTTTTATTTTTATTGACGGTACTGTATAGTCAGACTACACGATGGGACTCTTCACTTTTTACTGTACCCTCCTTACTTATCCAGCACAGGTAGTACTAGCAGCGATTACTTGTACCAAAGATATCTTGGGCAAATGTGTCGGAAGAAGTTGGTTTTGTCAATGTTTGTATCTTTGTCTCGACAGTAGAATCATATAATGATCAGGAGATATTAGCTAATAAGGCCGCACATTCCTTGGCATTGGACAGGTTACTTCTGCTTCCTACAGTAAGCCTAATGTACACTATTATTGTACAGTCGTTGCCCGTCCCTCTCTTTCTTGTTTACCCCTCTGGTTGTGAATGGGAATGTATAAAGGAAGAGAGAGTTCTCAAAATCGTGCACCATTGCACTGCCATCCGCTGTTATTGATAGCAGTCTAGTACAATTTGACGCGAGCAATTTACCGCTGTAAATAAAGTAGTATAGGATGGAAATAATATCAATACAGATTTGAAATTACCAGGGTGAATTGAATACTTAGCAGCGTTCAATCCTGTACATCATAAAATTAATGTAATGCAGTAAAGTATCTGTTTCGATATTACGAGGGTAGATTCGCTATTCATATTTTACAGCGTATAATTGATTCAACGCGATAAATTAACCGGTTTCGTGTTAACAGCGTCTCTGTGAAGTAGACTGAGTAGAGTGACTACAACGGGAATGATACAGTAGTTAAAGAATGAGGACACATTGGATGTCAGTGACTACTTAAAAAGAAAGAGACTGGAAAGGAAACGGTCATTTACTCCGCTTAAAATGTGACCGATTATTTTAGTGATCATTTCAACTGTATCGCATGTCTACAACGACATATACTGTCCGCAATGGACATCGAAATTCATGTCGCTGCTATTCGCTTGCTACGTCGATTTTGAGCAGTCGACTGTGTGCAGCATGATACAGTCGTTTTCATCGACCAATATGATAGCAATACTCAACAGTAAAAGCATTTCTCTTCCATCTGCCTGTATTGCGGCTATGGCCAAAGCTAAAACTACGACTACCCTAGTACGCTGTGCCAGAGACAAGGACTACTTTATACTGATCTGTCTGTATGGCATTGGAGGCAAATTTAAAGCACATTTCTTCAAAATTGAAAGACATCATTTATTAAGGCAACACTGATATCTTTCAAGCACTTAAAGGGCACGCCACGCCCCTTTAATTGTGGTCTTATCAACTTGAGTGACATCGTCACATCTCCCGCTGTCATGACGTAACTTCGTCAAGCTTTTTGACTGGCTGTTACCATCACCAGTACCAGCATAGGGTCAAATCGAGCGCGCTTGGGCTCGACAGCAAGAGTTTCATCCTTTTACGGAGCAGCCGCAGTGATCATTGACCTTAGGCTAAAAAGCGCGCCAGCTTGAGGCAGCCGGCAGCAGAAAAGTTGATATATAGCTAGAAAATATGTATTCAATTAATAAAAGTAAAGAGAAAGAGTTCTATGTTGAAGGATACCTGGAAGACAACGATGAACTAGATAGATTTACATTACTACTAGTATCCGTGATAGGACTGTAGATACCGAGCACAGACATGGACTACTCAATCCTACCGGTAACATTGAGTAGTCCTTGCCACATACTGTACAGACTCAGCACGTAAAAGAAAGAAAAGAAAGAGAGGTCGTTGACTATCCTGGTGTAAAAATGGGGAGGCCAATTATTTTATTGGTCATTTCAACTGTATCGCATATCTGTAACGACATACCACCCTATCTGCGATTGACATCTGAATTAGCTGCTAAATCTGTTTTTTACAGCATGATACACGCTTTCATTAATGTCGTGTAATAGAACGATGGGGAAAAGGAAGCGCCTCCACATTTATTTTGCACTGGTAGCCACTTTGCGTCCGTCTTTCTTTCCTTCCTTTCTTTTTAAGCAATTGGCGCTTGATATTTTATTACTTTTTAAGGCAGTATGGAATAATTCGAATTCTTTCAAGTTTCTTATACAAACTATCAGTCGCTGCTGCATGTACGGTGGCTCCAAGGCCATTTTACAAGTAACCACGTGATGCCAGTCTTATCTAGACGATTGAGCTGATCATGTGACTGATAATAATAGGGATAGATAAGGTAAAGTGCGGCAAATACGAATATTGATCCACGACAACGTTTAATAGCAAGTTGCCATAGGCAGTTTTCCCTACCATTCGGGAGGCTTGTAGCAAAGTTCAAGGCAGAATAGTGTAAGCAAATTGCCAATGCTTGGTTGTAGTATCGATGGATTATACAGTAGTTCTTCTAGCTGATTGATCTTCTGATTTTGCTGTAGATAGGAGATTGGGTATAGCCTGCAATAGTGACCGGCGGTGTATGACTTGACTTGGAGAAGAACCATACGACGGATAAAGATATCAACAGGTAGAAGATGATGAGCTGCCATAGCCCTACCATTTCAAATGGATATATGCCAATCTTTCCACAAAGCCCTTCGGGAAGAATTCAAGTAAGTCTGTAGATACGTTATGTACGTGAATAGCCACAGGAGGACAGTCAAAGTGGAACTAACTTAAACTCTTCAAGGATGGGTGGGACAACGATGTAGCTACTGTCTCCATTGTATGATGATGCCCTGTTTTACTTTTGTACTCAAATATAGTCTAGTTGTCTTGATCACAAGCTGCATAGATGCGTATAAGTTATGAATTAAAATCTCCCAAATCTTATGACATCACTGTTTGACTCTGATATTTTTCTCTTAAATCTAGTTAATACTTGGCCCGATGTTCTCCGGAAAAACGTAAGTCTAATAATGATGATTGAAAGATGTGCTGCGTAGTGTTGACATTCTTGCATGAAATGATGACATCGATGCTGTGCTCACTGAATATTGTTATGACCATATCTGTTATATATACAGTATATATATAATATATATAAAAGTTCTTATTTTATATATATATATACGAATATTTGATAATTTCAGCCACGATGCAATCGCTCAATTCAATAGTTTTATAGTGAGAGATATTAATTTTTTTTCCATTATAATTATAATTATTCAAGCTGCTCAATACATCCATTACGGGCTTTGCTAGGGTTTTACTGGTTCTACTGTTTTGTACATGGAATAATTATACTATATTCAATAGTCTTCATCGTAATAGACTGTTTATTTGAATATCGTACCTGATATTATTATTTTTTTACTTTAAATCGTTACAATATTAAGTATACTACTACCTAGACAGCACGATTTGAGCTTCTAAACCACGATAATGCAATCGAATTCTATTCGCGCGTTATTTTCATATCAAATTTAATTCAGCAATTAGCGTAATATACGGCTTGGCATCTTTGACACAATGCATTGTTTAAAATTTTATAAATTGCATTACAATAGCTAGCTCAGTTGTAACCCTATTACTATAAATGAGTAAAGGTCGAACTTTGATTGTTCTATGTTGGCTAATTCATTGTTTACTTATACGTACTTATACTGATGTACACGATGGCTAGTTTACTTCAATTGATATTAAAGTTGTAGTAGAAGGCCCGACATGAGTATAGAGCGTTTCTACTGTATACTGTCTACAGGTTACGGATTAAATTGGATGGAATTGCAGCTAATGCAATTGCAGTCATTACAGTAAAACGTTTGGACTCGACTTCTGTAAATATTGACGTCATAATAATGCGGGAGGGTACTGTTCTAATTATTGTTGTAGGCTACTAATAAAATCACTGAATACAATAAAACTTCACTACCCCTCTCCGTGCTAATCTTTGGCAGTCCAGTAATGGCCTAGAAAAGAAATTCGTAGAAATTTATTGTAGTTTATGCCTCTCCTGCAATATTGAACCACATCTATGCTGCAGTTTAATTCTGTTTATTAGCAAACGCTAAATGGATACATTGGTGTCGGTTATATTTCGCGATTATGTTATTTATGTGTTGCTAACATGACTATTGTTTATTCTAACATTGGCATTGATGTAAATTCCTCTTTTTTTAATATTCTATTTGGATAATGTAGGACAGAATTGATGCGCCGTGTCAGAAGATTACAGGTTTGAAATTTGAAGTTTATAGTGCATTGTATCTTTAGCGTCGATTCTAGCATAAATCTAGTTTTATATGTTTCGTCTTACTGTCACTAAAATATTGTTACTTGTTGTGTCTATTGTGGTATTCGGGTCAATTTCTTATAATATTTGCTAACCCAACTCCTCTAGATTGGCAACCAATCTTGTGTAATCATTAAGTATGCAAATGATAACAGATACGACAAGGATGGCGTAGCAACGCATGATCTGTAAGTATTTATAGTACAATTATGATTAGTATTCAATAGTGAAGACACACTCATAGACGAGTATTTGCTAATGCTTACTTGAATTTCTTCAGTACTATTGATGAATTCAAGTTATTCAGATCTGAAAATATCTTACGTAATATATTCTTGTTAGATATTTAGTTACGGGAATCATAGAATAGAAGTAGTTTTAGGCTATGTTAAATTCACTTTGTGAAACATTACAGAGTCGTGTATGTATTTCATTCATGATTAACGTATTGGCTACAATTTATTTTGACAAGTAACGATTTAAAATTGAACATGTATACTTCAAATTTCATTCACCATATGAACTACATTTTTAATAGAGTAACAATATAACAATATTTTCTTAGGCAAATTGCAAAAGCGATTTCGTCTAATGATTTATTTAGCATCGAATCTCAAGCAGAAAGCTACGGTGTAATTGGTATTGATGAAGGCCAATTTGTAAGTTTCATGCAATATCTTAGTGTATCAATCAATGCCAACACTTCGATCGACTATAAACGATTATTTGTGTTACATTACAGTTTCCGGATGTGGTGCCATTCGCTGAGCACATGGCTAATAAGGGTAAATTAGTTATTGTTGCTGCATTGGATGGAACATTTCAAAGGAAGGTATTACACCCATATTTAGATATCATCACGGATATTATAGCTACATTATAATTAAGGTGTTGTCCATTAGATCTTATTCTTTGTGTAATTTAATTTTATTTTTGTTATTCATCAATTGCAAATAGGGATTTGGAGATTTTCTAAATTTGATTCCCTTAGCTGAAGATGTTATGAAACTAAGTGCTGTATGCATGCTTTGCTATTCGGAGGGAGCTTTTACGAAGCGTTTAAGTAGTGAACAAACGGTACAGTGACTAAAATTATCAAATTTGACAACTTTTAGTGCATTCTTGATTTGTAAATTGCTATTTAGTTAAGTAACTTTAGTTTGCGTATGTTTGTGCTAATGTATTATTCTTACAACATTTCGTGAATAATGCTATGTATGCAGGTGGAAGTCATTGGGGGAACTGATAAATATATGGCGGTATGTAGAAACTGTTACAAGAAGCCCATCAAAGAACTTCACTTACAGGAAACTCCTACAAAGGCTACAAACCTTGGCAGGAAGTTGATCTTGGACGAAGAAGTGACTGCAAGCTCTTAATCTAAGCAGCGCGCATAGGTTCCAGAGCGAAAATTAAGACGTGAGAAGGACACGAGTAAATTTATTATACCCATTTTTGACATACTACTAGATGCAATCATGTTGTTTTACGCGACTTATTTACATCCTGTTTTTAATTCTTTGCACACTTGAAATATGCGTAGTTTACCGATGTTTGTGCAGAGATCCTGTATCTGTTACTTATTGTTTAATTTTCTAGATACAGTATTAGATTTTTACGAAATTACCTCATGAAATTACTAATATTGTATTCATTTTTGCTACCATATTTATGGTAATAATACTTCATGTAGAATAATCTAATCTATCCATTCATTAATTTTTTTTCAAGTAATTTAATTAGCGATGATATTTAGTAAAAGCGCATTTATTTTATTAACTTTTACTTGTTTCTACTGTATTAGCCACGCAAATTGTTGTAAACAAATGATCAATTAATAACACTAGAAATGAAATTGTATAGTAACTGCAATAATGTTACTAGGGGTAATTGATGTAGTTGGGCTTCCAATAAGATGGACTCATACTATCTTAGCATTTTACGTACTTCAATATTACTTAGAGGTATTTACAGTTGAAAGTAAAACTTTAAAACACTCCATTTTTCAGACACATTTAAATTTTTCTAAACATTCTTCATAATGTGAATGAAATGATTGTGCTATAGCTTTGAATGGCTCCTCTATATTTAGATTTTCTTTCTGTTTAGTGTAAAAAATTAGACGAGTTTAATGTTAGTTAATTCTTTAAAGCTGGGAACTTAATTAATCGACCATATCATACCGCAGAACATTCAAAGTATTCCAAATTATGTTTCTTAGCAAACTCGCTGCCGGCGTTAGTATCCACATCGCGACGTCCTTTCAAATCAATCTTGTTAGCAACAACCGCGCCTAAGAAATTATAACATATTAATTAAGGCAAATAAATAGTTTTTCAAAGTTTCTGAAAGTTCAAACTACAAAATTGAATAAGTATATTTGATTTCTGAAGAAATAATTCAATATATTACCCATTAAATGATTATTGTACGATTTATCTTTTATCCTTTCCAACCACTTTTCACAATTTATAAGTGATTGAGGATTGGTGACATCAAATACGAGGAGAAAAACATCTATTCCATCCCACTATAAGTATATAGAAGATTAATATAGTCTCAGTTTTAAATAATGTTAATCATTTTGAAAAACATTTATGATCGAAATTTTCTATACGAAAAATTTAGATAGATATAGCAATTCTTACATTAGATATTACATGGTCCGAAAACATTTCTTTGCCACCGGAGTCGTAAATATATAATTCCTTTAATATTATGAATAAATGAGTAAATGAAAGAAATACTTGTGTTACAGAAAGGACTAATAAGCGATACTAGAAGATAACATTGTTCAGTGTTATAGAGTTAGTACTGTATTGATTTTACTCACAACAGTTGCTTTTGTATTTGGTACGGTAATGCTCTTGACAATCAGCTCAATACCAGTTGTCTGTAGAATAAGAACAGCAATTAAGTAAATTTACAAAGATTAGGTATCTTATTTCGTAGAGATTAAGCCAAAAGATGTATTTACAATATGAAAATGTACGACTGTATGCTTGTTTGTAACAGAAAATGCTTGATTTAGAAACTAATTGCAAATTATCATACGTGTATATCATTATCTATGGAAATTAGTATTTACTGTAGGTTACGTACCATTAAATAATTTTTAGGATAATGAGTTCCATCGCTGTGGAATACTTGTGTTAGAGCACTTTTACCGACGGTGTCATCACCTATTAAGAAATTATTATTCAATTTTAGATCCTTCTCTTATTTGATAATTTCATTTCGCGAAATGGTAGAGCAAAGTGGAATCGTTGATTGTAAAATACATTCGAGAGAAATTTTCTGCTTATAACTTCAGTGTCATAAACCATCCGAATAAAGAAGCGCCGTAGGTTTCGTTTATGCATTTTGAAATTGACACTGAAGAAGTTTGTTTCCATAACTTTGTATCACTCGTAGAACTCAAATATTGAAAAAAAAGGACTACGTATTCATGATCATTATCAGGAAGCCAAGCTGACTACTGTAATATGTAAAATAAGTTTTCAGTTTATAACGAATATCAGTGACGGATCGAGCATCCACATGGAATAATTGACACTCACCAATGCGATCAATTAGGCCAAGGAAAAATAAGATGGTGCACCCGCAATCATTATTTTATTGCTACGTATACTGTACGACACAATATTTCAACTTGAAGAAAAACAACGTTACTTTTTCTTAGCTTCAATTAGCGTGCATCTAGTCATAAGCTAAAACTGTGCAATAAACTATGGTCGATATATAGCCTCTTTATAACCTCTTAAGAGCGTGTAAGAATACTAACGGATCATTTTATCATATTTCTTTCAGGTTCAGATCATTTAACTTTTCTGTTGTGCAAGAAATAGGACGTCAATTTTTGGATGAGCATGATGATGATACACTAGTAACGACTTGTTTCGATTAGACCGTATCCAACTTGAACACTTCAACGAAGCGGTCAAAACCGAAGCAACGAAGGTAGATCATAATTCTAGAAATTAATTCACTCGCTTTAACCGTTCTACCATTTATTTTTACTTCATCATACAATTATGAAGTAGAATTGAGTACAGAGTAAAAAAAGATAAAGTACCTGCAATGATACATTTTGCCCGTAAGAGAGTCATCTTATCTCCATGGAAATCCCGTTTAATGAAAGAAAATGACTGCGCAAGTTCGCATTAAGAGCTACGTCTACTGTGCCGTATAGTACTGTACAGTATAATACTGTAGAGCAGTACAGTACAGTGTACTGTAGACTGCCATATGAACTGGTACTGTACAGTGTACAGTACAGTATATGCGTGGCAGTTGGGACAGACAGACAGATAGGTAGAAAAGTCCTCCGCTCCGAATGTTTCGAGCAGACAAAGAGATGAGCAGTAAAGTCCTCCGTTCTTGCAAATTAGTTTACTATGGAATTTAACACCAACTACAAGCAATCTGGACTGCTATGTACAAAGCAATGAAAACATAGAGATAGGAAGAAGAACCAGACTTAGATCAGGGGCTACTAAAGAAGGAATGCTATGCCACTTGGAGATTTCTCTACGACTAACGTAATAACGTATTAGTTTTTAGAAGTCGCTGGTGCTACTACAGTACGGTGCAGTACTGACAATTCGAAAAGGCGAAGATTCGTTCAGTACCTGCACGTTAAGCCCAACCATTTGAATCAATATTTTTTGTACACCTAGCTGAAACTGTCCTACTGGTACGTTATGCCGTTAAGAGCATATCTAAAGAAAGAAAAAAATATGTAAATACGTTCATTTTTTTACCAGACATGTTCTTAAGGGTATAACGCTCCAGTAGGACAGTTTCAGCTAGTTGTAGCAAAAATATTAATTCAAATGACGCAGATTTGCTATGTTTTTAAATAATCGACCATTGAAATCAATCTTGATAGAGGCTTACTGTACTATAGATTGTACAGGCATCCTACGCCATAATCCGTCGTAAGTTTTGAAGGGAGAGAAGGAACACTGTACCGCTGCTTGCATATTACTAATATTTGGAAAATGCTAAGATTAGAGCAGTACCCACACTCCTACAGTACGACACGGATTAGCCATGTTAAACGATCGATCATTGAAATCAATCTTACAGAGGCTTCCTGTACTGTAGATTGTGTAGACATAGTACGTATAATCCGCCATCGGCGGGTATAAAATGCCGGAAGTTTTTAAGGAAGAGAATGTACTGTAGATTGTGCGGACATCCTACGGCATAATCCGCCGTCGAGGGTATAAGCCGAGAGTTTTTAAGGAAGTGAAGAAATACTGCGATACTACTTGCACAGTGCTGGCATTTGGCAAGTGTTAAGATTAGCGCCGTGTCGACAGTATGATGCAGATTAGTTATATTGAACCAGCGATCATTGAAATCAATCTTTAGAGAGGCTTACTGTATTGTAGATTGTGCAGGCACCCTACGATATAATCCGCCGTCGAGAATATAAAAAGTCGGGAGTTGCTTATTAAGAGATAGAAGGATCACAGTACCGGTGTTTGTACAGTACAGCAATGTTATTTCGTAGCAGATATTGTAGTAAAAGTATAAATGAAATTTATTGCTATCTATATACATAAAGCGAACTCAAAGTTTAGGAATAAGTCAAATAAGATCTGCTAAATTTTTTAGAAGTGAAGATGAAAGTATACAAGATAACCGATAAGTAAAAATGCTCCCGAAACTTCACGAAGACCAATGCTACTCGAGATATCTATACGGCAAACGACATATGCACGATCACAGACGGTATGTAGTGTGGGTTTCTCAATAAGATACACGTAGTCTATTCTTAGTAAACGTTATTTTCCACTACATTATAGCATAACTTCATCCAGGTATAATCTATAATATTCAACAATTGACGCCGTAGAAATCTCCTTCTACTCTAATTGAATTATATCATAAAACTACCTTAACAGAGAAGTAAAAATATCCTCAATAGCCATTGGTATTGATAGACGATTTCCTCCTGCTGTGCTTATTACATTGTAAAAGCTGTCTCCACGCATCAATTTCGTTAATTAGCTCAACTAGTTACACGACAAGCTTGCGCACTTTACCTATTCTACTTTGCTATAGCTATTCGACAAGTTTACGTCAATGGATACACTATTACCTTAGACGTTTTTCTCTTCACACTCACTTCAATAAAGACTCTGTTTTCAATAAGCTACGCTCTCGTCAGTTATTGCAATTATGATGAACTCACAATCTTCCTAAACATTGCGGGCTGTATCATTTGTATCATTGCTTCTTCTATTGTAATCAGCTCTGTATAAGGATGCCAAAGTATACGAGTACTCGTGCACCAATGATAAAATAATAAATATAATCATTTATTTAAATATTTGCGATAGTTTAACTAGGAGGTTTATTTTAGGCTTAGGATAAGGTTTGTTTGCACTATTTTGAGTAAACGCTAATGGGTAATATGGAGTTAATTCTATTATTGTACGGGTAAATACGTAACGCATCCAGCTGCGCTGACTGTCACTGTTCATCTCCTAATCGGAAATTTATTATTGCGATCACAAATTATATCTACAGCGATTACATGCAATATACCGAAATGAAGGATTCTATATTGTATAAGCCATGCACAAAGTTATTTCTTGAAATTTGAGCGATAGAAAGTGGCGAATTGCACTTTATTTTTTCTCCTACATTTTAAAGGTAGCCTCTTGCATACATTAATTACCGTTTGGATAGACTATGACTTTTCGAAAAACATAAGTAAGTGAAGAATGTTACAGTTCTATAATCATCATTATAATTCCAAGACTATTACTGTAGGACATGAATACAGCAAATATATTGCAGTGATATACCCTTATTCGATTGTAATCATAGCTATATTTGATTGTATTGGTAGCCACATTTGATATAATTAGATTACTAAAATAGATACTACCATATTAGATGATTGCTAACTACTATATTAGAAATTGCTGTTTACTAATATTAGCCAGTTGACTAATTATGATACAAGATTTGTGTAGCTTGATACACTTTAATTGCGAAGATACCTAGCACCGAAAGGTGTTGGACATTAATAGAAGAGTAGAGATATTTAAATAGATTGATTCTTATTGTAGGATATAATGATGAGATACTTAAGGAAAAATATCCTGTTTGATGATTCAGATATGATTGTAACTAATTATAGTATCGTAAATGAATATAACGAAAGATATTTAAGAACTGGGAAGATGACTTCACATTAGCGACTTCACTTCACTTTGAGCTCAGAATACATTAGAACAGATTTTCGTAGTAATTATTTATTTTCTCTAGTATTCTTGAACGTTGTAAGAAGTGCCTTTTTGAAAATTTTATTTAACTAAGGCTGTTATTTCTGAAATGCTTTTATTGTAGATACAGTATATAATATATAATGCGAATTAAAAAGTACCAGTACTTACAGTATAGAACGCAAATTACATCGAGCTTAGATTTTATTAGTATAAACGGTATATTCAAGCTAGTAACTATATTTTATGTTAGTAATTTTCACCTTGAATACCTTATATGGGGATAAAATTATAGATAAAAAGCAAGGATAAAAGTTATAGTTAATTCAAATTACTATTTGAATCATAAATAAAGAATTGGCATCACTCGGTTGATGGTAAGCCCTTTGTCTTTGGATTGATTCAATTGTGAAACGATAAAATATTAAACCGCAATTTATAATTAAAAAGACATTTATTAACTTTTAAACAGATCACCCTATTTTATCAGTCAATGCAATAAAATATGAAATCTATAAGTTAATAAAAAAGTAAACCTTGTTTACTATTACCAATATTATCTCGAGGATTAACATTATACGGAAACACCAGCACAGATTTTTCAAATCTACTGTCACAGTGAAACACTATTTACATATTGCGAGCAAGGTACCAATAAGGACGAAATATTGTATTGAACATACGTATACAGTATTATTGGCATAAAGCAAAAAGAGAAATCATAATTGTGTAGCACATTTTACGTTTTAGATAGTACTATTGATCTCTGGAGAATAGTAATTGCGATCATTTTAGAAAACAAAATAGCGTAGCTCATTATTTATTCGATATCTGATAAATTAGCAACTTAAAATGTGTTCAGAACTAACTAACAAGAAATTATAACCAATAAAATATCGTCATCGGCGAATATGCCTTTTCGATAAGCTCGAGAAAATTCGAAATACTGAATGAAAGCAATTAGAAGAAACGATACACGATATACAGTAATGCCTATGTCGAATGGATATTTTGAAGTAAAATAAATATGATAAAAGTAGCAATAAAAATAAATTCTTCTCTTTGATACTGTATTATATCCAGGAATAATTTACTGAATGAAAGGTAACCATAACGAATTGTACAAAGGCGATCAGATGATTTACATAAATGAATGAAATTTTCGTTGTTAGCGATTATCTATCACGGTAAAATGGTAATGCTAGCATCCATTATATTTACCGATATCGTGCTTAAATTATCGATTTATAGACAACGATACAAACATAAATTAATTCTTCGAAACTCTAAATTCATGAATATTATAATTATAATGTATAAATTGGCTGAATCCGTTTTAATAATTTTTCTAGACAGTAGGTTTTATTTGAAGCCTAATTACACTCGAGATAAATATTAGCTAGTATTATTTCGTAGAAATGTAATCAAGTTCACCATTATATGTTAAATGAGCTCTTGCTACTGGCAAATCCGTTGGAAAAATTCCACATTTACTTGTACAACCAACGCGATATATACTAATTCTATTACAGCCTCTTGAGTAGCGAAAGTGCGACGAATAAACCATTTCATTGAAGAGTCCGCATGTTGTACTATTGATTTCCATAACGCGGCAGTTGACTGGATAGCAAATTTTGCAACTAAAACTTTGACGCACTAAGCAACCATCTGGAGTGCGAAATTGTATATTAAAAAGGTAGTTTTGTTCCAAAATAGTGCACTCGTTTTTCGCAGTAATGTTATTTACAGTATCCGCTGAAATTTTTCCTGGATCGATACAAAGCTTGTTTTGCACGAATTCATTCTCTACTTGGTAAATTTCAGTAGCATTACTTGTTGGTACATGATTCATTACGAAATATATCAGCTTTAAAACAACCTATCGTGAAATTAGATAATATGGCACACCGATTACATTGGGTTTACTTAAGATTAGGTATCGGAAATAGAACATGAAACAATATTGCTGATGTAGGTAGGGCTAGTGCTACATATATGTTATGTTATCAATATCTAAATTGTTATAAGTAAAAAAGTGCTTACTCTTGTATAGTTAGCAATATTTAGAAAAGCATAATCTGTAGTAATTCTTTCGGCTAATTAAAAACATTGAGCGCTAATATTAGATATGATTGAACGATTGGCTTATTTTCGACGAAAAAATAAAATATTAGTATTCAACTGGAAAACATTTTTTCATAATTATAATCCGCCACGATGGGATTGTGAAAGTTTTATGAAGAACGAAGTATCTACTTAGCAGAGCTAAAGATGAGCAGGATAGAAAACTGTTGAGATGAGATTTATGTATATCATACATATACGCTTATAACCTATCTTATCAGCAGCGCACTGCGACAGATTTAAAATTAGTGATGATATTTTGAAAAATATGATCTGTAGTAATTCTTTCGGTTTATTAAAAATATCGAGAATTAATATTAGATATACCTAGCTTATTTCCGACGAAAAGATTATGTATTAGTATTCAACTAGAAAATTTTCTTTCATAATTATAATCCGTCAAGATAGCATTATGATTTATGAAGAACGCATTATCTACTTAGCAGAACTAAAACTGAGCAGGATAGAAAACTATTTTACCCCATACGTTTAAAAAATAGACTTTTAGTGTAAGTTACGCATCAATGAACGACTTACTAGGCATTTAATCATAAGTTTACTCGTTTTCTTGCTATCAGAGATCAAAAATGATCTACGATTAGGAATAGCTTGGCTTGAAGGTCCAGATTTATGGCATGTAGTCATTATTGCTTCCATGATGGTGATGGTTGAATTAGTGAAGAAAAGAATGCCTTTCTCAGAAAGTTTCATCGTTATATAGGCGATTCTAATCACCTTAGCTATGGTCCAATTTGCCCAACTATGCACTGTTTATGCAAATTAGAAAATTCTAATTAGATTTTATTGAGACTACCCTACCTTTATCTACCTATGAATTATCATAAACTAGCTAACTATATGCATGCTCATTTATCATTCATCGAGTTAACGTATTATTAACTAGCTGGTAGAGATTTCTCGTAATAAGGTGAAATTTAATAATATTATGAGAAGTACTGGAAATTAGGGGAAAAGTAGGCGTAACTTTGGTCAATAAGTATCTCATAGCCTAGCCTTTGTACACCATTACCGATACATAACTGCAATTCAATGGATTACATCATATTGTTATTTATTATTGCAAAGCAAAAATTTAAAACTTTAAGTTAAGCAATGACAGTAAGATAGAGCCTTTTAAAATTAGAAAAATACTACTTTGTAAGTATTTAATTGCTATACTGCATTTCTCTATCAAAGATGTTGGTAATACAGATTTTTCGTTGATATAAATACTGTCATGATTTTGCATGGACAATCAAACTACCTAGATGATATTTCATTAAAACCAGCATAAAATTAAAAATAAAATGGTCACTTCATGGCATCATGGTGATTATGTCGTTATGTCATACTCTGGGACTATCATCATAAACTCAGATCGCATTGGTATGATTATCTACCTTTATTTAAGCCGTTATTGGTATTTTGGTAAGGTAGCGTTTATTTTAGTTTTATCATTGTAATTAATATGTACAACTGAAATGAAATGAATCTTTTACGTGATATATGAAAAAAAAATCGCTATTTGCTGGCGGTATCAATTTCTCTTTTAGATTTCATTTAGAATAACAGAATAGGATTATGTAGGAAAACTTCTTTACCTAAGGATCTTTTGATCACATTTATTTTCAAAGACAACAATAAATCATCCAGTAACGATAGCATAATATAGATGTACATTGCATCGATGACGCGTTGCTTTAATCACTTCTATTCAATTTCAGGTTAACGATTGGAATTCCTATACTATATTCTATGATATGAGCAAGTTATTTTTTCGTAGTTCTCTGGTCACGAGCTATTAGCGTAATTGCTGGGAATTTAGCATGACGATTTCTTGGAATTGCAATGCTGGATATGCTAAGAATGCAATGACGTAACCCTGCCATCGAAATTTCTCTCGAATACTTAGAAGTCTATTATTAGCTTGATTTGAGCTTAACCCTTTATGAATTAGTTTAAATTAGATCTACTAGTATTTTAAGAACAGAAGATGATAGTATACAAGACGACCAAAAATTAACAATGATCCCAAAACTTCCAGACGATTTCGAGTAGATTACCCGTGATATTCATGAGCAAACACAACGGGTATGTCGTGTATGCTTCTCAATAAGATATATGTAGTCTACTCTTAGTAAAAGTGATTTTCCACTATATTATAGCATAACTCCATCTAGATATAATCTACATTAACAATTTACACTGTGGGTATCTCTTTCTACTCTAATTGAATTATATCGTAGAACTACCTTAACATAGAAGTAAGATATCCTTAATAACCATTCGTGTTTACGAGCGATTTTCTCCTGCTGTGCCAATTGCGTAGTAAAAGAGCTATCTTCATGCCTCAATTTCGTTAGTTAGGTCAGTTAGTTACACAGTAAGCTTGCACGCTTTACCTATTCTACTTTACAACTATTCGACAAATTTACATCGTTATACATGCTATAACCTTACACGGTTTCTCTTCACACTCATTGCAATAAAGACTCTGCTTTCAATAAACAAATTTCTTGATCATTTATTACAATTATGATGAACACTCAATCTTCCGAAACCTCACAGGCTGTATTATTCCTTCTGGTATCATAATCACCTCCGTGCAACGATGCCAAATTGTATACCAATAATAAAATAATAAATATAATCATTGATTTAAGGTAAAGGTTTGGGTTAGTGTGCTGCACACTATTCTGAGTAAAGCCTAATAGGTAAGTAATACTGCGTGGATGGATACCCACTATCGTATGGGTAAATATGCAACGCATCCAGCTGCGCTGACTGTCACTGTTCGTCCACGAATCGAAAATTATTATAATTAGAATTATATAGACAGCGATTGCATGCAATATACAGGAATGAAGGATTCGCTGCTGTATAAGCAATGCATAAAGTTATTTCTTGGAATTTGGGCGATAGAATGTGGTGAATCGTATTTTATTTTTCTCCTACATTTTTCAAGCTAGCCAGTTGAATACATTAATTATCGTTCGTGTAGACTATAACGTCTTTTTAAAAAAGGGTACGTTAAGTTTGGAATTTTATAATATGAATACAGCAAATCTATATACTGCATAATGCAAAGTAAAACAGTAGAAGTATATACAGAACACGAATACATCGAGCATGGGTAAAAATATAGGTAAAAGCAAGGGTAAAAGTTATCATTATGAGCATTCCTTTAGGTAAAATCGGAATGACTATCATATTCCAGTTAGTAGTCCTACAAGTCCTACAAGTAGTCAAAGGCACCAAGCTGTGATGCCATAATGCTATAGTACGGACTGTTGTAGAGTGTAAAAGGGGCAGGTTCTTCTCCGAGTTTGCAACTTGCTTGTATTCTAGTCCTTGACCTTGGACCATCAAGTAGCGCCGCATCGATGACATGCAAATTAGTATAGTAGTTTGCCGATGCATATTATACAGTTGTAGTAAGTCCATTATTAAGAGTCCACCTTAAATCAGTCTAACTGGATTTAAAAGCCGAATTAAGCTTTATTACAATCTAAGCTTATAAAACCTAGCGCATGACCTATTTAGTAATAGTAGTAACATTATCACGCTTCCACACGCTAATCACGGGCATTAAATTACCATATAACTTGCTTGTATTCTAGTCCTTGACCTTGGACTATCAAGTAGCGCCGCATCGATGACATGCAAATTAGTATAGTAGTTTGCCGATGCATATTATACAGTTGTAGTAAGTCCATTATTAAGGGTCCACCTTCAATCAGTCTAACTGGATTTAAAAGCCAAATTAAGCTTTATTACAATCTAAGCTTATAAATCCTAGCGCATGACCTATTTAGTAATAGTAGTAACATTATCACGCTTCCACACGCTAATCACAGGCATTAAATTACCATATTTTGCCCGAGCAAGAACCACTAATCGCATTCAACTACGCAAGTAATATAGCTTACGGGAGTCCATATTAGTAATTCCAGACTTTATTCAGAATTTAACTCAAGTACTAAACTTACGGCACTACAACAGCACAAAAAGAAAAGTGTAGTGCAGCAATCTGATTAGCTAATGGCTCATAAATGATCAAGAGCAGCATTCCCACTTGACATTTAACTTAAAATCGAAATTGCTAGCTCTCTGAGGCTATGTTCGAAGGATGCCATGTTCCAATATGTCCATCCTATCGTCTTTCTGTAGCAGTGGCTCTATGCGGGACAACTCCTCTCTATGCCAACTTCAATGTTCTACTAATAGGCAGTTGTATGCACTATTGAATCATGTTTGGTCATGGAATTCAATGGTTGCCTTGCAAACTACTGTACAGCGGATATTCATCACGGTCGCATTATCATTTTTACTATCATTTTGGAGTGGAGAGAGATCATTGAAAGTAAGTGGATTTTCTTCCCCATTGAAGTCATCCTTGATGGCAGAATCCAAGCGATAACCCTTAAATTAGTAGTGATCGATACCATTGGAGCTGTACTTGAATAAATGGTGCTCTTAAAGCGATAATCTTCAGCGGTAAAATGACCGCCATGACCTGGGACTAAAGATCCCTCAAGCCAGTCTAAAGCATCCATTTGACGTGGTGTCAATCGCAATCGGGTGACGGTCGTGTAGCGCTGACGTGAATGTTGTAACGTGTTGTTGCGTGGTCATCCTCACTTTCAAAATGGATTCCAGCCCTAATCAAAGTGGAAATCAAAGCGGGAATAATTCCCGAAACGCTGGTCGGAAAGAATCAATTAAAAATAAATTACAACATTTTCTAGGTATCAGGCAAACTACCAATGTTGCAAGGGAAAATAGCCAATCTGCAAAGAGTCCACCCTTAGAAACGATAGTTTGCTCTGTCAGTGTATTAAAGGTGATGCAGCCTGTTGAAAAAATTCATTGCGTCTATCGCTATGTCGGATAATCATATTCAATCTCTTAGCATAGGCAATAGTCATCGTTATGGCTTGTAGGCAAAGATCATGTTGTACAATTGTTTATTCCTTTTACCTGTAGGATATCGGTCCTGAATCATCCATTACTCAACGTATCAAAGCCTTACGTGATTTACAAAAAGTAATTCAAAAGCACAAGATAGAAAAGGTTTGTTCGATCTCGTATATTACTGAGTCAGTCTGATAATAGGTTTACAATATTAATCCATTTCATCTTTCTACTATGCAATGATGGTAGCAAAAGTTTGTTGTAGACGAATGGAGTTGTTGTTGTTGAAGAAAGCGATTTGCTATTGACTAGTGGAGATATTGTTGAAGAAAATGATGTGCTATAGACTAGTAGAGATATTGTTGAAGAAAATGATGTGCTATAGACTAGTAGAGATATTATTGAAGAAAATGATTTGTTGTAGACTAGTGGAGTTGTTGTTGTTGTTGAAGAAAGCGATTTGCTATTGACTAGTAGAGATATTGTTGAAGAAAATGATGTGCTATAGACTAGTAGAGATATTATTGAAGAAAATGATTTGCTATAGACTAGTAGAGATATTATTGAAGAAAATGATTTGCTATAGACAGAGTAGAGTTGCTCTTGTTGAAGAATACGATTTGCTATAGCTAGTACAGTTGTTGTTGAAGAGAATGAGTTGTTATAGGCTAGTAGAATTTCTTATTGAAGAAAATGAGTTGTTATAGACTAGTAGAATTTCTTGTTGAAGAAAACGACTTGCTATAGATTAGTAGAGTTGCTGTTATTGAAGAAAACGATTTGTTACAGACTAGTAGAGTTGCTGTTATTGAAGAAAACGATTTGCTATAGACTCGTAGAGTTGTTATTGTTGAAGAAAGTGATTTGCGATTGATTAGTAGAGTTGTTATTGTTGAAGAAAGTGATTTGCTATAGACTAGTTGAAATATTGTTAAAGAAAGTGATTTGCTATAGACATAGTAGAGTTGCTGTTGAAAGAAAACGATTTGCGATAGAGTAGTAGAGTTGTTGAAGAAAATGATTTGTGATAGACGAGTAGAATATTGCTGAAAAAAACGATTTATTATATAGACTGGTAGAGTTGCTGTTGTTGAAGAAAAAGGCTTGCTATGCACTAGTAGGATTGAGTTGTTATGATTGAAGAAAAGGCTTTACTATGGACTAGCAGAATTAACTTGTTAGATAGTGTCACTGAATCGGTCGTATAGTCTTTTCTGCCTCGTAGTAGTTTAAGAAAAGTTTTATTTATACTCGTAGAATGGAGTTGTTATGAATGAAGAAAATAGTTGCTCTGCACGGTAGAATAGAGTTCTTATGATTGAAGAAAAGCTTTGCTATAGAATAGTAGAGTCGAGCTATGATGGTTGAAGAAAAGGCTTGCTATACACTAATAGAATTGAATTGTTAGATTGTGTTACTGAATCAGTTAGGTACACGTATTATTTTGTCTATCAGTTAATCTTTCTACTATGCAATGATTAAGGAAAAGACATGTTGTGGATGAGTAGAATTGCTCCGTACATTGTGTCACTGAATCATAAAGTAATTGACCTGTTACGTTTTGCACATCTATTAACATTCTGTATGATCGACTTGTATCTAGTTTGGAATTGAAGCAATATGGGAAGCTATGAAGGACATTATTTTAACTAAGAATTTCTCTATTGAAAATCGCCAGGAAGCATTACTGTTTGTCAACTATTTAATCTTAAGTCAGGTGAATGCTTAACAATTATGCTTTACTTTGTTTACTAATGGTTAATATATGCGACATATACAAATTGAATGTTGTGAATAGGTGGAGTAATTCTAAGAAAATTATCTTCATTTGTTAATACCGTACTGGTTAGAGTATTCAAATCATGGGTAGATAGATAGAATTTGATTTGTTTACTTAAAATAGTTCAGTATTATTGCTTGATATGGTGCGAAATATTTCTATTACTGTGGAATAGCCAATCCTAGAGCTCAAGTCTTTATAGGAATACAAGTACAACATAGCTTAACTTATCGGACTTGTATCAACGTTACACACTTTACTGTAATAATAATTGACATCGAGATGACTATGATTTGTAGACCTAGTATCTACTGAATAGCCGGTGGAGAATATCCAAATCTTAATGGAAAAACTTACTGAGAAAAATATCTAATTCGATACCAACGCATTTCATTGAATGCTCGATGTAGTTTTATTTAAATGATCTTTCACCGTTTGAAACATTCTTACAATCTGCTGTTGTTAATATACGTATATTGTATTCGTTAACGTTGAAAGATTGAACGAAAAACGATATCAACTACTTTCTCCTCTATTATATGTTTGAACTAAACACAATCTATTCTAATTATTGATGTTTTATTTAAATTGATATGCAGAGAGATCAATTGGAAATCCTTCGACTGTATTTCTTTAGATTTATCAAAGAAAAATTAACGGATAGTATGGATATGCCATATCGGTAATTAACGTCTCCGACAATGTTTAAAGTGACAACACTGTTAATATTTACTATGTGTAATTGGTTTATGTCCATATATGCTGCGTTGTATGGCAACTTGTAAATATAATGCATTAAAGACTGGCTTATCTAATACATATAATACGTAATTTTGTAAAATACTTTCTATAACTCAAAGTACCATCCTTTCTAGAACTTAAATAGAATGAATCATGCTTATATTAAATTTTTATTAAAAATTAGGCTTGAGATGTTAAAAGCTTTAACAAATTGTGGAAAAGATGTTAGCTACTTTCAAGAAGAGATAGGTAAGTTAACATTGAATAAGTATACTTAAAAAACTTTACTTTATTTCATTTCACACAACGGATCATTAAAGGATAATGTGATTTACTAGGTCGAAACAGTAATTGTAAATGTGACAAAGATAAATACTTTTTCCCTATTTCATTTTTTTAGGCCCTTTCTTGTGTATACTAACTAAGGATATTATATCACTTGGAAAGTATGTAGAGAAATTTTTTTGTTATTACAATTTCACTCAATTTAGTTTTCACTTTTATTGCACGATTAATAATTACCATAAAATCCGGTTGTAACATCTGGCTTAACTCCATCTGCTCTTAATCATAGAGCGCATAATTTCTTACAATTTGTCGCTAATATTTTCCGGTTCAATTCCTGCTGTCTCGATGATAATGAAGTAGAAAATATATTAAGGTAAGAGGCCATCTAAATTGGATTTCATTGTATTTTAGTGTAATAATTACTGTAAATTGTTTTTATTTTAATGAGTGAAATGACAACATGGTTTTTTTTAATTTACAGCCAAATATGTTATCTTTGTCGATTAACTGAAAATCCCGTCAATTTGAAGGTTCCTGAGATGCTTAAGCTTTATCGATAGTATTGTAGTAATTATAACAACCGTTAAGATAGCCTGCAAAATATTGATCCCTAATAGGATGTATTAAAATTTGATTTATGCACGTACAATTTTATAGGAGGGACTGAATGTCTTGGATGCAGTTATTCGTTATAGCAGTGTCCCTAGTAATGCCTTAGAAGACTTAGTCGCCGTCTTATGTCGTGTGGTAAATTTAAAAGATTTTGCAAATTCAAGTTGGCAAGTAAGATGAATTAACTTCAATTTTAAACTAGATTAAGTTTATTATTGAAAACAATTGTGTTTTGCAATTTATATAATCTATTTGCTTTTAGATTATGAGAAACTTAATTGGTTCTCATCTGGGTCATAGCAGCATTTATACTATGTGCTGTGTATTACAAAACAGGTAAAATTTCATGAGATTTTTATTTGCTTACCCATAGTACGACATTTGGAGGAATGATAATTATTTTTGACTGTTAGTGAACTCCATCTGATATTGCTATTACAGTGACAACTATCAAGACATAAACTTACTACGAGGTGCAGTATCATTCATTGGTATTTGTTTATGGGGTCAGCGCAGTGTTGAAGCCATGAAATATTCTTCTACATCTGTTCTTCCGTCGTTTTTACAAGTTCTTAATTGTAATCAGCCTATTGTTGCGTATGAAATTGCGATATCAATTCAACGTTTGATCAAGAAATATAGCAGCAACTTACAAGTTGTTACGTGGGATATTTTATTAGATATCATTGAATCTTTAGTTCGTTATTGTCAAGATTCGCAATTGTCTGATGAACGATTAACGGCGGTGACTCATGACATTTTAACACATATTGAGCAGATCTATGAGTCCAATAGTTACAATGGCCCAACTAAAAAGTTATTTGCGATATTGGAAGCCAACTCTGATACTCGACCTACAAGTAGTGTTTTAGTTCAAATTTCTTACCATTCTCAATATCTTCACCCTACTACCGATAACTGGTTAGGTAAATTAGCTGCTATGATGGACAAATATTTTAAATTTGATGTTCGGACTGAAGTTCGTTGTAAAATGCTTAGTGTGCTATTTGATATTTACCGTATGCATCAATCTATTTACGAAGAAGAAATTATTGGAGACATTGTTGGCCCGTGCTTGTTGCAATGCGTTATTGACGAAAGAGATCATGGGGTTCGTGTAGTAGTGATCAACTTTTTGATTGATATCATAGTTAATTCGAATGCTCGCATAAGATCAGATGTTATCAATACTATGGAATGTATAGTCTGCACGTACCTCCGTATCGATACAAGCGCTGTGGTGGAGGATGGGGAGATGTTGCTACAGGATGTCAATCTTGCTATCGTTGGTCTAATTGATGCTTTTAAAGAATTATTTCTCAGACAACCTCCGGAATTTGCACAAAAGATATATAACATCCTATTAGATCACTTACTGCTGCATTATCAACGGAAATTTAATGGACTAACTGCTTGTCAGTTGCGTTGTACTGTGTTTAAATGGCTATTGCAGTTGCGTATAAACCATCGTGGAAGTGTGGGTGTCATGAAAACGGTCGAAGGTAGAGATATTGTTCAATTTAGTCCCTATTTACTATTTCAAGTAGATGAAAACATAGATAGGGAAGAAGTCATAGACGCGACCCAAGCAGATCATCGGTATGAATTGTGGAAAGTGGCAAAAATATCATATGCAAAGGCTACAAATGCGATATTACATTGTTTAGAAACGGAGCGCGATTGGGCTGTTTTAATTATCGTTTTAAAAAATATGGAACAATTATTGCAATATAAGGAATTAATTCTCAGTGGAAAGAACTTAAACTCAATTTGTAGATCACTACACTTAATGATTAACGATAATGAAATGTTTTTCCGCCGAATTCAAGGCGTCCCTTATGGAGTATCGATGGAAGATTTTCGAGCATGTGTATCATGTGTTCTTGAGGTAATTATATGTTACCACGAACGCCTAGATGTGAGTACGCAAAGCGCACTTGTGAAGTGCTTTGAGAATGGATTAGGTCAAAAGAGAGCTGATTTATGCGTTAGGTCATTAACTTTATGTCTTTTAGAAATGCCAGATGTAACATTGAAACAGGTGCCAGCTTTACTTCGTATATTTGCAAGCTTAGAGCATTCAACATCAGTTGCTCAAGCTATTCTAGAATTTTTCTCCGCTTTAACTACATGTCGATACTCCTATAGTAATTTATCGGAAGATGATTACATGAACATTATCGCTACTCTGGTCCCCCTTGCTAATCCATATAGCTACGCTCACTTTATTGCTATTTTATCGTATCATGTTATTCTTAATTGGTTTGCAAAGTGTAATATTCATGTTCGCCAAGCTCTAGCGGGTAACCTTATGAACGCTTTACAAATTGAGTGTCACCAACAGTCCACAGATTCCAGTAGTTCCTCGGTTCGGCGTTCAACATCTCTTAGGCAGATGGATGATGCCTTAATAGCCGGTCACATCTCTCGTGATAATAGACCTAGAAGTGTTACGGTTAATGTAAGTAATGTTAGTAACACAATGGTTCCTTTAACTGTCGCCACGGAAAGCTACAAAAACCCTGCAACAAAAGGAAATTTATCCGTCAGTAAAGCTAGACAGTTGCATCAAGAAATGACTGAAATCTCTTTAGACTTTATTTGCCGTGTTACTTTTGCTTCATATTCTCCCACTTGTAGCAAAAGATCGCAATCTATGGAGATGTTATTACGTGATGGGTTATCACAGACTTACATTATAAATGGATCAGTTGTTACGATTACAACATCACGAGCTAGTCCTCAGACTACTGATATCTCTACTGCATCTAAAGATGATAAGCAAAGCTTTATTTCAGAACAAAATCGTCAACAAGGGACATCGGATATCTCGCCAAGTTCAACTATAGATGCATTCGGATATGAAGGTCAAGATACTGGTTACCGTAAGAACTTATCTTGTAGTTGTGCAGAAATTGTAATACGTCGAGCCACCGGCAATGTGTCCTGGGTGATACAAACTAATAACAAACTAAGTGAGCAGCCCTTTCATCGGGAACTTAATGAAATCCTCTGTGAAAATGATATATTCACGATGAAGCGAGGATCAGGATTAAAGAATCGTACAACTGAGCTTCCTGAATTAACAGAACTTACCAAGGTGAACGATTTCCGTCAAGGCAGCCAGTCCGAGCGAAGATTTAACAAAATTAGAGAAGTAGAGGAGCATCAAATTCCAGGTTCGTACGGTGTGTTTCCAATCCTTTAATTTTAATTTTAGTAAGACTTTTCCTTTCGGAATCCCAAATTAGATAAGACTACTGATATAGAAAAGAAATTTCAGCAGATGACTGACCCAAATGTATCTAACAATGCAGCATCTCGCTTGGTAAGAAGTCACATAAATATCCTTTTCATAATCATTATAATCATACATGCTCTTAAATTTTAGGGAAGACAATCCGTATCGAGTAGTAATTCATTCGATGATTATTCCAGTATCGATTTATCTGGTACAGTATATGATTAATTGTTAATATTTTTAAACATTCTTAGCTCACTTTATTTTTTTTTATGTAGTTAAATCATCGTCATACGATCAACTTAGCGGCCGATTGCAACAGTTGCAACCAGATTCAGATAATCAAGTAAGACTTGTTGATGAACCAATTTATCTGATTGCTAATTGGTTAATTTCAATGAAGCATTAACAAAGATTTATAACATTAAGAAGCTGTTACGCACGGTCTTGTTTTCGTTGTTCAATGCTAACATATAACTGTGTGAATTCGAATTTCTGTAGATATTCTTAGGCGAATCTTCAAGCGATCATATCTCTGTCAACATGATGAAGGAGGATGTAAAAGGAGATACTGCCGGTCGAGCAAAATCATTGGACAATGAGCGACCAAACAAATTACCAGTAGATGACGCCTGTTTGAATAAAAGTAGTATTATTTTAAATGAAGACGCTTCAGAGGAAAATGCTGCTATCGTTGAAGAAAATCCCACTTATACTAAAACCAAATCAGGTGCTTAAATGTAATAATTAAAATCTGTGTGCTTACGTTAAGAGGATCGGGTTGCAGCTAAAGGAAATGATTTAACTTTTACTATTGATTTTAATGTAATAGCTCAAATAAGGCAATCGTTGCGAACTAAGGAGGACTTGCATAATGAACTTACACCAAGGTTAGCAAATAGCTGGAAATGATAATAGTGTCTGAAAGCCGAGTTAAAATTTCAATTCATGTATCTGTTTGATTCCTAGTTATGTATTGTTTCATATCCTTCAACTACCTATCGTTGGAATGGACTATTCTAATATAACAGTCGTTCCGAATGTCGAGGTATACGACTGTAATTATTAACTAATTTTTCTAGTGTAATTTTCTGAGTAATAAATAATTCTCAAAGGGATTAAAATCCTTCAAAAATTAATTATTAAGGTTTTAAATCGAGCAATTAATCAAATCGATCGAATACCACCATTTAGTACCCATAAAATTGGTTTAGTTTATGTAGATAAAGGGCAGGTAGGAGTTGCTTTATCATAAATGTTGTGACTTTCGTTTTTGAGTACTGCACGCTTATAATACCAAGATATAATAATTATGTACATCTAGGAAAATAATGAGCAGGCTATATTAAAGAATACTTTTGGATCCAAAAATTATCAAAATTTTTTGAACGAATTGTCCGATTTAATCGATTTGCAAAACCCTTCAACTTTACATATTTATACGGGTGGTCTTGATCGCAGTGGAGCTGATGGTAATTTTGCTTGTGCATGGCAAGACGCCACTACTCAAGGTACTACATATGTTGTAAAACGTACGATTTAATACAAAAATTGATGATAATTACTATGACTTTGTTATACCTTCTGGTCTAGTTATTTTTCATGTGGCAACACTTATGCCTAATAAAGAAACAGATTCCTCTTGCCGTAGCAAGAAAATGCACATCGGAAATGATTTTGTTACCATCGTATATGATGATTCTGATGCAGGATATCAGTTTGAAACGGTTACGGTAAGTCAGTGACCGTTTTGCTATTTGTTGATAAGTTATGTTTCAACTCGAGCGTTAAACTAATTAAAGTAAATTATATTATCTGCAATTTTAGGGTCAATTTAATTTTGTTGAAATAGTTATCAGAAGTATTAGTCATGGATTAAACACCATTATGGTTCATGTTAAAAACGAATGCAAAGCAGCAGTGGAGGAATTTAATTTACGGCAACAATTAGTTATATCTGATGCTTCCTTGGCTAATATAGTCAGACAAATGGCTATTCAGTACAATGTTAGTTCCTACAGAAATAAATATATTTGCTGTTAGTACGGAAATTTGTAGTAACGTAATGACGTTTATATTGTTTGTGCAGATGTTGGCCACTCTGGTCTACAATAATCCCCAAGCAGCTGTTATGTCGTACACCTTGAATTGGGTTGAACGCTTGCGAAGAATCAAAAAATTAAATGATCAAACGGCCGAAATAGAACGTTCGAAAGTATCACCTCCTATGGGCGATATTCCACAGCAAGATATCGATGCCAATGTTACGAAATCCGTCACCTGTAGCAAAGTTTTACTGGAGACCTTGTCCAAAAATTCGGTGATTCGTAAATGAAAACTCTTTATGCTTTTTAGCAATTTTTGGAATTAAAATCGAAAATTTTTATAATAGTATAGGCAAAACTCTTTTGACTTTAATAGTAATTAAGTTTGCCAGAGTTTACAATATTGTTCTTCGATAATTCGGACGATAGATAGATGCATCTGATGTTCTTTCTGTCATTAGTAGTGATTGAATGGACACAGGTATAATATTTGCTACAAAATATCAATTAAGGCCGTAAAACGGCTCGAGTAACTGCAACCTGCTCTGATTGTATCGTAGCTATTACTGAACCTATTTTTTTCTGGTATGACAATTATTCATTTAATTAATTATCAATAAAGTTGAGTATTACTCACTTTAATTTTTACTGTGACGAAACTGATTTTCTCTTTTGCAATTTTAAGAAAGAAAGCGATAATTTTTATAGCCTTATAAGCATAATTCTTTAGCCGCTGCAATACTGTACTCATCAGCAGAATTTACAATACTAATTTAAAATATTTCTCACAGTAGATGCATTTGATGTTCTTTGCGTCGCAAAATATTAATTAATGTCATAAAACGGCTTCGGTTGCAACAGCCTACTGTTTCTGAACTTAAGTTTTCCTGGTATTTGTGTACAATGTTTATTAATAAAGTTGAGCAATATTTTTTTAATTTTATAGTGCAGTACTATAGCGTACTTGCAACGGAAAAAATTTCGTTTATTTCATTAAATCTGCTGCTGGTCAAGATGCCAGTGCAAAAACTGTGTTGTACTCTTGTGTTGATGAAAAAGTAGAACCAGTTGAACTACAGTATAAAGGATAGTTTCATCGTTGTTCTAATAATTATGTAGTTTTACGTCATGTATCTGCGCTTGAAGGTATATTGCTTAAGGAATAAAACTAACCTTTTAAATATGACCTTTTATTGTCAGTTTGACATAAAAAATAATTTGGAATTACCTAATTAGATTATACCTCCTAAAGTCTAGGCCAGAGATATAATTTTTAATCAGTTAGTTCCGTAAAATGATTCAGTAAGGTATTAATGCGAAAGTATTACGTTATTCAGCAAAAAAAAACCAGAAATTTTAAATTTGACATAATTTCGTCCTGTTATCCAATTCTATCAAGCGATTGTTTCATTAAAATTATAATCATTTAAACTGTTACAACTTCCTTAATCAAAAATTAAATACAAAACTTGTAAATTAAAATTTCACCAGTCCATTTACAACGCTTCTATTGTTAGCGTTACAGGTATTCGAAAATATTCATAAAGTCGGAGATAATTAATTTTTACAATAGGAAATCTAATAATCGATCGTTTAATACAAGACAACTTTATAATTTTAAACCCAAGGAGTCCAACCTTCGTACATCTTGCATAAATTGTCCTTACTTATTGCTTCCTGCAATACTTTATCAACCTAAAGTACGTTTAATTTAATGAAAAAGAAATCTATAAATATTACAGCAATAATCGAATGTGATTTTTATCCAATATGTTCAACAACTAACTTGTTCAGCGACAGAAAGTTTCTTATCCTGGTGCATATCACGCCCATCTAATTTTACCTTCACTCGGCACCAGACATTGACAGCATAGACATTTCTAGCTTGAATTACTGTTATGGTGATATACACAATTCATGAATAAATCATATTAACAGCATTAGCTGTTAAGGTTAGCAATTATATTCAAGCATAATTTCAAGCAAAACTTAAATTTAAATTACCTTTGCCAGTTTGAGGGTCTCTAGCAAGTTGGTTAGATTTATTGACATTATCTATAATTCAGGTGTTAGGACAACATAGCATCAGCAGGCATATCTGTTAAAACTTTTAGGCATCTACTACTTAATAACAGAACTTCGGGAATTGAATAGTGCTGTATTATCAATTGCAAATATCCGACAAGTTTGACAAAGATAAAAAATGACTTGTCATTACTTCAAGTGATTTAGAAATAATATATTACCGCTATCTCGAGCGCTGTCTACGGATGCTGTATTTACTATCATAGAGTCAGTTTCTGCTTCTACATTAGGATCACCATCTTTTCTGGAATCTATATATCATATATATATATATATATATATAAGAATAAGTATTTGTATGTAAACCCAGCTTGTACGCGAGTACATGGTATGTAGTGATAACTTCTCCAGATCAAACGTTAACATCATGCAAGATAAGATAACTAACTGACCGGATGATAAAGTCTGAGCCAAACTGACAATTTGGTTATGAATCCTATAACAAAATGTAAAAGAACGGTTAGTTATACTGATAAATTGATAACTTATCACTATGATGAGAGGTTTTAGGGGCGTATCATGCAGTCGAGATTCGATATCTACGCTAAGAAACTATGATCATACCCTTTAATGACGTCCCCTAAATGCTCCATTCGGTTTTTTAACAGTTTCATAGAGTTACCATCATTCAGAAAGCTTAAGTCTTCAGGATTCAAGGCATCTTTAGGCATACACACTAGTAAGATAAAAAGTGCACAACTTGTTTAATTAGCCGATTATGGTTTTACTTGTGCATAAACACACATTACGAGAACAGCGAAACGTAAATACGTTTTCTTTCGTGAACTAACACTTTTTAATATCTTTTAGGCATGAATCCATGGTTTCATGAAAGCTTTTAAAAGAATTTATTACTGAACGCGCTATGTTAGACCCTTGTGCTCCTTCGTCCTATTAAATAATAGTTATCGAAATGACGCAATCCATTCTTTAAACTTAGAAATTCCTAAGAAAATACTTCATTGTCACACACCTGCGCAATTGAATCAAGAAAATTACGGATTTCGCTTATCAACGCCTGCTCTTCAGCTACCAGCTTGGACAAATCGCTTATTGCGTTAGACACAGTTTCCTGATAATGTGAAAATGTTAGGTTAAATAATGGCCATTTTAAATGAAAGCTATATACGGTGTAAAAAAATTTAACCTGAGATGATTTCATTGATATAAAGATCAGATCAAACTCTTTGTTGTTTTCGGCTAATTGTAAGCTGGTTTCTTTTAGTTTGTTTTGTATCCAGCCCATTGAAACCGGCTCTTGTATTAACGAGTGCTAATGGAAAATGGATTAAAAACTTAGTTGGTATTTGATAAATTTCTTCTGCTTTTTGGGTATGGCACTTACATAATCTTCTCCAAGGGCTTCATCTAAAATGTCAATATTTGCCTTACAGCGGTCAACATTAAGTAGACATTGCTCATATCTGCAAAATTTACATACAACCAATTAAATCTAATACTGACGTCCAGATTACGCAATTTATAACCTCAGAGTAAATAGAGAAATTTTCTTCTTCAGGGGTTAGGTTATGACTAAAGTCATTATGTATGCTAAAATTTGCTTACCTTGAAGTTAAGTCATTCAAAACAGATACAACAGGTATTCGAAGATCGATATTAATTCTTAAATTGTCGAAGTATAGCAGCCTGTTACACATAGCAAGCATTTCTGAAACTGCTTCATTCTCTTTCTGTTAGTAATAATATCATAGTATAGTCCTGAGATTTAACGAACGTCAAAGTGTGGGGTAATATTTTAATCATAAATAATATCTCTATCAGGTACCGAAATAAGCGTTTTTCTAGATTCCAAACTGTTTTGAAAGCTTTGAAGCGTTGCAGCTATGGAAGGGTTTGCACCTGCAGCCCAACGTAGCTTTTGACTGATAACCGATTCATGAGCATCGTATCCAAGTAGGATATCATTAATTTTCTCACCAATCAGATTGATTCCTTGCAAAGACTGATTAACAAATACAAGCGGAATGACTGTGGTTAACGTACATATTATTAGTCTATTTAATGGAGTAAACTGCTCTTCGTATGTACTTACCTTCTGTAACTTGTCAACTATATTACGGCGAATACCAGATACCTCGGATGCGTGACTTTCCCCAGTTTTAACTAGATTCTTTTCATACATCCACTATATAAGAATTTTATGGTGAAGTAACACGGATAGTAACATTAATAAAACAAAATCTGTAAGCAACTTTACATACATTCGTTCTTACGTTTCAGTCGTAATTTTTTAATGTTAAATCCTTAGATATCAGAACCGTTTTTTCTAACCTGAAATCTCGCCAACTGCAACCAGTAAGTTTTAAGTAAGCTGTCAGCTACAGTCAAATCATGTCGATTTCGGCTATATATCGGAAGGTTCATGATATGCATCATTAAATATGCGATATATCATTTCTAAGGTTTTATGTCCTCATTAAAATCAGTTGGCATACCTGGCTTGACTCTCACTAGACAAAGATACTTCATATTGATCTATTATTTTAACAGCTTCGGAAAATTCATGAGGATCTACTGTACCAATACATAAACTGTAATCCAAAACCTTTCAATAGTATTTCAAGTACAAAGAAAATTTAGAGTGAAGCAAATCATTACTCAATATCGAAGCAAGCTGTTATATTATCTTACATATTTTGCTATTTCATTAATAGTGATAAGTGCATTGTTGGTAGAGCGACTCTCCACTTCATTCGCAATGTTAATATCCATGGCATCCATACTGAACACTAGATACCTACTAAGAAGGCTAGATAAATAACCAACAGTCCTATATTTGACAGACTCTGCAAGGAATTCTTTGATTGGAAACCATAAATAGTTATCGCTTAAAACTTCCAATGTGAATTCATCTTGACTTAGCTGGTTTGAAGGTAATTCCCATATCTCATCAGCATTTAAATTAGTATAAGAAATATAAGACCTGACCCTTCTAAAAAAATTGCGCATGGCAACTAGACGCTTGACAAAAAACAATTGACTTTCCAGTGAGATGCTGCGATTTGTATTCTTCTATCAAATAATCGCGTGAAGAAATGAATGTTAGGTTCTTTATGTATCTAACCATTCATTGTTACTTATCAATTAGCAAAAGGAATAACTTACAATCAATTTTTGGGATACATTGACAACACTAATTGATTTAGCCCAAGTAGGTATATCGAAAGTATAGCTGGATAATTGATTCAGACTTTCATACTCGTTCTCTAATCGAGTAAACAAGCCATCGAAGGCTGCAAATAGCGTGTAACCCTGGTTGCTGGTTGAATCTGTGGGAAATAAAATGGGTACAAGAGACTTCGATTACGAAACAGACATCCTTTATTATAATGAAGCATTTCCTTGTACAGACTCATCTAACTATCATGGTCGTACCTGAATTCCGAAAGGTGGAATAGTTGTCATGTAGCTGATCTATCATTGCTATCACACTTTCAATGTCCTTATAAAATTTAAAATAGTCGTAAGTATAAGAAATTATAATGTAAGATTTTTAAAGCTGTAATTTTACCATTTCTGTGTCTTCATCAGTATATAACTTCCGGACTATCATTTGCATTAGGATTTCAATATCAATATCACAATTATTCAGCACCTCTTCAAATGAATCTATCGCTGTTAAAACGTCGTGATTTTGTATCTGTACCAGTTTAACACTTTCGGATAGTATAACCGATTTAAAGTTAACAATAAAGTCCTAACAGAAAATATACATATCAGTTATCACCCTCGCTGTCCCTTACAAATTAAAATTTGTGATATTGTGATATATTGATTTACCTCCATATGATTGTATATGTTCCAAACAACACTGATAGTATTTGCAATCTCACTAGGCTGCAAAGAATCATTCTTGAAATCGGAACCCTAAGATAATTCAAAAAATGTTCATTAATTTTAAATTGAAATACACGTAAAGTCGCGTTCATTATACCAAATAAAACTAACCGAAAGAAGGAATTGCGCAATTAGTGTATTTTGATATATACAATATACTACATCATATAATGTGTTAAAGAACCAACACTCGCTGCTAATTCTGAGGTTCGTTACTTCTAGCGTTTCTGTATCGGCAAGGAAAAACAAGGCAATTAATCAATAGAATCAAGTCAAACCATTGTTTTCGCTAATGTATACTTCACAAAATAAACAACTGTATACCTGCTATAGTTGTCTCCAATTTCAAAATACGCTCACATAAATTACTCATAGGTATCAAAATTGCGCAAAGGATAGATAATCTTCCCGTACTTAAGGCTGCAAATATGCAACAGAAGATTACTAATAGTACATTTTGCACATAATAAATAAATCATTAACGATTGTGCTAATACTTGTAGCAATTTCATTGATTTTTGCTGTCATTCCTGTTACACTACCAGTATCCTCCTCACGAATTGATAGTTCTTTCTGTAGTTCCATACTCTAAAGTAACAATAGCTGTTTCAGTAAATGTTTTTTAAAACAATAAAATAAAGTTGATTCAATATCAAAGGTACCTTTCTGACTTTTAGGTTGAATTCATTAAATGTCGAACGCAAGCCTCGATGTATTGCCTTTAATACAACAACTTTATTTTCATTTGCGTATATGTCGTCTTCATCAAGCTCCTGGATAGATTCTTTCGCCCCGGTTACTATATCACTAAACCTATAAATAAGTAAGTATACAACAAAGATGAATCAAATAGTAACCATAACCTTTCCATCATTTCCTTATACTGCAAATCATCAATTAGTAAGAACAACATTTGGACAAGATGAAATGATGTTTCACCCTGCAATATTTGAGCATTCCAAGATATCCTTCAACCATGATATGCACACGCAATTGATAGTATACGTTGTACCAGAGAGTGGCATCTGGATTTAAAATTTGATTAAGAATCCGAATGAGCAAATAGCCACTCTAAGCTATCTATACCGACTATACGTTCAAATTTTCCGTAATTACCAAGGATATAATGCTACCATAACTTTTAAGAACATCAACGGAAGTTTTAATATAATTCCTACGCTGTTGAAATAAGCTGATCAATTCGTCTTCCTTTTCTTGACACTATCGTTATAAATTTAGGATGTGGTTGCAGGTTTATTAATACATACAAAGTATAAGAAATCCAATGCTGGTGTCATGTAAAAAAGCGAAGATTAAATACAAACTTGAGAAATTAGTTCAGCTTTACTAATATCTTGCAAAAAATGCGTTACGACATTGAAAGGAGGCGAACCTATAGATAGAAACAATAGCTGAAGATATTATACATAGTAGTACGAGACACCAACGCAAAGTTTAATGCTTACCGAACTCTCCTAATTTAACGTAATCGTTTAGTCTTTCCTTATGATTAATGATAGTATCAATTGAAGTCTACAAAAATTATCATAGTTATTAGGTTAGGAGGTGAAACCAGAGGAAATAAATATTGAAATTTGTGACATTAAAACGACCTCGAAACTTGTCTGCATTGCCTGGCTATTTTCAAGTTCGTTACGAATTTCGTTTGTAACTGAATCGCGTCTATTTATGGCCTCTTGATATTCCTGAATTCTATAAAAGCATAGATACAAAACTTACATAAACAACCACTACAAAACGTCATGTAATATTTATGGAAATACTGGAAGCACTGCGAAAACAATACGATAAGTGATACCCTTCGCCTTCATCACCCTAACAATTCAGCAACAAATTTTACAATGTAACTATCTTCTAAACACAATATCGTTTGCTATGCAGTCTTGGAAGGTATTACGACAAGGTAAACATAACAAATATTACAGCAGTATCAAAAGTATTTTCGACAACCATAGATGTAGCCGTAAATATCCTGTTATAACAGAAATAGTAAAGCTATTTCCACTAATCACTTTATAATACGATTAAAATTTACAAAATAAACTGTGAATGAAATATACGCGTATATATATACATGGAAGACTAATTACCTCTCATATGCACTTCTAAGTGGATGATTTGGGATATTTAAAGCAGCAATTAAGAAATTCTGCAATTTTTTTAATCGTTCCTTTCGTAAGAAGAACTCTTTAGCATTTAGCCAAATGTTCCAGAGAGAATCCAGACGCTGGTTCAGTAAATTGATACTTTCAAAAGTACTTTCTCTAAGATCAAAATATTTTAACAATTCATAAATTCGCCTTCAAAGAGAAGAAACAGATAAAACATTAAGAGCTTTTTAATCTCACCCAACGTCTAACCAAGTTGCTTTCTTTTCGGCAACGGTTGACGAAAACAGTTTAGCAGTAACTTCTCTTTCCATTTCCTTTTTACCTTTATGGTCATCTGTCGTAGCACCACCGCCGTAAAATGCCCCAGCGATACCTCCAACACTACCTGACGTCCAATCAACCAATGGATCATACACAAATGCCTCTAGTAAGGTTAACAATGATTCTCGACCTTGCCGCATAATTTTTAATACATGTTCACAAGATGAACGGAAAGTCCCTTCGATTTGTGTGATGCCTAGCGCTGTCGCAATATTGTTTGTCAATCGAAATGGTACAGTTTCAGGAACTCTTAAACTTTTTCCCTTTTCAAAACACACGTTATAATCGATATGGATGACTTCACCACTTACTAAGTCAATTAAGATATTATCCAAGTGACGATCACCTAAGCCTATTATGTAACCAATCATGGACGAAACGGCAATACTTCTGTTATACGATTGCAATATCTGCCACCAATCAGCGCAACCAATTGACGATGCCCACAATTCCTGCGCTAATAAATCACTCGGAGTTTCAGCATCTAATTCATCATAAACATGTCGCAAAATTGATACTGGCCATTGAGATCTTGGGGCAGACGATGAAATACCTTCTTTTTCAAGCAAAGGCTTTAGTTTATTGTAATATAATTCTGATGGTTTCGTAGTAGCTGATGGTAGCTGTCCGGCGGGGGCTGTGGCAGGAACAGCAGGCTTACCAGCATTATTGACCTGTGAAGATTTTGATGCAGTTAATTCACGCTGCTGCCAACGTTTATAGATTAAATAAAGCGCAGTTGCTCCATCGACCCATTGTATTAGGCCAGACTTCAGTCCTAACGGCGTGACAGAATAATGGCGAGCTCGAAACAAGGGTTTGGGTATTTTTTCAGCACGTGCCAGCATTTTATTAATAACAGCAATTAACTGCATGATTCTTTCATCAAGATGCAAATCTTCTAAACCTTTATATAAGTAAGTGTATACTTTACCATCACTACCAAGCAATTTAATTTTTTTTGGCTTAGTCTTAGTTGGCAAAATGACAATGTCATTTAGAAATGACTGAACAGTTACGATTTTATCTGTGGACGAATCAGTTACGCCAGGTAAAGGAATAACAGATGGATTTAACTTACATAATTGTGGACTAATTTCATTTAAGTTTAACCTCGAGTGCTTTAGTGTATATTTTTGTAACTGACGATATAACTGCCCACAAGCTAGGAAGCTGTCACGTGGATTTAGCGAATCTTTCACAGCACTTAATACATCACGAGTTTTGGAAGAAAACTGTTCCTGAAAGCGGGTTTCATGTACAGTTTCAGATTTTTGATTCGTTATACGATCAATCTGTTCTAGAGCATAAATAATAGGCTTCATTATAGCTGTATGCTTATCGTGAATAATGTCTGCTTTTTCTTTATCATTTAAACTTTCATTTCTCGTAATTCGTTCAATTTCTTCCTCAATTTGTTGTATGCGGCGCTTAAAGCTAGCATTATATTGTGCCACCGTACCAAGCCATAACTCTTCCCATAGTAATGTAATACGACGTAACTCTTGTACAAATATTTGTACTTCACAGACCATCAAATGATGCTGCTTTAGGAAGAAATCTAAAATTTTGTTATAACTAACTTCCATAATATTTAACTCTTTTATTTCTTGACTACTTTGATGTGGGTCTGCAAACTTTTCATCACCAACGTCATCATCAAACCCATCGTCAACAACATCGCCATCGTCATCATCATTTTGATAATCTTCAACATCACCGGCACCACTATTAGCTCGAACACTTCCAAGTACGCGTAGTTTCTTAATGACTGTTTCCGACGTTGTTTGCTTCTTTTGATTCTGCGAGTATGTGGCATGACCAACTACTACAGGGTATATAACGAAATGTGGGGCTTCCTGTGCAATCTGACACAATAACTGGCATATTTTAGTCGTAACATAAATTTCTGGATGATTTAAACGTGAAAATAATTGCGGTGTAATATCTTTCCAAGGCATTACCAAAGTTCGCTTAAAGCCGATATCTAATTCACTAGATAATTCACTAGAATATTTGACAAGAAGACGCAATAATCTCAGGGTGCAAGTGACATGGTTATCCGATGATTTAATACTATGAGTTGTTATAGAACTATCATCACTAGCAATTTGGAGGTACTTAAAGTAAGCAACAACAGATAACTTATAATATTCAAACAATCGAGAACGCGCATTTTGCCAAATTGCAATTAAGGAGTCGATTAAATCCGTAGAATCAGTAACAAGATGAGAAGGCAAAGCTAACTTAAGTTGTCGACGACATAGATCAGGTCCTTCAACAACTGATTTTTCATCAATTCCACTGCTCATTTCATCTTCGGTAGCATTAACGGAATAGTATGGCTTTGATAATACATTAAAGATAGCCTGTTGCTCATTGCCTTTTAATGCAGATGGAAGTAGCGATATAATTTTCTCTTTCTCTTGTCTTATCAATTGCGGAAAGAAATCAATACTAGCTTGATCAACAGTCTTACGACCTAAGCGATAGCACCATCCAGCTAGATAAAACCACGCTTTACTTAGTCTAGGGGCCATAATACAGCTAAGATGAAACAGTTTTCCACACGATGTGTCCCATGAGATAGAATTGTCTTCGTGATTTTGACGAACTATTGGCCAACCAAGCCCATTAACGGCTAATTTATCCTCTAATTGGTTCAAAGTTATCAGATGAGCCCTAGTAAGATCGCTGTCGGCATTAGAATTAATATCAGCAAATAACTGTGGGTTATTTTGTAAGCGTTTAGCTATAGCAATACAAGATTTTGCACACGAAGTTCGCCCAGGATCAGGCCAAGTTGAAATTTCTTCATAAAATTTGTTAAATTGCCATACAGAGTGGATCAATAATTTTATAGCTTGGCCTTCTTGTCTATAATCCATTAAATATTTGGCGGTCTCACGTTGTAATATCATCATTTCGTTCGATAATTTTACCTGATCATTACAAGTCAAGTCATTTAGTTTATTAACTAATTCTTGTACATCATCTAAGGCTTCAGAAACCATTGGTAACTGTTGACCAAAATGAATAACTCTATACATCGCCTTTGTAAGCAAACGTTTAGCCAGTGCATAATTACTTTGCTTGCGTGCAATATGTGCCGTTCTAACGTTGATATTAAGCAAATGCTCAAAAAATGCTGGGTCATTACTTATATCATAAATCGCATCCGAAATGCGTAAAATGTGTTGCCATAATGAAATATCCTGATAAAACTCATTTCCACTTAACATACAGCCCCACATATTGCCCTAAATAGATGATGTAAGCACATAACCTATGTTAGTACATGACATACTTATATTTTAAAATAACATATAACATTAAACCCTATATTTGCCAATGGAGATCCTACCTACCTCATGCCCTTGGATAAAGGACTGAATAAGAAAGATCGACTTTAAAACCATGCTATCAGCCAGACCAACTGGAGATAACCATGGCATGACGTTCGATCTTATCTGATCATGCATAGACTCGATCACAAGATCCAAATTTGGTAAAATTTTAGCACTTGCCGATGTCATGTTCATCTCGTTACATTTGATGTATGCAAAGTTTTTCAGCAGATACATGAATTGTTGGGTTCGGAACTGATGTGGATTATACAACTCCTTGCAATTCTCTAAATGTAGTAGAAAACTACTTATAAGTCATAGAATTACGATACCACAAGAACATATACCAATATTGTTGATAACTGTATACAGTATACCGTAGCGTCCAGATGAATTTGGTAAATAGTAGGGTAGGCTGTCAAAACTATTACTAGCGCCAGCATAATCTTTGCTGTCAAACTTTGTTAATGCTCTGTAGGACAAAGTATAGATAGTTAACATTTACGGAAGATAATATAGCACGATTGAGTAACTACATCTAATCTTACGCTAGAATTTAATAATTAATTTAGCATTATACTTACTCAATCATACTCAATTTGCTTTCATCACAAACTAAGGAGCCTTGAAATAAACTATCGCTGTATTGACTGTTGAGTTCGGATAGTTCTTTCAGCCACGATTCACATTCGTTCCAATCGGATAAATCAATATAGCATGACACAACCTGTAATGTATAAAAGATTTAAATAGTTATGCTCTATTACTTTTACTCAATTGATTCTGAAAGCACATAGACAAATCTTTACTTGCCTTATCAACAAGATACTTTACAATCGATTTATCTAATTTTATCTGATTTCGTATAAGTAAACCAGGAGTTTTAGCTGACACTTCTTCATTATCTCCGCCAATTCGGCATCTTAATGGCTGGTCCAGGTTTAAATATCCTTTCAACGCTGCGCGATACTCTTTAGCCGCATACTCTAACCTATTTGCGTTATGAAAATAGCGGCAATTACTAAATCACAGCAGCATCATGAAATATAATGTAGTTCTACAACAGTTAAAAAAAAGTTTTAAACCTACTTTCCCTGAGCCACTAAGTACCCTCCAGCTATCCATGGCATTCGTACTATATTAGGAGAATCTCGAAGCCAACAGTTTAGTCCTTTGATTGATTCAGGGGAACGCATTTGACATAATGCATCTGATACTATACTAACTACCTGATCAAATTCTAATCCCTATTAAAGACAATTTGTAGTAGTCTTAATATTTCGCAACGAATTTAGTGAGCACCCAAATTTGGTTAAAGATCTTTCTATAATCTCTCAAAAACTACTTTCCAATCAACCTGTTGAGCTGTTGAACTTTTAATGCCATTTAGATATGAAAACCCTTGACGCACTGCAGTAGCTGGATAGCCAGATTTTAAAGCTAAAATGGCAACAGGTCTTCTAAGGTGTGTTAACCACTCCTGACAAGTTGGTCGATTCGTACGGAAAAATAATCGAGCAGCCTAAATAGTCATTTCTTTAGTTGGTATTTGGACTCATAAAAGAATCGCAAACCAGGATGCAAAATTATTATATTACCTTCGTTGTCGGGGCAAGTGTAGTTGCAAAGCCTTCAAAAGCATTATACATTAACTTCTCCAAGCAATCAAAAAACTGTAACATTAATGCTACTCGTAATTTCTTTTCAGCCACATCCTTTGAAGATTCTGCGTATATTAATACAAATCAGCAAAGTATTTATTTAAGTTTAATCGACACCAAATATAATGAAGTATCGCATCTTACTCATAGTGGTTAAAGCCGGTTGCGATCCACTAGAAGTGACTTGAGCCTGATTGTCAACATCAGCTGCAAGCTCTCGTAAAACACCTATTAAAAAATAGTCATTTAATATCTAATGTATCTATTACAACATTTCTGTTCTAATATTACTGCCAATACCTTCAATAGCTTGAAAAGTATCCGCCTGAGCCTTTCCTAAAGGTGTCCGAAGTCGGGATAGGACACAAAATTGCGCTGTTTCCCATGAACACCAAAACCATCGATAACAACTACATAAATCAATCTAAGATTCACAAAAAATGGAAGTAATCACTGGCAAACTACATCATTATAGAACAAATTTTGGACTAAAAATATTTATATTTTTTGATCTATATAAGATGCAATACTAAATTTAGCTGCTACATTGTCATACAAATTAAGCGATAAACCACGATTAAAATCAGACCATGATCATTAAAAATGGTACATGCTTATTTCATTTGCTTTAATTTAAATCTCAATCGATTTTAAGTTCAGTAATAATCCCTTAGGATACTATTTTAAGTATTTCCATTAGAATAGTACCAGCATAGGCAACAACGTCTTCTCTTTAACGTTGCCCTGAGAGAAATGGAACAGTCGTCTTAAATAATCGTTTTCCAAGAATTCACTAGAAAATTCACACGTAAAGAGATGACGTTAATAGGTTAAGGGACATAAATTCAATCTATTAAACTCTACTGCTAAATCCAAATTAGAACGTCTCTGATAGAAAGCATATGTAATGGGACAGCACAACATCTGCATCAAATTAACAGCGTAAATTGTAGCTTATTTATTTACTCGGCTCTCCTTCCATATAGCATAAAATTCATAATGTGATGAAATTGCTTAGGGCTTAAAGTTCCAGTCGAAGTTTTGTTCATGTAAGATTTACATATTGCGAAAATGGTGGCGCCATTTACTGATACGTTAGAATTGATAGTTTGCGACCACGGATGTCTAAACATTAAATTTATTTTATTTCGTCCAACTTTGAATAGATAAATCCAGAAACAATATACTTACCTAGTGGCTACATCAAGAGGTATCAGACGTAAACATTCAATTAGAATTTTAAAACTGTTCTCAAAGCTATGGAATAAAGGCTGCAATTCTTGAACAAATCTGAGATACGAGATAAAGAACAGAATAGCGATTCATTAATTACTAATAAAAATTCGAGCAGTACGCGACTTTTGATTAAGGTATACTACTTTACCGAGCGCAAAAAGACACCGTTACACTCTTTAATTCCAGTAATTTACGGATGCATTTCGTAGCCGTCAAACGCATACTTTCTTCCGTGTGGAATACTGATATAGAAAGGTCCAAGAATGAAAATATTACTATTTGCTAAACGATAATAATGTAATATAGCTTAAAAAATTAAGCATCATGTAGAAGTCCTTACGTATAGGTAGTATTGGATTAGCCACAATGTCAAGGTTGCAAGGTAGATCGACATCTTTTCGTGCAACTAAATCTGCTATTTCAAGAATCCAACCTAAACAAAACTTTCTAGTATACGCAGTAAAATTGAATAGAAAATTTTAGGTTCTAAATGTGAAGTAACAATAACTGTATCAATATTTACTTGCTATCCACTGAAACCAATTCTTGACGTAGGACGTTGGAAACGCAGGTAACGGTAGCCTTTAAGTGCTTATTTAGTACTGAAATGCTGAAATCAAAGAACCATGTCAACGTCTTATTGCCTTGAGCAAATAAATAGCATTTTATGCATAAATCATATTCGTTTTTGGAGCGATAACTTACTCTTTACATAAATTATGCATGCAATATAGGAGGGTAAAGTGCGCCACGGGATATCTAAGGGCTAGCTCAGTAAGCATTTCAAAGGCTTTTAAATAAAGCAACGGTAGCTGTTTTTTCTAAAATTTCAATAAAGTTATAATTACTATTTAAGAATTGAGTACAAAATATATTAACGTATGAAAACTACAACAATTCAGACTAGCTATTAGGCTTAGATATATATGGTTTAGTGGTTTCGAGATTATACCACTGATAAGACACAATATTAAGCTTACGTAAAGAGAAAAATTAAAATTTACTTCGAGAAGAATTAGAATTTCATTTTACCTTTAAATTTAAGACATCTTTAGTGGATAAGATTTGCAAGTAAAAGACAATAGATTTTTCAATATCAGAAGTGCCAATATGCTCAATCGCTTGATTTACACTAGATGACGATCGATTTATTTTACTGTCGTGATTTCCACGAAGCTTGTCAACTGCGGTCATCTTTAATTCTTTAACCCGAGACATTAGACGATCTACAATCATACTATTGATAGAAACAAAGGCTAAGAACACAATTTTAAGCAAAATTTTTATCACCATAGAACTACCTAAATATATCGTCATTGATACAATCGGAGGATTCCAAAAGTAACGAGACGTAGATATTCAGTAATGTCATTAGCACCTAGGAACAAAAACAACCTGTATTAGCTCGGTTATGCATACAGGTTCAGTAGTGGTACTGACTGAAACAACTTCAGATGCGGTAGAGAGGCAGTGCATAATTAATGATAGATAACGATGATTACATAAGGTTCTTGGGGAAAGCTAATTTTATTATACTTGTACTCAATTCAATGCGTGCTGTTAATATTAGAAGAATGATTCAATTTTACAAATACAGTAAGGTTGTAGCTAAACCCATCGTTAATGAAACGTACAGTACACAGGTAATCTAGATAGATTGGTACATACATTGTAATGACGAAGGACTGATTTTTTAATTTATTTTATATTCCTACTCCATCGTTTCCGTCACCTGTGACAGAAGTTCCATATTTGCGACTATCTCAAAATGTTAATTTAAGACCTAACACTGGAAACTACGTACAATGTAAATTTCTACACTTCAGTAATGAGATACAAAGATTATAGTAATTTCCATAATATTTTAAAATTTACTGAAGGCAGTAGTAGATATCCCATTCACCATCTAAGCACAGCAATGTAACCTCCTAGTAAGGCAACGAATCAACACGCTGTTACTCTAAACTAAGAAGAACTGCTAAAGTCAGCTGAATTGTGTAGTGATTATATTTGTTAGCCATTACTACATAAAATTTACTTGTATCATTTCAATTTATGTATATCTCTATATAAAGTGCTCTATTTCAATTGTAGGCTTTTGCTAACTTACCTTCATATTGCTGGAGCATTCTAACTCTATCAATGCTGATACTGATTTAATACGTTTTATTAAAGAAAATTTCCAGGTTTCAACCGAGATCACTTTCACCTACATCAGCAGGATATAATTATAACATATAAACATTATTTATTTCTTAATTGCAATAAGATTTAGACATGCTCCATTATGGAATATTACCAACCTCGTTAATAAATAGTAATACTGACAAGGTAGCGGCATCAGAAGATCTACACCACCGGCTCTGCATCTGATCGAAAGCATAATCCAGTATGGTTTCACACAATGATACAAAGTGCTTTTGTTGATATTTAGCCAGAACAATTATGCAATTATTTGCTAAAATTAAAAAAAAATTATGAGAAAAACTCAAGTATTAGCAAACCGTGATGACTGTAATCTACAGTACTGTCTATGATAATATCCAATTTTTTCATGTCGTCTATACTTTACTTGCTAAACAGCATTCTTGCAGTGAACGCTTTAGATAACTATTTCCACATTGAATAATACGTCCACCAAGCTATTACAACAATGCAAGTATTACAGAGGGACAATGTCCTGCAGATTAAAAATTACTGATAATACTCAAAATAAAGTATGAATTTAACCTTATGAAAGTGGGCTACTTGAGTCGATATCACCGGGGTTGCATGGAGGCATTGAACAATAATAGTAAAGACGCTACAGAATCCAAAATAATATAGATAAACGATCAAACTCTAGCTTTTATCACAGATAAGATAACGATTATTGTTCCTTTTAAACAAACGGCATAACTACAGCAGATATTGCATACCTGCACAATGCGGGAACTTTTACGAGTAGTTCAGCATATGACGTTGATGTGGTAGCTTTATTATTTAATTCCTAAGATTATACAAATATGAGCTGTTCACTTTTAAGACCAATTGTTACTGCTCCATGATAAGCTCCATTATTAGCTATGACCTCTAAATTTATCATTGCATCGAAATATAATAGATACACGCTCAGTTAATTAAAGTAGACCTTAACATAGGCTTCCATATCTTCAACAAACTGTTCCAGTAAATTTAAAGAAAATGATGCTTCTAAGATCCAATATGTTTTGAAGTTGATCAGAGTATCTGCATTTTGAAGTAAAAATATCAGATAAGTCGGTTTAATATTTATTAACAGCAATAGAAACAACTACTGTGTTATTTTTTTTATTTTAAAATTTATATTATCAAGTATTTGATACTCAATAACCAACCTTTAATACATTTCTTAACAATCGCTGGTTGCGAATTATCCAGTAACCAGCCAATTAAGATGTCTACAAAGTTCTATAACAAAGGAACCAAGAGAGCAAGTTTAATTACGTGAAGTAATCAAATATTAAATTTCAATACCTAAATTTTATTAATAGGACAGTTGCGTATTCTTGTAGAGTATAACAACGTTAAAATTTTTACCTTGAAGTGATTTTTAAATATATGATTATAATGCTTCAATCCATCAATAATTTGTACCAGGCATACCAAGACACCTTCAGGCAAGGTCCAAGGAAGAGAAAAATGTTGGAATTGATAAAATTAGAAGGGAAATAATTTGTATTCTAACTTACTGCTGTCATCAGCGCTTTCCAAGTAGTCTCTAGTTTTGTTCATGATAACCTAGCAAGACGAGAAACATGTTTATGCATGTATAATCGATTTCAGAAATTATTCCCCTGCTCCAATGCATACGTTACAAAATAAGCTAACTAATAATCATGCACTTTAATATTTAGGAAATCACCATTACGAATAAAAGCTAATTAAGACTCCTACCGCTGCCAATGGTTGAAAAGTTTGTTCCGTAGCATCTAATTGTAAAGCCTATTTGCAAAAAATTTAATTAACAAAACAACAACATATGGGATTTATGTCTATCACTTCTTTATAAATACTATTATTACTATTTGATAGCAAGGAGTCAATTTAGAGCTATTTCCATAAATACATGTAAAAATGGATTTTGTATTGGAGGTACTCTCTACGTGTACACATCCTACAAAACATAGATAGGGATAGCTTTTAACTCACCTTGATAATAGCCTGCAGGAAGTAAATATTTGTTTGACGAGGTAAATTTTCATCTCCAGCTTTGGAAAGTAATTTATCAAAGAACCTACATAAAATTGTTTACCGTAACGTCGAAAGTAAAAGAATGCTAAGATCGGGAAATATTGAATATTGAAAGTTGCATAATGTTAGTCATCCTATTACATTTGACTATCTCTGCCCATTGCCTTGCCAACATATCCCAGGCACAACGACGTTTCCTGTTTTAATTCATTGGAATTGCTAATTATTATCCCAAGAGAAGACGAAAGAAAAGTTGTTAGCTTCTACTGTAAATCTGCAATTAAGTTCATACACCGTATGTATATTCTAGTTAGATTAAGAAATGTTCGTATCCATTACAAATACTAACTTTTGATGTAATAGAATATCTTCGAAAGAGCTGGTAATGGCTGAAGCATATTTTCTGATTACCTAGGTTTAATTAGAGGAGAATTTGATCTTATTTTCGATTACGAAATCATCATCTTGGCTAGTCTCAATAATCAAGCAAGATTTAGAGTAGACGGAACGTTCAGTTTGTTTGTGTAGCACCCATCCATAGCAAAGAGTATTCATATTTCGACTTTACCTCGATCGATTCCGGCAGCAGACAGCATTGTTGAAATCCTATAGCAGCTTTTTTACGATATAACTGATCGTCACTACTAACAATAGTCTTTAAAAATCGTGATATCTCAGCATTCTGGAGAGGAATAGCATCGACAGTGGGTATAGCTCTTTTCACTAGCCCTAAAAATACAACATTGTTTATAAATGGATTGCATTGAAATAGAGTAGTCATACATTATATCATCAAAAGTAAACCGTAAGGATCATTCTCAGAGCAGGTTATCTATTTAATATGGTTTACCTTAACTATTCTACCTATGATAACCGTCTAATATGTCATATTGAAGTGAAATAAGTAATACTGTCGACAAAGTAAGCGTGATGGAAAGGGCAGTCCTTGGTTACATGCTTATGATAACATCTAAACTATTCATTATTGTGCAAATGACTACTTGTACCTTTGACAATCAACATGCTAGGTTTCCACTTTACAAGATCGAACAGCCTAATTATAAATGTAATTTATAATTGTTCCATTATTGTAGAAACGACTCCTCGTTAGTCTAACAACTACCTTGGTAGGTCTTACAGCCTACAATACCATGGCTAAATGATGACTAAATGATGTTACTACAATAATAGTCATAGTTACAACGTGGATTATTGGTCCAAATCAAGCCATAGTGCAAGTAAACTACAGTGCATGGACAAGGAAGGGGATCGCTTTCAAGCCAACAAGGTTGAAGAATTTTACAACAATACTAATATCAGTGACGATCCAAATTACTTCTGGGAGTCAAGTTATACTGTAGGCAAAACGAAGTATAGCAAAGATAGTCATGGATTCTTTACTCTATACTAGAGCGTCTACGATATCAATTGTTCATGATAGAGGAAGGAACTGCCCGTTACTTTGACAACCAACGAAGGTAATAAGTCTACAAACAGCGGTTGAAATGTCTTCCACAATAACAACCTGGATTACTTGATGGATGGTCTTTGGCCGTATATTGATGGCGTGCCTGATGCCTCGTTGCACTTCTACTATAACTTGCATGGCCATCTGCATCAACTTCGCGACGTCCACGGTATTTCTTCTCATCGTCATTTTGATTACCAGCAGCATCCCCATGATAACGATGATCCGACGATGAATGCCAACGCTTGGATGAATTTTTCGACGGTGGCCTTGCGCTCATACTCTACACTGGATTAGTCTAGTTGTAATCCGTTCTGCTCAACTATAGAAATGATCAAAGGACCAAGTCAGTATCACAAAAGCAAATGGAAAACTTTGTATTTGATAGCATGATAACATGAGAGAATACTATTGCAAATTAGACAAGAAGCAGCAGAACAACACCGTGTGTACTCCATTGCCTTAACCAAAGGTATACCGGTACAGTGTCTGTTTACTCACCGTTGCAGTAAAAGATGGAATAAAATTCTAGATCAATCCACTAGTATCCATATACTAATTATTCTATTCGGTTAAATTGACATTCAATGGTGTTCAAATTATCCTTGAAAAGCTTTCCTACAGCAGCCTTGGCATGAGAATTCAAGAAATGCAATTGGCCTTGTTAGCCATCATCTCCATTTGCTTCCAAAGTTTTGCAGCTGCTTGTTTAGGTCTGCTCGTACTGTAGGTGACACACTGACACAGTGACACATACTGCAAGCTGAAGCACCGATTGACAGTGTGCTACAGTACGTTCGTACTTGCATTGACGCCTACCAAGTCCGTTCAACCAACATACTGTGTCACTCTTGGATAGGGGTCACCCGCGGACGCTTCAGTACCGTGGTCCAAAGTGACACAGTACATTAGCGCAGTGACTGACACTTACGACACGACGTGCTGCGTACTTGCCATAGACTCCGAAATACTTGCCAGCATTGAATAGTCCTAGACTGACGTTTTTGTAGTGAACGAGCACCCTGATAATGACCCACTTGCTGCATGACGTACTGTAGTACGATAGTCCATAGCATTGAGTATCGGGTATCAAGATAGTCTATGAGCCTACACTCCAGTATGCTCACTTTGCCGCCGCTGAGTCAATGTTAGGGTTTGTCGGGTGGCGAGGAAGGATTTCAACGAGCAAGAAAGTTCCTCAGATCGCCAATATTGGACGAGTTGATGGCGGCATACTGACTTTCTAGTTCAAGTCCAATCGTTAGTGTAGAATAGAAATTGCTATACTCTATCCAGGATTGGACATGAAGAGTAGCAATGGCAGTCGTAGAGACTTGTGTACTACCCCGCATGAACATGGAAATAGTCCATGCTTACCGTGTAGGCAGCGAGTACTGCAGATCGCCAATTTTGGACGAGTTGATGGCGGCATACTGACTTTCTAGTTCAAGTCCAATCGTTAGTGTAGAATAGCAATTGCTATACTCTATCCAGAATTGGACATGAAGAGTAGCAATGGCAGTCGTAGAGACTTGTGTACTACCCCGCATGAACATGGAAATAGTCCATGCTTACCGTGTAGACAGCGATTACTGCAGGTCGAGAGACGAATGGTATGACTAGTTTCAACTTGATTTCCAGTGCCTAATGAAAAGTTCAACAAAGTTCTAAATTAGATCCAGCAAGATAGGCCCTCAGATCGCCAATATTGGACGAGTTGATGGCGGCATACTGACTTTCTAGTTCATGTCCAATCGTTAGTGTAGAATAGAAATTGCTATACTCTATCCAGGATTGGACATGAAGAGTAGCAATGGCAGTCGTAGAGACTTGTGTACTACCCCGCATGAACATGGAAATAGTCCATGCTTACCGTGTAGGCAGCGAGTACTGCAGATCGCCAATATTGGCCGAGTTGATGGCGGCATACTGACTTTCTAGTTCATGTCCAATCGTTAGTGTAGAATAGAAATTGCTATACTCTATCCAGGATTGGACATGAAGAGTAGCAATGGCAGTCGTAGAGACTTGTGTACTACCCCGCATGAACATGGAAATAGTCCATGCTTACCGTGTAGGCAGCGAGTACTGCAGATCGCCAATTTTGGACGAGTTGATGGCGGCATACTGACTTTCTAGTTCAAGTCCAATCGTTAGTGTAGAATAGAAATTGCTATACTCTATCCAGAATTGGACATGAAGAGTAGCAATGGCAGTCGTAGAGACTTGTGTACTACCCCGCATGAACATGGAAATAGTCCATGCTTACCGTGTAGACAGCGATTACTGCAGGTCGAGAGACGAATGGTATGACTAGTTTCAACTTGATTTCCAGTGCCTAATGAAAAGTTCAACAAAGTTCTAAATTAGATCCAGCAAGATAGGCCCTCAGATCGCCAATATTGGACGAGTTGATGGCGGCATACTGACTTTCTAGTTCAAGTCCAATCGTTAGTGTACTGTAGAATAGAAATTGCTATACTCTATCCAGGATTGGACATGAAGAGTAGCAATGGCAGTCGTAGAGACTTGTGTACTACCCCGCATGAACATGGAAATAGTCCATGCTTACCGTGTAGGCAGCGAGTACTGCAGATCGCCAATTTTGGACGAGTTGATGGCGGCATACTGACTTTCTAGTTCATGTCCAATCGTTAGTGTAGAGCAGAAATTGCGATACTCTATCCAGAATTGGACATGAAGTGTAGCAATGGTAGTCGTAGACTTGTATATGACATATACAGTATTACTCCGCATGAACATGGAATAATCCATGGTTACCGTGTAGACAGCGATTACTGTAGGTAGAGAGACGACTCGTATGACTAATTTCAGGTTGATTTCCAGTCGCTAGCCAAGAGTTCAAATTTCTAGACTATATCGAGAATTGGACGTTCAAAGTAGCAACTGCAATAGATAGTAAACAAGACAATGTACCGGTGATAGCGTTAGTTTAATATTGCTAGCTCAAGTTTCATGTCCATGCCTTAGAGGAGAGTCCAATTCCTCTACTACTATACGAGTATATCAAGAATTGAATATTAGGACTCGAGGAGAGGCAACTGGAGTTGTAGTGGGAAACTCCTATACTACGTGTAGATCGAGAATAGGGTACGGAGAGTTATCACTGCAGTAGTCAAAACTCCTATATTAGATCGAGAATAGGATAGGGAGAGCTATCACTGCAGTAGTCAAAACTCTTATACCAGATCGAGAATAGGATAGGGAGAGTTATCACGGCAGTAGTCAAAACTCCTATACCAGGTCGAGAATAGGATAGGGAGAGTTATCACTGCAGTAGTCAAAACTCCTATACTAGATCAAGAATAGGATAGGAGAAGTAGCCACTGCAGCACTCAACAACTCCTATACTGTAGTATATCGTGTTTAGAAGTTTGTATGATTGCGAGTAAAATCGACTAACTAAAGGCTATGCATCAGCGATGACTTGAAAATCAATTACTGTAGCAATAAGTCTTGACCCTCGAATTCATCGTCATTACAACTGCAATAGCGTTGGGTAACATGAATTTTATTATTGACATGCTGTAGTCAATAGAGTCAAGTTTGCAAGCAAAACATGACTAAAGTCAATATTGCACATATGCCTTTCATCAAGTCTATGGCGCTGGATCAGAGTAATCGCTAATAAAGCCCTGGTGATTATCTATTCGTTTGTAGACTGTCAATATTGAATATCATTTGGCAAGAATCGCTTGCATCTTTATCTCGCCGGATCGAAGACGCCAATCATGTAATAATACCATGCAGCAATGATAGCCATACTAGCTATTTACAAACCAATTGCTAAGAAAAGGTTACACAGTAGACCGGGATTGTCCATTCCTATTTTTGAATAAATCACCAAGTAGTATAAGTCGTCCATTCTTGTTTATAAATAAAAGACGATATAGTTTGTATCAAGTTGTCCATATCTATTAATAACAAAACCCAGCCCTTAGCATTGAATAGGTCGAAGAATCGATTTTTTTATATCCTAATATAGCGCTACACTTGGCAATCTATTCATCTTTTGATTGCTAGTATGTCTTGCTTACTAAGGGTAGTATTAAGAGTAGAAATAGTTCTATAAGTTATACCGTTGAATCGTAAGCGGTGGCGTGAACATGGTAGTAGTTATGTGTAACATGCTTCTCAAGTTATTCGTTTACCCAGTAATCATAAAGATGCTCCAAAAAATTGCCACTGATTATGACAGCATGTAAAAACACCTTGAAGCAGAAATCACTATCCATTTTGTACCCGTAGTAAAGTAGATGATTTCCTCCCAAGCGATAGTAATACCTCATTCCTACAAGCCACAATCAAGTCGCAAAGGCAGCTACGCCATTCGTCTTTTTTGAATACTTATCCTTCCGACTTAACAGTACATCTTTCAATTTAATATAAAGTGTATACCGTTCACACGTAGGATATGGTGTAAACACGGTAGTTGGTTATGTGTAACTTGCTTCTCTACTTATTCGTTTATCCAATTATCAAAAAGCTACTCAGAAAGTTGTCAATAATGATGACAGCATATATAAAATACCTTGAAGCAGAGATCGCTATCTATTTCCTACCCGTAGTATACTAGACGATTTCCTCCCATACGATAGCGATACTTCACGCCTACAAGGTACAATCAAATTGCTATGGTAACTACGGTATAAGCTTTATTTGAAATGGTTATCCTCCTAATTTAATAATCGTATACGAATATCTCTGCAACATGCAATGTTACCGTTCTATTGCAGGATATAGCATAAAAATGGTAGTTAGTCATATGCAAATTGTTTCTCTTGTTATTAGTTTATCCAATAACCATTAAGATACTCCATGGATTGTTGCAGCATAGAAACAAGGATATCAACTTTAAATTACAATTTCAAAGTTGTTAGAATCCAATATCCAAATTTTATCATAAATTTTTATAAATATAGTAGCTTCAAAAAGACTGTGACGGCTAAAACTTCCGTAAGCATAAAACTAGTCATCTATAAAGGGAAATGTGCTTCATCAAGAGACTCCTGATAGACTCCATTTTACCAAAGTCCTTCCAGCTACCTAACCGCATAGTTGATTATACCTACTCTTCATGGTTTCTAATCATAGCAGACACATCAAGTTCTTCAAATCAACATCACTCAATAAGGATAAAAACGAACTAGCAGTAGTATTGAAATAGCTACGACGTCGGGCAAAAATCGACTTCATCTCGAGAGAAAAAAATTGCAGATATACGCGCTAGAAACATTTCATGATATACGCGTATATAAATCGTATCGCGATCACTATCATCATTTCTTGTCGGCCTTCTGTTACAGGCATTTAATATCAAAATCAACTAATCATAACCCTTGGCAACTACATTGCCGAGCAGGAGCAATTATTTCCCATAATATAAATTCCTACTGGTCTAAATTGAAAGCCACCAATCGTGAACTGAGGTAATGACAATCATCAAAAAAGATACCGGCTGATTTCTACAACCTGTCATTTGACACATCGATGTCTCCACAAACGCCATTCCTTATTATAGTCATCCTATCTGTACATGGCACCCGCCGATATCCATTCCTTTATCGATATAGTAGCAAAAAGTCATCTATGACCATGTATTTTTATGGCTCGATACCATATAAGTCTTTTCTCTCCTTTCTTTCACTTGCTGACCTAAGCCATATAGTTCACATCGATTCAAATATAGTCAACGAAATGGCAAACAGCAACTCATCTCAATGTTTGCACGATGAAAGCGTCAATGCAAAATCTCATCCTATCCATCTCCAGCCCTTATTAATAATTTTGATTGCAATACGATGAGCTATTCTAATTGCACCCAAGTGAGAGTAGATCTATAAAACAACTTTTGCTAACTTGAATAACGCTAATGGTGAAGACAGCAGAATAAAAATGGAAGATGACAATCAGCCTTCAAATGTACAAGACTTGTGGGATAGTGACCTTGAGAATTTAATTCGTGCAAACTCAACTCGCAGCTCTAACCAAGAGCATTTAATAAGGGACCTATATCAGCAACTGTACAGCGCTGACATCGACGACCCAATCTCATCCTTTCCCATGAATAGTCCAGCCATGTCTGAAACAAATTTATCAACTAGTACATCACTTCAATCTTCAACAGCAAATTCTTCATCAAGCAACGATGAAGAGATACCTCGTAAACTATCCAAGCAAACCATGGGAGATAATACCCATGATAGCAGAGTAGACAACCAAAAAGTAGAAAAAGGAACATCGAGATATGATGAAACTGGCCATGTTGATGGTGTTGAATCAACCGTTGATGAACAGAATCAATCGAATACGCTTCCTGAATCTCAACCAAATCAAGCTGAAAAGTCGGATAATGAAGAGTCAATGGAATCATCGCCACCGATAACTCGTACGAGAAGGGAATTCATCACTGATCAAGGGCACCAAAGTTCCGGCTTTAATCAAATAAGAAATACAAATGCTCCATCGAACAGGGAAAACGATCCATTAATTCGTCATCTTCATCAATGCAAGACGCACATTGCCTTTGAACCCCTGCGGAATCCTATACCAAATCCAAGCCTTACATTTCGTCGAAAACTATTAGCGCCTGGATCTATCCTCAATGGTGGTCCTGGACGTGGTAGATGTAATAATCAGCAAGGTTTACCCATACCTAGATTTCTACAAAATGCTTTAAGGAACACTAATCCGAGAGTTGCTTCTATACTAACTGCTGATCACAGTTTAATGCATCCTATGCTGCCGAGGATGCCGATGCCTATAGCCGCGAACAATGCTGGATTTGAGGAGGTTAGTTAAAAAAAGTATATCTAGCACGAATTGAAGAGACTTTCTAGTGAGAGAACTCACGCTGTTGACGAATTTCAAAGTCACCATTAAACTTGAATTATTTCAAGCCATTAGTTGAGATAGGTAGTAGCCTATATCACCGTAGGTATTGATGGCATTTTACTTTGATGAGTAAGTTTATGCAAAATGTATACAGTAAACATTTCGTTCTAGGAATATTAGTATGTTAGGTAGTAAAGATGACGAATAAGAAATTGATGTAAACAACTAGAATACAATCAGAACTGACTACCTTAAATTGTTTAAAATTGATTTATAATATTTCAGTATAACAACACTTGCTTAATCATTTAATCGACTACTATCGATATCCATCCATAAGAGCTAATTTTTCCCGAACAATGAAGGATTAACTATATTGTAATTGAGCATTTTAACTTTATTTAATCTACGTACTTACTAAGAATCATCAATACATTATAGAAGTCTAGAATTATCAAGCTTAATCCTTCGTTATATATGTAACAGAAGCGGGTCTTACAATAGTTGTTGGTGTTTCTAAGATACAGAAACAGTATAGGAAACTCCCAACTAGTACACCACAGTGCTTCTTTTAACTTGCTGTTATTGATATTGCAAGATAAAGGAACAGTATAAGAAATGGTACAGTACTTGCACTTCTACGTCAGATTTTGAATATGTCCAATATGCAATGCAATACCATCTATATGAGATAAAATAAATTCCATCATTTCTCAACATGTCCAACTTCCAATTAGCTCACGAATGATAACTTAACTGTCATTGAGTACCGTAAGCTATCCAATACTCTCAAATAGTATTATTGATCCAAGAAGATTACCTACATAGATATCTACAGTATAGAATAGAAAAGGACTACATGTGCATAATGAATATTTTTACTTTAACTAACAATTCTTAGCTAATTATTAACAAAAAAATTGTCCTTCTTCTAACGTAGCAAACATAGTCAAAGTTAATATCCATCTTAAAACTAGGCGTAGTATAAAATTAAAATTTGATCTGCACCGGCTAACTTTTGTACCATGGTGTTATTTACACCCACAATATTCATTGCATCACTTGGTAAGCAGTGATATATTATCTACTACAATAACTGTACTGAAATAAGCTAAATTTCTATCAATTGTTTCCAAAATTCTAGCTTCCTGATATATCACTATTGGATACTAACACGAATAGTAACGTGGTTGGTACGAGGAATCAGAACCATTCTCCAGTAAGTGATTCACAAACGACTCTCCTAGGACTGATCTGTAGACATTGTCTATGCAGATTCTAGCTACCTACAGTACAGGATGTACAATGAAGCAGATGTTAATGTAGTTCAATGGTTCTTTATCGAAACTAACCAGGTTATGCGTCATTGCTTTAAAAATTGCTAGTCTTCCGATAGGCAACCACAAGAGCATAATACTACTGCAGATGCCAGCAATACTAACGTAGATAATTCTAACCCGCCACTAACTGCGACTTCACAGCCTCAATATAGCGCAGCTGATGTAAGTCAATTAATTAGTCGAAAACAACACTTAACTCTCTACCCTACTAACGGCAAACTGATCGATCACTACAGCTATAATATTTAAGGCTAATATCTGCTATCTAATGAATAATGCTATCAATTTATTCTAGTATTTTACTGTCAGGAATCATAACCCATTTTATGATAGCACTTCTGTATCTACCATGACGGAAGAGTCTCAAAATTTATCTTCTACAGGCGATAATTCTGTAAATATTACATTCTAAAGTTGAATGAGATGAACAGATTATTTTGACGATATTTTATCACTAATAACGACTGAAAAAGCAATATATTAAATCTTGATATACTATAAAACCGTGAATTTTCTTAAATTGGAACACTAATGGTATCATTATTTTATCACAAAGGCCAATTCTGTATTTACAGATGCAGAAGGCGATAATACGAGTTTGACCAGTAGCGAAGCAAATCAGTCGACAGATATTTCTGCTCCAGCTGAAACATCTCTTAGCCCTTCTTAATCACTGAAAAATGGAAGGTTTGTCTAATAAATACGGTAAAGTGATTAATAACTTAACTGAGAAACGGGACATAAAATATGAATCTTAAATTGGAAAATCTTTCAAATTTATTAATTCTGCTTCTCTAACACAGGTATAAACAGTTGCAAACAAGAAAACGAATAACATCTATATATAATCGTTAAATCAATGCTATAGATGAGTAATGATTGCTGAATGTTATTAATTCATTTAAAATGATTGTATAAGCCGTACTCAACGAATATGGTTACGCTAGTTGTTAATGTTGACTCGATCAGTTAATTTATTAAACTTAATCATCCAAGTAATCATGAATCATGTAATAAAATATCACTTGTTCCATTAGAATGTAAGCTATTAAATGCATTTATCTATACGGTTTAGCAGTTAGATTACTTCATCCGATCAAGAATTGGAATAGATTTGTTTATAGGCCCATTAAAACTAAATTCAGCACAATTTCTTAGGATATACTGTTATGAAATATTTGACTTTTCCGATATTAATTCATATCGCTACGGTTGCTTTAGTACTTAATTCAATATAAAAAAGATTAATATCTCGGTAAAAATAGAAGGTGATTATTAAGAATACTAAAGAGGATGATTAATATAAGATAGCAAATATCTAAAATTAATTATAATAAAACCCTCATCGATCTAACCAAACATTTAGAGTACTTCAATGATACATTTCCTATCCCTATTTCTAGAATTACGTCCTAACTGAAGGGTAACCATTGCATCATTTAAAATTTCTGCTTAGAATACTCTATTCAAATATCAAGCTAGATCTGGGACAAGAAATTAATACTTTCTTCGAGCACTCCAGCTATTGCTAAATGGCTTTTTTGGCATTGTACTGTATTCCATCTAATCTAGTAGTAGCGACTATAAATCTCCATAATAATAATGAGAGTAAGCGATACTACAAGGCGGCAAAGAAGATAGCGTAAAATCAACAAAATTAAAACCTAACTAGTAGTACCTGTAAGCTTGTCTATTAAGATGTACATTTCATTATCTAATACAATCATAAAGTTTAGTTAATGCAGCAGTATTACTAAAAAAGTACAAGTACATTCATTTTTAATGAAGGAAAGTCACTGTACGATTAAAATAGCAAATTTCAATTTATTTTGTTTTATAAACAATACGAACATAGGTTAAAAACTCGATACAGCCAACTGTTGACAAATACTTCCATAATTAGGGGTTATAGAAGTATAACCATGTTTAACTAGTTTCATTTTTTGAAATTTGAATAACTCATACAATCAGAGAAAATATGGTTAATCTTGTGGTTATTAACAACAACGATATTAAATCAAAATCTATCCAATCTTAAATGCTTTAACCTAATAATCATGTAGCCGGTAAGCCTTAGCTTGCTATCCTATTTTTACAAATTGAGTCGAATCTAAGAGATAGAAAAGTTAACGTTTTTCTCTATAACATTGCTCAAGAATTTATTTGATTAATTTAATAATGTAAAATAAATGAGAATCATATCGACATATGACATAAGACTGCTGGCGATTTACATAAATCTTCTCTAGTTGTCCAAATAGTAATGGAGATTGGAAAGTTCGAACTAACTGCATCGTATTTTTATCGTACAATTGTATCTTGCAAGTCAATTTTTCCACTACCATGAAAAATCGAGATTCAGTACTACTATTCCAACATAAATTGGTAGTAAGATTAAAATGTCTAATGGCATTTTGATATCCTTTGACGTTGAGTTTACCGTCTGCACCGATCATCTATTGAACATAAACATAAAAATATTTCTGTTATAAAACAGGAGATGTTAAAAACGGAATCGATTATATTCTTACTATCACGTCTTCTCCTTTCTGTATGAAATAGCAGCCATCCAAATCACTAGCGTAATTCATCTGTCGAGAGAAGAGACAAATAAAAAAGAAAATTAATGATAGTACTGATATTCCAATTTCATTAATCGTATTCTGTTTTCTATTCAAGCCTGTACGAACAAATAAGTCTGTAGTGTAGTGACCAAAATTCTTAATCATATTTTCCTTTTTCCAACTAGACGTTACAATATTTGCTTCCGTCTCTCCAATATTGATTTTACAAGCAAATCCATTAGCATCTTTGTAGTACTGTTGTGACTGAAATAGTTTGGTCTCCATAATATTATCTTCTAATTTGAAGAGCTACAAGTTCATAGGAAAGATTAGATATTATAGATTACTACAGGGTTGCAATATCATCAGGTCAAAAACCGATAGCTGAAATTATTATAATAAATATCTACAGCCTAAGCATTCTGTAATAGTAGCCAGTATCGGATGATAAATACTTTAAAGCACAAAGATAGCATTCTGGTGCACTATTTAAATTAATACTGCTCAAACGTACATTACAGGAATCAATTCTTAAAGCTTTATATAAAGCTTAACACGTGTAAAACTTAATTACGGTACATCTATATAATTTATTAATGAATAACTGTTCTAACGGATATAAAAATATTGAAAGATTGGCCATATGATTGTTATAGCTATTTAATTTTGCTACAGTTAACTACAGAAATAATATTGAATAAGATAGTAATTGTTTTAGTATGGAAACCAAATATACTAATGCATTTTACTGGAATTTACAATTGCCTGAAAGAATAAATTTCTGACTTATAGCTAATACTACTGACCACTTATGAAATAACCCAAAAGGTATCTGTTCAGTACAGAAATTACTTTACGTTATAAATCTGTCAATAAATCTAATCTAACTTGCCCTAATAAGATTCCGTCGACGATCGAAAGATTCTTGTTGTAAGGCTAAGATAGAATCGTCGAAATGCAGAATTTGTGTTTTACGATGGATTCGATTAGGGTCGTAATACATTTCCAGTTTTCCATTATCGCGCTGAATACCCATAACCGCAGTCTGATTAGTGCCATCAGAATGCTACAATAATAAAATATTATTTTCATAGCGGTTAAATAAAGTCGAGTTGCAAGATTAAATATTATATTATGTTATTATTAGCGCGATGAGTCAAGATAAAAACTGAATGACAGCATCGTAAATATTATTCTTTTACCTGAATATCTATAATAAATAGATATTTACTATCCGCCCTTCTGTATCTTGAGCTTAAAACTTCTATCGTTGCTCCTTCTACTAGTAGCTCATCTACCAACCAAGAACATTTATCGATACTCTGCAGATTATTAAACTACAATCGCACAAAGGTAGATTAATTAATTATTAATCTCACAATCTGATACCGGAAGAAAAGCAATAAAACTAACACATGATTGCTCTAAAAGAATTTAAATTTTTCTAACTTGCAACCATTTCCGTTGGCAAAGGTGATATAGATTACTATAGCATGTCATAGGAAAAACTGTGTGACATCTAATCTAACATGAGATGGCTTTAAAATGGCGTAAATTACTTCAAAAAGCTAAAGCAATTTTCAGACTTATAGCGGTATGGGTAAAGAAAATAATTATGGTGCTAATATAGCAAAAAATGTCTTTCAAAGAATATTTCTCATTCCGTTCGTAAATCATTCCAGCAAATCAATATCGTTTATAACATAAACTAGCAGAACAATAGCACTATTCAAGATGAACATTTAATCTGGTTGGCAATATCACCTTTCCAGTTAAATATTTCTGAGAAACATGGACAGTACCTGGCGAATAGAAATATGATTGTGACGATTCCAACGATCTTTATACAACGCACTCGCTTCATAGGATCGGCACTGCTTTATTAAAATAACCGAATTTAAATCATCGTAGAGAAAGCACCAGAATTGACTAATAGCTTTATGGTCATCGAAATCTTGACTGGATAATTCTTCTAATTCCTCGCCTTGATAAATCTAAGAAATATTTAAAGTTAGACCATGAAGATAATGTTATTTCATGAATATCATTTTTTTAATTTTAAGTATACAAAAAAATTGACTCCGTAAGGAAATTATAAATGTTTTAACATCATTATACCTGTAATTTTAATCGCCACTTTTTCATCTCGAGCAATTTTGCAACATAAGGAATGTTATTGATGTAACAACAAGAAGAAGAATAGACTATTTCCTCTTTATTCGATTTCCTATTATTTATTTCATCTGCACTTTCTTCCGCCAAACTACTTCTTTCATCACAGTCATCATCATCCATCATTTCATCGTCGCATTCATCATAATTTGAAGATTGATCATCATGGTTACCTTCGAAATTATAACTTTCAAATGTAAAAGGTTTGTTTGAAGCTGAATATTTGCGTATATATATTGAAGTGACTATTTTTAGATACCATTTCATGATTATCACCGTTAGTATTGCACGAATGTATCCTATCGCCCTATTGCTATTCTTACCACTAACTGCGCCTGGAAAATTTGGATCTTCATCACTCCGATTTTCAATATCGTCTTCATCATTTGCATCATACCCTTGACTTGCCATATCATCGTCTTCATCTTCATCACTTCCATCATTTCCATCCCCATCTTTACCGCTGTCAGAGTAATATTCATCTTCATTCTCTCCTTTCGTTAATTTTCGACGTTTTGCAGGTCGCCAAGGAATGGTACTTTCTTTATTCGTAAAGGTGTCATCATTATTTTCTATTTTCGAATAATAATGGTAGCAATAGATGGCTCGAATGTTTTAAAATCAACACGTGTACACTGGAGGAAGAAAGTTTTTCCCTTACCTACGACTATATATTTGTAGGCTTCTCGGCTATCATTACTATAAGTATACAAATCAACCGTCGTCGGGCAGAAAAATAGTTTTATGGTTCCCATGGCACTAAAAAGCTTTTTATAAGGCTTGGTTCCGAGTTGGCTAGGATTAAAGATCTATTTCAATCCAATATTTAATTTAAGTGAATTAAGGTATGTACTATAAAGTACAAATAAGTACCGTAAACCTAGCAATCTCCGGTCAACTTTTTATAGATATTACTGTATTTATTTAAAGTTATTGATAACTGTATGCTATAAATTTCTAGGAATTGCATTATATGTATTTGAAAAATGCCTGGTTTACGGTAAAAATTAACAAGTCCCGTGGTAAAATTAAAATTACATAAATTGAAAACTTACCAGAATTTCGAATTGCATATTGAGAATCGCTAAGTAAGACTCTACATCAGATATTGCCAAATCAATAATACCCTCTTCATGAGAATACAAGGGCTTGAATCGATGATTAAAGGAAGGAACAAAATCTTCTCGATTATCTTTCAATGCGCTGGACAAGAATCCGATAGCAGAAGTATTGGTAGAAATGCCTTTATACCATAAAATGGTATAGATACGCAATCTTATAACACATTCGACACGAAAGAGTCTAAGTTGATTGGCACTTTGTGCTCCATCGAATGATATCATGTCTGCATATTGAATATTTTGTTGAACACGACACGTATATTGGTGTCCAAATGGATCAACCTGCCATACCTATAGTATTAATTACAACGATTGCCAATTAGATGAACTCACAGCCCTTTCTTAGCTTAGCTTAGCTTTTTGCTAATAACAATTCTTCACATTTATTAACACACTAGAGTTTTAAGAACATTAAGCAAGAACTATATTTTAACGACTATTAGATGAATAGCGTACAGTCGATTCTCTTGATGAATTTCATAATAACAAGTTTATCTTTAAGATATTTTAACACTATTAAAATTGTATAATTAATCTTACAAGGGGATAAATGATTTAGTAGAATAGCACTGGTGCTGCTATTTTATCTGTGGTTAATAATGCGTTGATCTGAAAAAAATGGATCAATTAACTGTATCAGTAAATACAGGATTCATTACCCACCTCTATAGCGCTGGTCGCAGCAAGATCTTCTGATGGCTTTCCATAATGATACCAGAACATAATTTTGGTATCATTTGCCAAGTATTTGCATGCTTGGATTTCATTATCAGACGTAATTGATTTCTCTGTCCTTCTAAATACATTCTCATTCATGATAGGCATCTTAAAGCGATAAAACATGGTTTTAAATCAATTTCATCAAAATCTATTAATTTAATAATTAACAACAAGTTCTACTGTATTACGCGAATGCCATCATAACAGAATAAGTTATGCAACACAGCTACTCTTTTCTACATAGGCAAAATGCAATCTTGTGAGTAGATATCCAAAAAATTTAGAGTGGAACCAAATAGTAATATGCAATGCTTCGTTTTGTATGTAAAGAGTTGATGAATACCGTTAAAAATGATCTTTGCTGCAACAAGTTTCAAATTCAGACTTACTGTAATACTTTTCCTATCGCTAGCCAGCGTTAAAATGTACCATTTCTCGTCAAGATCCCACTTTGCTGGAAATTCAAGGTTAGCTAAAGTTTTGGACGGATTATGATTCCCGTCCTCGTCTTCAAATTCGTATTCCCTTCTGCCATAACCATAGAAGACTTTCCAAGTGTCAGAGTATTGCCCGATATCTGCCTTCCACTTTATTCATTTAATTCAAAAATGGCTGAATATCAGTTTCCAAATTACAATAATTGCATAAAGTTTGTACATGTATCTATCGCATTTGTACATATCGCAAAGAGCTATTTAGAAAAATTTCAGAATATCGATACTGAAAATAAAAACGCCTTCGAAATTATATATTCTACTGACTAAGCAAAGTGCCGCCCATGTATATCCGAATTATTTATACACATGTTGCAAAGAGATACTGCATTTAATTTAATTTAAAATACACACACTGCATAAAGTACGTATATGTGTGAATCATTTTGATACATGTTCCCAAGAGATATATGACAAAATTTCTGAACGTTGGTACATTTAGGAGAAAGCCGTCATCGAAAGGGCAATCATATCAACCTAAGTCAGGCTCAAATTTAGACTTACAGTAGGTTAAATGACTACTCTGTTAAATGAATTACTTCCTTTCTCTACATTTAGTCCAACAGATGAAGGTTACCTCGGATATGGCAAAGGCAAAACAAATCGTCTCATCTCGATGTCCTTTAGGCCCAATTCGAATTTGTGTAACCCATTGATTGCTAACTTCAACTCTACTGCTGATATTGAATTCCTCATCTGTTTCATCATCTTCCTTAACCACCGTTAGCTACACCAAATTATAATTGAACTTCATTATTGCCTAACAGAGACATAACAGCTTAGTTAGCTATAGCTATGAAAGGAACTTTACCACAACTTCGCATTCTTCAGTTTTATTGTTCATGGTGGCAGGAACTAAAACCCCTCCACGTTCATAAGGTGTCGAGCATCGATCAGCAATATCGCTACTACACGTAGTGATCTTGCGGGAAAAATCCATGAACGTTTGCGTATACCCCGTACCCCATCGTTTCCATTTTGGATACCTTCATCAGGGTTTAAGAGAAGTTAATTAACGAACGATGAAAAATGATCGATAATATCGGTTCTAGGTAATTACTTTGCAATGTAGGCATAGGGCAAATGATCTATCTGCGCTTTTTCTTCAGCTAATTTCAAGGCCTTATTGCGATAGAGGCTATAACGACTGCTACACAACAGGAGAAACTGAATCAAATCGATCTTTTTAAAGCTCAAATAGGAACCAAATTCTTTCATGATGCTATAAATTTTCTTAATTTCTTTCTTTTTCTGTAAAAATTGACGCCATAGCAATGGATTAACATTTTGACAAAAAGAAATTCTGATTAAAACTATGGCCGTATTTCACTTGCAACGGACTCTCTAATATGATTTCTGATACCTCATCAACGGGTGATAAATAGTTCTTGTAGCTTTTTAAATCCGTAATAAGTCCTTGCTGTGTACTGGATAGGTTCCATTTCGATACAATCCAGCTCCAGTCTGCCATCATAGTTTCCAAACTAGCTGAACAATCTCCCTTGATGGCATGGTCTACTATGTGATCAAAAAAGTAAGAATCTTCCTTGAAAGCATTCCAATCGCCTTGATAACATTGTAAATAGCGCTCTACTAATGTTTGATTTAATCGCTTGATATACGAATCTTGAGATTGTTCTTCATCGATAGGATATTGGAGATAGTCGATCACTGCATTTTGGAAGTAGATGCATCTATTATTAAAAATAAAAGTAGGTATTGGCTTGAAAACCGATCTCTTCAATGAGGTAATGGATAAAGAATAATATATCAAATAAGGTATAACTACCCATCATCGTCTTGATACAGAAGCAGAGACTTTTCATCCAGACGCTTCAGTAATTGGATCGTATCTTCTTGATTTTGTCTCCATAGACAGTAGATTGATTGAATAGGAATGGGAATGGGGTTATAAACACCAAGCAATCGAATTAATTGACAATCTTTTTCTTCCATCTGACTTAAACTGAATTGAATGAGTGGACGGAGATCACATTCTTCATTCTCATCTTCTTCATCAATTTGTAACTTGTCTACAAGGTTTTTCCACTCGTTGACAGTCTTTAATTTCAGTCCAGCCATAATAGCAACTGCAATTGGTAGATTTTGGTATATTTCAACAGCTTGTTTGACTACATTTTCAGAACTTAAGCGTTGGATAACCTCTACAGGCTGATATAGTGCTAAAATTTCCATGGATTCATTTTGCGTTAACCCTGGCTGTGAATGAAACATATTGTAAGACAATTTATATCTTCTCTCTAAATGTAGTCTAACCTAACAACCCTACTAGTTGAAGAAAGTTAATCTTAAGTCTGATACTTCATGTTTAGTTTAGTCTTGCTTTCAGGAGCAATAAATAAAGCATACATTACGATCTTTATAGATCATTAAGAAGTAATACGGCGAAAACGCTATCACCTGCACTATCCAGTATGAAATTAAGTGTATCGACAACGCTATTTAAATACACCAATGGATGACACTGTTATTAGGTGCTCCTAAGCAAGGAATTTCTAATATTTAAAACGGGATATATTATATAAATCAATCCCAAGATTACATGGCCAAATTAATTGCATTGTTGAAATGAAACGAATTTAATGGAAGTCCCACACGAAATTTCTACTATTCGAAAAGGATATACTAATTTATGTGCTAGAGGATATGGCAATATCAACCCAACTGTTGAGATTGAACAAATTCAGTGGCAGAGCTAATTCCATGTTGTTATTTTAATCGTATCAATACTTACAGGTGATTGTAAACAAGTCCATGTCTCCTGTTTTTCATCGTCTATCCAAGGTGCTGTAATGACTGATTTCTTTGCAAACTGGATATACTGTAGACTGGATTCTTCTTGTACATCATCGAAGATAAATAGAGCTTGCGATTTATTCTTATTCGCTTAAAACAGCATGCAGCACGGTATTAAAATGCAATGCCGGAAAAGGATAAACATATTGCAAGAAAATCAAGACCAAAAATGGATAAGTACGTCCATAAGGATGCACATTGCACAGTCGTTGAACTCGTTGATGTAAAGATAGGAGCTGCATTACGAACTATAAATGAATGATTAACTACCTTGGAAATAACGGTTTAGGCGATCAACAACATCGTCTAATTTTTGAGGTAGATCAATGCCTTGGAGACCGAGTTCGAGGCATAACTTTTCCAAAATTAAAAATAACCGCTGATTTTTAGCATTTCCTAAATAAACAAGACAGGAATGAACACATATCATGTTTAAATGTGGAAAAGTAAGCCGGCATGAAGATTGAATATAATCTCCTAGTTTTCCATAAGAATTTATCTTAATACTGGGTCGTAAACGTATCTAAAGTAAGGAGCTCTGGCTAGAAAAGCATGCCGGCTTAACGATTTAAAATAATTCACTCGTTCTCCATTAGAGATTATCCAAATGTAGGGTATATAATATATGCAAAGCAATGAGTTCTTGCTGTAAAAGTATGGCAGCATAAAGATTGAAAATAATCCGTTAGTTCTTCATTTGAATGAATCTAAATGCAAGGTCTAACATACGTATATCTAAAGTAAGGAGCTCTAGCTGGGAAACTATGCCGACATAACGATTAAAAATAATCCACTAGTTCACCATTCGTGTTTATTCAAATCGACTATCTCAGATATATCCAAGGCAAGGAGCTTTTGATAGCGATAATTGTAGGACTACACCAATCCATGCTTTTCTAGCTTAACCATTTCTATTACAAACAAAATGATATTGCTTACCGATTGTGATCCAGTATACGCCATTTGGGTGAAAAGCTTTCTTTTGCTCTACTACTATTCTAACTGCTTGGCTTACTGCAACAGTTTTACCACTGCCTCGTTTGCCATGAACCCAAATGTGGCCTCCACACTGATCGATATCTTGTAATCGACTGCAGATGTTGTACAGGAAATTCTGCCTGATGATGCAGCGATTAGTTGGAACTTTCATAACATGTCGTAATAAATCTGTAACATGGAGAAAGTTTAATTGCAAACATTCTATGCACAATTAATGGATAGAAGACAGATATTCATGAAAAACTATTATAACAGCATGCAACGAGTAGGATGCTATAACGGCTCCTACTGTAAATTTGCATCTAACATGACTCAAAACTAATGGAAGGCATATATTCTGTTCAAGGAGTTAAAGGGACCGAGTTGCAACATACGGATCAAAGCTACAGCGGTTCTTCTACTTCATGCATTGCAATTCAAAATGTTTTAGAAATAATCGATGAATCATTGTTTTCCTAATTACCACGAATGAATATCTGCCTAGTGTAAACTAATCTCTATTCCATCCTAACGAAAATATGTTTAGCATAAACATAGCAGCCTTAGCTACTCAAATAGCACGTAATACTGCCGATCTCTTAGCTAAATAGGACAATAAATACAATCAAAACAGTGCTCTTTTTTAAGGAATAATACATGTAGTAGTACTTTATTGATGCTGTTGAGGGGCTAACCTTGATATTCGTTGTTATTAGTCGGATTTTGATTCGATACAGACATGTTACCTATTGATTTAGTCAAGAAAAAATTCAAAATAAGAACTAGAACATTAGGATTAAAAAGAACTAACAACACTAGTGAGATTCTAAATACTGTCGATACTTTGCAATTTTACGTCAATTGAAAGCAGCTAGAAAGATTTTTTCGTATCCTATACAATATCTTGAAAAACTGTATGTTAATACTCCTTGTAAGCTATATTACAAGCTGATTGCTAAAACATAATCAGCAGCAAAGCAGACTAGTACCCATACGAATTTCTTTTAAGAGCTAAGTAAGAGCAAGTCTTGTCTTCTTACTGAGGTTCAAATGAGCAAGAGCTGTCAATAATTATCCAATGAGACTAGAAACGACTTTAAAAAAATCGTTGAAATTGGAATTGTTTGCCTTAGCTCTATCATCGCTTACTACAGTAAAACAAAAATCTACATTTGCAACTTAGCATTTACTCCATCCTGTTATACTGTAATTCTAACCTCCAGAAAAAGGATTCATTATTCACGTCATAAGAACTCAGCAATGCAAACAGCATAATATCTATCGTTTTGACTACGAAAAGTCGTTATTGTAAGGATTATTACAGTATACAGTTTTAGAGAGTACAAAAATCCTTCCGAAATAAGCATCAAACTGTTAGAGTGTATTCTAACTTGGTATTGATGATAATAACTGCCCTAATAAGTCCGTTACTTGTTTACTGATCCGCACGTAATTCTTTCTCCAACTTTACTATCCAATCATCATGGTAGACAGCGTAGCAATGATGACTATTTGTAATGAACTCTATTCAATCTCTATGATATAATCGACTGATGCTGTAATCATTCTTATTATGATGAAAATATCCCATACTCCTCCGTTAGTAATACAATATCTTACTTTGATTTGATGAAACTGGCATATGGAAAGCTCCACCATCAATTGATCATGATAGTCCTCCACCTGTAATCCTTCGCTAGCTCAAATAAGCTCCAAGCGTGGTGGCTAAGCATAATTAAAAGAGGACAGTCTAAGCCTATCAGAATCGTTGATTTTGTTTAGTGAACACGTTTCAAATTATCATATTTTAAAACTAATTATGAATTCATAACCATCATTCCCACATGCAACGCCCAATTTTGACTTTCTCCAATCCTGCATTAGGTTAGGAAAGCAAGGGCGTTGATCTTATAGATGCCTTTGTTCTCAACTTTGTAAGTTTGTTGTTGGTCTCCACAGCTGCAGCATTCCGATTACTTCTTCAACAAACGCTTCAACATGTTACAAAATATTTTTACTCGATTGTAGTATAGCCCTGTTACGATGCGTAAGCTCGTCCAAATTATAATTATTTTTAAAAGGATACTTTTATATTATATGCACCAGGAGTTTCTGACGAGACTATAAAAGGCTGATGCCTGAAGATTCCTTTTTAGTTCGTTAGTCGGTTAGATAGTCAACTAGTTTTCAATTGATATTTAATTGTGAAGACTATAATCTTGGGTGCCAAGATTCCTTCAGTAATAAATGATAGTAAATCTCTGACTATCTCGTCTACATCATCTGTGACGCTATAATTATACCATAGTATTCGGTTGTTGGAACTGAATTAGTTGGTGATATAGCTAATCTCGCCTCTTTAAGTTAGTAAGTGGCGTTCTCCGCAAGGATTGGCGTGTGTAGACTACTTTGTCACTAGTGGTGTGTGACAAGCCCCAAATATATCGAAGATTAAGATTATTGGATTGTAGGAGAATCGATAAATTGTATGTAAGATTGTATATAGAGATCGTCCCGAGAAAGTCCTTGGTAGTACTTTATAATTAGGCGAACCTAGTATGCAGTAAGTAAAGTTGACAAGAAACTGCAATTCTCGTAAGCTTCTCGAGAAGACACTTTATCACATATATCAATCCTTGAACTAGCACAAATTTACTTGCTCCCAAGTCATAACGCACCATGAATAGGGTAAATTAGGAAATCAATTTAGAGATTAACTGTCTCTAACGTTAGCGTTTTAAATATTATTAAACACCCTATATATGTATATAGAGATCTCCCGAAATAGTCCTTCGTAGTACAGCACATAAATCAAATGCAAATGCTCAAAGTAACTAACAGTAAATTGACATAGTTTTGCGGCTAGTGAGTTCAAAGAAACAATCGATTTCGTGGCAAATTACCCTATCTCTAGTCTAGGCAGATGAGTTATTCTAGTCCAATCACTTTAATCTACCTCTCTATTTAGCATAAAATGAGATATAGATACACTATACTGAAATAAATATTAAGAAATACGCAATCCATTTTAGAATCGAATTATCGATATTATAATGATTTCACTTGGATAATAGCCAACGGATCAGTTTAAGCTTCAGATAAATAAAATAATATCTACGAGTAAAATGGAGATATGAAGGAGGATCGTAGTCATTTACAGGAAACTACTTCTTATAGAATAATTGTCAACAAGCTATCATCAAAGTAGATGATATAATTTCTTACTGTAATTTACTCTATCACTAAGTGATTAAAAATGTTAACATTCTAATTGATTATATGCGTATGTTACTCCATTTCTATGTCACTCGCATTCATAAATCCAACCTATAAAGGAGATCTTAACTGATACTTCATTTATTTGATTGAATCCAGGAAGATATGATAGTAAGCTAAGATTCACTTACCTCCTACATGATCGTGAGCTTAAATCATCTCATATGAGATAGATAGATTCCGATTAAGCGTCACTGTAGCTGGTTACTATTAGTTAAATATTATTTTCCTTTATCATCTCTTTAGAGTATTTACATTTAAAAATAGTAGTATTAGTATAGTATCTTAACCTTTAAATATCGATACATTCTGCAATAGCTAGTTGCTTCGGTCGATAAACTACAAGTCTATTTAATTATTAACAAAATCGTTTAGGTCCTAGAATTTTTATCACAGTTTTAAAATTTTTCTTCGTTATTAATCATCGTATATATTCTACTTAGGTGGATAATGCTATAAAATTGCATTACCTAGACTTAACGATTGTATTCAAGAGAAATGCGAATATTAAAAGACGAAACTATAGATTCTCGTATTTCTTGTTGGAGTTCTGTTCCATTGACTCTATGCCTTTAGACTTTGTTCGTATTAATGAACATCGATCGATGTTACTGTATATGATTTCAGTATATATAGTATTATGTTCAGAAACAATATAGCAGTTGCTAGGGTACTCAAGGAAAGTGCTGATTTTTTGTTGTACTGTAGATGCAGTTTGATATTTTAATAGAGAAGAAAATCTTTGCAGAACCTTTGAAAGATTAATTATTATTAGTTATCCTTGTAGGGAAGATTCGATTTATTATAGAAACAATGATAAGATATTTGCAAATCAGAGCACTTGGAAAGTTCAGTTTCATCGATATGTTATAAGGCAAGTTTTGAATTTTAGCTATTTATCGCTGCTTATCAATTATTTATTTAAAGGGTCTATGTCTATATCTATAACTATATCTATATCCATACTGATCAGAATAATCCGAAATAAATGTAATAATTCGTGTAAATGCAAAAATCAGATTAAGTCATATGCATATCATATACTCAGTGCGAAGTAACAGGTGATAATGTAAAGTAAAAAGTATAGATATATACAGACTGCATACTGTGCAGTACACGGAGTAGAATGAGGGTGGTTCCACTAGTCTATATTATGATAGAATAGCTGATCAATTTACTGTATTTGCTTATGAGCTTAGTTTAAGTTATTTTCACTACTCCGTAGCATAACTCCATATATTCGTATGTATGTATAATCTATATTGAACATTTTATATTGTGTAAATCTGTTTACATTCTTATTAAATTATATCATAGAACTACATTAGTATAAACATAGAAGTAAGATATTCTTATTAGTCATTCGCGTTATAAATATTATCTCCTGCTGTGCTTCTAGTAATATAACGTCGATATTTGTGCATCTATCGAGTGAATTAGTCCTAGTAGCAAGTTACAAGGTAATCTTGCACGCTTTATAATCTATTCTACTTTATCATGACTATTCGACTAGTCACGTCGTTACACACGCTATAACTGTGCACAATTTTCTATTCACACACCTAGCAAGAAAGATTACTTTTTCACCAGTTATCCTCTTGTCATTTCTTACAATTATGGTAATCACACCATCTTCCGAAACATCACAGGAGATCCAGGAAGGTTATGTTTCAGCAATATTTGCACTTTGTGCCCGAAAGTGCATGGAATGTTCCTTTATGAAAACAAAAGTTAAAACTGAGTGATGATTCATTTCACTGTTTACGCAGCAAAGATGCCATCTAAAGATATAAAAGGAGATGAAGAAGTTCAAGTTACTAATTATAATTTTATCACCACGTCCTGTTTAACACTCTGGGCATTACGAATCAAGAAAGAACTACAATTAGCTAGTTGTAAGTGGAAACTATCTTGATTTATAGAATTTTATGATTCACGAGTCCATCATTTTCCTAGCTGATGATTAAGCATTTCATCTATGTCATAAGCCATTCATTTTATTTTACATTGCTTTTCTTGAGATAGAATATCATGATCCTTTTTGTACACCCCATGGTAACATAAAAACACATCATCCTCCAATAAATGATATATTTCCCAGATTTTAAACTGCATCACTTTCGTCTTTAAAGTTAAATTTCATACTGTATATTAGATCACAGCCGTAATCAAATTGCACTGAGACGGTAGCAGTATTTGGCTGTTTGACTAGTAACGATAAAGTTTCATTTTAATTTTTCTGTATATATTTATAATTAGTGCCTATGATTGCAAAAAATATCGTCATCGGGATTACAAACGCAATTTGCATACCGTACTATACGATATTCTTTAATGTTTATTTATCCCATTTATAATACGAAATGCCTTCTTTTTCAATAAATAATTAGTTTTCTAGGATTTAAACGATCATCCTTTCGCCTTCAAAGTTAGCTTTATACGGAGTATTATGTCAAAATGCTAACCAAACAGCATCGAAATTAAAGCAGTATTTTACCATTCTGATACTAATGTGCTCCTAATGCAGAAAATTTATTCTAATTTTTTCCCTTTCATGTTTATGCATAATAACTAAATATAATACTAAATTGACTTAAGATTCTCAATAATAGTAACAGTAATATTATAGATGGCTTTTATAGGCGCAATTTGCAGCACATACTTTACGATATTGTCTAGTCTCAGTCTTTGGCTAAGGCAACTCGATTTTACGGTACTAAAAAATTTCTTTGGAAACAGGCATTAAAATTATTCCTAGAGGATGTTGAATGATATTGAAAGATATACATATTTAATTAGATATCATGTTATTAACACCTATCAATATCAGCACTACTCCAATTTGTCATTGAAACTTTCTATGATAAATGAATCTACGTCGATTTAGTTATTTTATTTTCTTATTATTCTAATTACATTTTCTTACTTTGATGAATGCTAAATTGTCTAACGCATTGATAAATTTAGTTTTAATTCTATCTAAGCAAGCATCAATATCAGAATTAGATGAAGATATCTTTAATGTTATAACCTGTTAATACGTATTATCCTGGTAAAAATGATGTTCGTGTTTGAACTGAGATTTGCTTTCTACCTGCCACAATATTAAATTTTGTTATTGCCCTGGCAAAAATGTCTATCAATACAAAGCATTAAGCTATCAATTTCGTTTAAGATTCTAAATGATCATGCCATCTATATAACGAGACGTTAGTAAAGTCTTTCTTTCCATGCCTTTAGGCAAAAATGATATCAAAATAAAAGTATCTCATTCATTTACTCTTGTTACTTTGATATTACCTTTCAGGCTGGCAATATGAGTCTTTGTATTAAAGGAATTGCTTCTGAATTAGCTCAGGAGAACACTTCGATGATGCGATCGCTTGATCTTGTACATGAAGGCTGGCAGAATCCATCGACTGTCAGCAATAATGAATTGATACCTGGTAGTCGGTTAATCAAAAAATACAATGGAACCATAGAATTACTTCCTAAAACACCAGGAGAGATTATCGGAGAGCAAATCGTAAGACCTGTCTTAGATGCAACTCTCTCTGTTGCAAAATCAACCTTGAACATTTTAACGCAAGGTTTCAACTTGTTGGATCGTGGAATGAGTAAAATGTTTCAAATACTACCTGCAGCACAGGCTACTGATGTAGGACAGATTGCTTATTTTGAAGGTAGCTGTCCAGAAGGATGGAAAAAGTACGTCCAAGCTGAAGGTCGGTTTGTCATTGCTGCTGGATCATTTCGTGGTCGAAGTTATGACGGTAGAGTAGAATCTGCAAGTTATAGTACTGGTCAAAAAGGTGGAGAAATTAAACATAGATCTACTATCAATGAAATGCCTCATCATAAGCATGATTTTCGAGTTAACAAGAATGGGGCTATTGGCGAAGGTGTCTTACTAGGAAATACACCTAATGAGGGCCCTGGATACTCTGGCGGTGGCTATTATCATCTTGGAATTAGCAGTGCTCGTATGAGGTATGCTGGAGGCAATCGACCTCATAACAACATGCCTCCTTATATTGCTCTTCAAGCATGCCAAAAAATCAAGGATATTGAGCTATCTGGATATGCTCAATCTTCTGATTTAACTACTACAGCTCAGCAAACTCAATCCACTTTGGCTGTTTTGAAAAAGACTATTGAATCTCATCAAAGGAGCTCTAATGCTACTGTCCTTGCAGTTAGCTCTAGGGTTGCAAAACTGCAAAAAGATCTTGAAAGCTGCAAGCGAAATGTTACTTGGATAACAGCCAATCTAAAACAAGCTCAAAGCAAGGATTCTCTGCAGACAGAAATGATCTCTTTCCGCGATCGTTTTTCCCTCTTAGATGATCAAGTTAAAAGTAATCGAAAATTCTCTGATACTTTATTATCGGTCATTGATCAATTGAAAAGCGAAATTGCTGCTTTAAAAAGAACATCAGAATATGAAAGAAGAAGAAGATGAAAGGAAAAAAATAAAATTGGCCGTTACTGACTTCAATAAACTCATATATTAGCCCATCTTACCAATTAAATAATCCAGATAATGGCGATAGGTGTAGCTGGTATCCTCTTCTCTAATAAGTAGAGTAATCATCACCATTGAGATGAATATAGCAAGTGAAGTATAGAAAAGAATGTCATTTTTGAATTAGCTTAAAATTATTGGATGGTAAATTCCATACATTAACGGAACAGGCCATCGTTTTATCTAGGCTAGCATTAGCTCTCCAGTCGATTTAAACCATTTTATCTTGTCCATAATCTTGACGGAAGATTATTACTTGTTGTTAACCTAGGCAAGTTTATCTTTAATAATATTTAAAACTTTCAATTGATTTACTATTGATGGCATGTAAATTTTCTAACTTATCGTTTACTTAGGCAAGTATATCTTTTATAATTCATATGTAAAACCTTCAGTTAATTCATTATTATCGGTATACAGATTTTTATTTATCATTGACTTAGCCAAGTTTATCGTCTATTTAATAAATAAAATCTTAAATTAATTCATTATTGGTAGCATACAGATTTTTATTTATCGTTGACTTGGGCAAGTTTATTCTGTATTAACATGTAGAAATCTTGAATTAATTCATTATGGATAGCATGCCTCAATGAAAGCTTATGAGCAGTTTTCAATATCGAAATAGTTCTACTATGTGTAAATTGATAGGAAATTGTGTCGATGTTTGTTCATTACAAAAAGGGGATCCATCAAGGAATCCATTTGTTATCGATAGCTCTTTACTGTCCTAAGATTGATTGATTGATTGATTAATTTATTACCTTACCATGCAATAAACTATATGTTAATTAGCTCAATCTTAGATATTTCGGTTTCCCTCATTTATGATCTAAAATGGTAGTGATTGATGTCAAAGGTATCAAAGCCTATCAGTAATCGTAGTTATAACATCACCATTTTAATGCATTGCTCATTTTCATTAACAACTTATCTCCAATATACGGCAAGAGGAATACCGTCTAGGCCATTATTCCCAACTATTTTTTCTAGTTTTGACACATTGCGATTGGATCGATAGAGTTAAAGTTGACTGGTGCATAGTCTAGCGGCCATAGAAATAAAACTTTAGCCATGTTATACCAGGCTACGACAAACTGTGATTGGCTAGGTGGAATTAAAGTTTAGCTGTACCTTACGTAGAAATAATATTTTAACCATATTTTAAACCTCTCCATGATAATCAATACGACAGTGCCAACAGCATCTACTTTTATATAAACTCTATTGATCATATTACGTCCTCTATTTAAACCAGAAGACGTAAATATGGGAATAAGGCTTTTATATTAACAGCAACATATCTTGGTTTACCACATCAAACGAACACCAGAGTCGTTAACAAGATAGAGTATAACTCATAGCTTCTCTAATTTATACCAATCATAGAATTGATGAAAGAAATACATATTAAAAAATAAAGGCTATCTCAAAAATGGGAGCTATATAGATGTCAAAAGCTAATTAGGCTATAAAAAGGAAACTAGCAAGTCTATATCTTATTGAAGTCATTTTGAATTACTTAGTAGAATTGATGAAAGGACGAAAACAAAAAAAGCTTCCTTCTATCTAGTCTAGGAGCTTTTGGAGTTTCAACATGCTATTGGATAGTTAAAATGAGCTAATATGAGCTATATCCTCGTTGAAAGTAGAAATAGAATAGTTGTATGGAATGAGGCAAAATTAGTAGATTCAATGTTTTGTAGAATTACTTGATTCCATTCTTAAGCTACGGAAATGATTGCTGTCTAGAGGAAAAAGGAACTTGCTAGTCTACTACGATATCGATTGCCTTGCCTGGGTAGGTCAACTAACTTGCTATGTTAATCACTATGTGATATCATGGAAACGAATGAGTGTTCTGGATTGATCTTGTCTTTTCCTACTGTCAGCTTTTCTACTCCCTATCTTAATTCTTAAATTTCATTTTTAAAGGCTTTGTCAACTTGGCCAGTGTTCGAGTATCTTCCTTATCCGATTTAGTTTCTTCCTTTTCCGATTTGATTTCTATCTCATCAGTAGATCAGAGACCACGGACCAAATTGGCATATCTTTTTTCCAAATATTTGATGGCTATTTTCAGGTTGGATAAAGCCATCGCTTCTTGTAAGAGCTGTAATTCGAATGTTTCATTGATATTTTCCTGAAGCAATCTATCTTGCACGTTGTTAATCGTTGCTGCCAATACTATGGCGATCAATAACACTGTGATCAAGATGATTTTGATATTCATGGCTGGGTCTAATTAATCCATGGAGAATAGCCGAGAATTTACAAACTATTTGCATTCTTTCGTTTTTATCAAAAATAATTGGCTAGGTTAAGTGCAAGATTCTATTACTGTTGTAGTAATAATTAGCCCAAAGCTATTAATAACCCTAAGTATCATCATCTAAGATTTTTTTCTTAAGCATAATCTGCTATTCTATAACATAGAGTGCTTTATTTTTATATTAATTGTCCACTTATAAAATACATCATCACTGCAGTTTGCTAAAATTACTACTAGGATAGATTCAATAGATCGGATTTAGGATCAAGATTTGAGAAATACTGTAGTATGATCAATAAAGTTTATAATAAAAAAGTTCGTAGTCTTACAGTTTAGATATTGCACATCGGAGATAGAGTCAACCATTTTGTTAACTAATTCATTAGGGCTAGATATGTTGAACAGTTGTAAGAATCAAGGTGGATAGATGGAGTAATATCGAGATTTTAAAAAGTCAATCATTAAAGCAAAAAGTACACAGAAACTGCGCTATTACGGGAATATACCTTTATTCCGGCTCATCAACACTATATCGAATCTACTAGCTACAACAAAGCTAGGTAATTCTAACAACTATCAAAATAAGAAAATGATTATGCTAGAATACTTATGCTACAGCATAACGTTGAGTAATATTACTACCAAATTAGAATAGAAAAAAATTCCGAAATGGATTAAACAATCATTACTGGTGGTAATGAAAATTCCGTGAGAAATGTGAATTATTCATGAAGTAAAGGTGGAATTTATGAATGCCTGCTTTATGATTAGCTATGATTAGTAAATAGGTTGTTATATTGAAATAGTGCTAGGTAAAATTGTTACCTTAGCGTTAGATAAGTTAGTATGAGAAATTCAATGATTGACATTGGAAGTTAACACTAAGCCGAATTTACACAAACAGCATGAAGATGGATACCCTCTGTGTCAGGGGAAATGGATCTGAAAATCATGTCAACAGCATAGGTATGCAAAATAACATTAGGTGATTTGATTAAGTGAGAGAGAGAAATATTTACTTAGTTCATATAGTAATTACTGAAGCCAAGAAAGTGATGGATGCACATCAAGCACTTCATATTGCACTGCACTTCCACAATGTCTAGCGAGATCGTAGACGTTCCTTCTTGAATATTTGATTGAATAAAACAGTGATCTATCAGCTGCTTGATTGCTTCTACTTTATTTAGATCTACGTGCAACTCATTGAATGCATATAATCAACATTACTCTTAGCCAAATCTACTCATTGAAATCAATTTAGGAGTAGCGAAAGATAGTCTAATAGTAGTGGTTATTACAAGTCTATGAATGCCATGGATAGCTTAGAAACCCTAAATCATTGTCGATAATTACTTTATTAAGCACAGCCAACGCTAGACAGTATATATTGCTTTATTTTACATTACCTTCATACTTTTAAAATATTAAACCACTACTATGAACTAGTGTCTAGGGATTACGGATAGGATTAGGAAGAATAGCCTAATGCGATCATTAATAAAGTGAATCAAATGAAACTGGTAGCAATCAATGTCATGAATAAGTTTCGAAAGCCTAAATCATCGCTAACAATTACTTTATTAAGTTCAGCCAGCATTTTACGGTATAATATATATTGCTTTATTTTACATTACTAGCATACTTTTTAATCTTAAGCTACTGTAATTCACTAAAATTACTACTATGAAATAGTTTCTAGGGATTACGGTTAGGATCAGGAGCAATAGCATAATACGATGAGTAAAGTTAAGAAAAAGAAGCTGAAAGCAAGCAATATCATACGTGGGTTTGGAAACCCTAACTGAGCCATTATCTAAAAATACTTTATAAATCACAAAAGTCTATGCTACAGTATATAGGTGTTAATATACTTTAAAAATACATAACCACGGCAATTAGTTGAAATCAATACCATAAAATATGAGCTAGGGATTAGGATTAGGAGGAATACCGTAAGTACGATCAGTAAAGTTTATCCAAAAAAGAACCCGGTTGTCAATAAATGGTATGAATAGGTTTAAAATCCGAAGTACAAATATACGCAAGTACAGTAGGTAAGCTATATCTACTTCTGTTTGAATTCTGCTTTTATGACTTACCAGGCAATTTTTTATTCATGACATGTTTCCGCGTCAAATATCGTCAAATTAGCTATAAAAAAGATCAGCTTTGATATTAAATTATCACCCTGAATACTTATTATATGATTAACTACTTCAAATTTTATTTACTTCTGGACACTTTATATCGTTAAAACATTGATAAATATGTTAGTTATCATCCTGTACGCTTTCTACAAGATTAAATATTCCAACTTTGATTTATTTACAAACAATTGGAGCAAATAGTAGATTTAGGCTACTACACTTCCTCTTTAATAGCCAATACAGCATGAAGGAAAGCTACAAGTAGGATTTTATTCTTCTTACATCATCATGTTGTGATTTGGAATCGATTTTTAAAGCACTGTTAGGTACTCCACCGAACTTATAAAAATTATTTTCGGTATAGTTATTGTCGATAAAACAGTCAAAAATATAAACATCTGTTTAGCTGAAATGTTATTGATCGATAAGAGTTATAAAGCATACGTGCAATACAAAGTTCTATTTATGTGTAAGATTTGTTCGCTAGATTCGAAGTTAAAAATCATGACAAATCTGCTAACTTAACTACCGTATTACTTTTACGAGTGGATCAATCTCCATCATTAGAGTAAAAGATTTAGTCGTATGAGTTCTTGGTATATCCATAGCATCGACTGATGAATATGCTAATATATTATATTACAACATATGATATATCTGCAAATGAAATCAGCTCCTTTCTAAATATCGTTGATAAGGAGAATTGAAACTATCCCGAGCCAAAAGGTCTAGTAGAAAATAATTTTCATTGGCGATACTGTATGGTATATGTAGTGCGATAAAATTTAAAGGTTACCATGTGTTGATAAAGTGGCAGAATCGGTAGGGTGGATTTGTAATTCTGCTTCGTAAACTAATTGGCTAATTTTAAAGCGTATAATACTACGAGTTCTTTGTGGAAAATGGCCAGTGACGGTGGCGATCGATTCGAAAAATTTTAACATTTCTGTTTCTCCTTCGTAGAAGTTAATTTCTTCTGCTTTTGTATCGTTCACTTCTACAGTATCTGTTTGCACGCCTCGATCATTTGTTTTAACTGCTATTTTTCTCTTTCTAGTACCACATAATGATGGAATTACTTTCTGAGGTGCTATCTCCATGGTTGGCTCTTCTTTATCGCTCTGATCAGATACTAGTACATCCCATAATGTAGCACTTTCCTCAGTTTGGCCGTCATCCGAATTGGAAATTCTACTACTGAAATTATAAATACATTCCTTTCTTTAAATTTAAATTTTAATAATATTAATTACTTGGCCACATTCACTTACTCTCAACTATGAATCTGCTTAATTAATTCACAGAATTTGAGTATTACCCTCTTGGTTTTATATGTGATGAAATAAATTGCATTTCCTCGCCATATTTATAAGACATGGATATGGGGTTACTTTGATCGGCGCTTGGTTCAGAATTTTTAGGCGAAGTGAGTTTGGCATTTTTACGAAAAGAATCGCGTAGATTTTTCCAATTCTTTCTTGCTAATTCTCCTGTTAGAAACTAGGGCTTAGATTAAAATGTTTCTTAGAAACTGCATTTACAATCATTAAAATTGCTTACCATGGATACTTAATGCTTCCCCGATAAAGCCCCATATTTTATCCTTTTTTTTAACATCAGAAAAACCCTCATGATTGGTATCATATAGAATAGGATGTCTTTCAACTAAATGGATTAGCCTTTTCTTTTCCTCGTTTGTTAACTTTTGCATTATTTAATTCCAATGCAGCTTGCAAACGCACCTTCCGATAAAAATGGTATAGATATGAGAGCATATCAAAAGATTCCGATATAATTTAACCGTATTTAAATTTTACAACTAAGCAACTACATACGCTGTGAAACGATTTGTATTACTGTCAAATAGATAAAACCCAGTAGGAATAAATTGTGTAATTAATCTAATCCCTGTAAGGTTAACTATGAACACCACCCCTTTGGCCATTTTACCATAACTGCAATCTATTTTGGTTTAGCTTATTATTATATTTATAAGTATTGACAATTTACTGTAGAAGGGAAATAGATCGACGCTTGTAGATATAATTAAATTCTATTGAAAGTTATGACTAGTCCGATTACCAAAGATATTTATATTGCCTTCTAGTCAGTAAAAACGCCATAAAACAAATTGCTTGAACTAATAAATATAATTGCTTGAAATTACTAATGAATATCCACGTTAGCCAACTTACCGTCGCTGGAATTCTATTAGGATTTCAGTTGAGGACTTTACCAGAGTCAGCGGTTAAGAAATAATAGAGAAATGTTAGAATTGCTTATGATACTTTCTATAATTTAATACAACTTCTAGTTTACCCTGCCAATCTACCGTACAATTTCATCCCGGAATACAGATAGCCGACACAGAGATAATTAAGCTTGTGGGCAAATGTCTATAGCTGAAAGGTCATTACTGATAAAATGGAAAATTGAAAGTTTTTAACTAATGTCAATCTCTTTCAAATGCACCAAACGAAAATTGTTTATTACTATTAATCTTATTTTAATTATGGAAATGTTTAAAATTAAAATAATTGCGTATGTAAAGGTACAGATATTAAAACTAGTCCCAAGTACTAGTACTAGAACCCTTCTGATTTTGAATATTGACATTAAGCATTAATTAGATAAAGAAACGCCGCTAAAATGCCATCCACATTTTTGGATCAAAGCTGTCGCGGTAGTGAATTAACGGTAAATTATATTTGTATAGTGAGTTAAAATTTTAAATCAATGTAAAAGTAATCATCTAGGGCCTAAGGATAACTGTACTTACAATTTATAACTCCCATGTGATTCTCAATGTCAATAAATGACAAAGATGAAAGCATGGCTAATGTGTTAGAATAGCAAAACATCACATTTAATGACATTATTTCGTCTTGATGAGGTGGTTGCTATACAATAATTTCATCCAGCAACAGTAATCATTCTAACTTCCAAATGTCTAAATTATCAATATATTACGATCAGTATCAAGTTAATTTTATTTCCGGAAAAAGATAACATTGAGATGGCAACTAGCCTAAAATGCAAAATCATCAATAATAATCAGCTCAAATCGGGTTAATATTTATCTAGTACTCGATAATGAATAATTGGCAAGCTGAAATTTAAAGGGCAACATTGGAGACATCTAATAATCTGAAAAGCTATCTTAATATTGAATAACTACCAAAATAACAGCCGGTCCTCTTATACGAGTTTTATTGATTATCTGTACTATAATTTATTTAACCGACTAGATACCATTAGCGTAATTACTTATGTGCCTGAAATACAGCTATCGTAGAAATCATATCAGATTATATGATTTCAGCCAGATAATAATTAATCATGGCTTTGCCGTAAATTAGCCGGCACATCGAAACATGTTTTGACGTTAATTTTCATGCCAACCAACGCAATCATGATTATTTCACCGGTATGATAATTTATAATTATCTGATAATTGTCATTAACCAGCTGCATATAAAGACAGTACTCACACGAAATGCTATAATCATAAACATGAGCTGAAAGAGTATTTATTTTAAAGGGATTTAAATTTGTCTTAATTTAAGCGACAAGATGGAAAGATGGTGATAGTCGATTAGGATCTCGCTTATGGAGTCGAATATTATCTTGTCATTTAGAACTGCAATCGTAAATAATAGCCAATCGATCATTTTACCGGCAAGGGATTTAAATGCTTGCAAGATTTATAGAATGCTAAAATCATGACTACAGAGCCAACTTAAATACAATTGCACCACCTACAATGAATTTTAATTATTGCTTTTCTACAATTTCAGTCAGAAATAGTGGAAAAATGGCAATTAGTCTAACAGGCTTAAAATCATTTTTGTCAAGTTCAATAACGCCATTTTTATCGATTGATCATGGATAATTATCCCTAAAATTATTATCTGACAGCAAGATGCGAAGATTGTTCCAGGTTTAAAGTACTAAAATCATGGACCTTGATTTCATCTACTGTTATCATTAGAATGTACATTTTACTAATATGGATCAATAGTAATGTCAAGAAATTAAGTAGGAAAAAGCTTATTTGCAAATAAAAGTTGGAGATAAAGTAGCGCTTAGAAAAATAATTAATACGAGAAATAAATTTCCATGTTATTTCCTGTTTGTCAATTGAAAAATTAGCGTATGTTGGTAGCGGTTAGTTCCTAGAATTATTTTCAATCAGCACAACATAAAGATTGTTACAGGTCTAAAGTGCTACAATGATAAGCCTCCATTTCTTCCATCATTGTCACTAGAATAGGTATTGTACTTACACCTGTCGAAGGTTTGGTTCTAGTTATGTCAAGAAATTGAGTTGAATCAAGCTTATTTGCTAATCAAAATTAAGAATAAAGTAGTGCTTAATAATTCATGTATAGAAGCAGAAATAAATTTTCGTGTTATGGTTGCTATTGACTGAAGAATTTGGCGCATACTGTATGTCGGAAGTGGTTTGTAATGCCATATCCAAGGTAAATACACAAAGAGCGATGCTATTTCCTTAAAACTATTTATAATCGTAAAAATCGTCTGTTGATTTCAGTAGCTGGAAATTTCTTGAATACTTTGATATCCAATGGAGCAATCATCGATTCTATTTAGATCAAACTACGAGTGGTAAGGAATGATAAAAGGTTTTACGCTGGCATAATACATCCAGTGTCAATCAATTCATTTTCATTTGGTTATATAGAAGATTTTCGTCGTTTTCACGTGAAATTTGTAATTTTTTCCAATACAAAAGCTTATGAAATGGCTGTCTACCACTACCATTTCCCAAAGTAGACATATCGCAATGCTATTTTTATATCAAATACTTCAGTAAAAGTATAAATGAAATTTATTGCTATCTATACAATCATTCCTATATATACAGGTAACTTAGAGATTATTTAGAAGATAAAACTGTGAACTGCTATCGTTAAGGATGATGACAAACCTATTAGAAAAAAATTTTACTTTTTGCTAAAATAAACTTGATCATGACATTAATATTTTACTACAGATATTATGTTAAACATGATTCTATCTACATATTTAGAAAAATCTGTTCATATGCTAGTAGGGTATAATTGTGTGTAAAAACTTCTATAAGAGTTCACTAACTATAAATTCTACATTCTTGAGCGTGTATAAAACCTTACGGAAGGAGTATTTTTTGTTCCCGTTAACCACTGCAGTAATATTTAAAGATATTTGTCACAAATCAGCTATGTGACAAAGATAACTTAAAACAAATCTCTAAATTACTGTAGTCTCCGGGATTGAGAATCTCTTTGCTTCTACCTTAATCAACTATAGGATTCTCCTTTATTCCACTATCTGCCGAGCTTAAATAATACTACTTTATAGTCAATTAACATTAGTTTCCTTATGAGAACTCTTACTACAGTACAGCATAATTTACTGTAACAAAATAATAACTGCCGTAGGTCTTACTGTAAGTCATTATCAGCTATCTACAAAAATATATATGTTAACCATTAATTAGTCATTTATTCATTACGGTGGTTCATACCGTGACGATATTATTAATTGAAACTTAAAATTATTGCAGACTTCTTGTCTTTCTTAAGCTCATTCCTGCATTTATTATCGCAATGTAAATAAATAAAGTTGAGATCTATATTTAAATTCATAATTCTTCACTCAATATAAGTTTATAGTACGACAGAGTTTAAAGGTAGACTTCAATTAAAGTGAACGGTAATGGTGATGCTATATTGATTAGAGTCTTATTTGCATGAAGGATACCATGTTAGCAATATAATGATGCGGTAACACTTTTGAATATGCTTGGTGTCATCCTTGAGTTTTAATGATGAGAGACGAATAACATCGCCAGCCCTTTTAAATAAATTTATTTATACACTACTTTTACAGCATAGATATGTCTGGATAGTAGATCGAATAGAGAATACAGTCTGGATATGCCAAGATAGTAAATTGAATGCTGAATTGAGAGGAATGAGTAATAGGCTCACTGGTGATGCTTTCTTTACATGCGATTTTTTATTTCAATAATTACATAATGATAGAATCAGCAATACCGTTTCTCAGTGAGTCAGTAAATCAAGTTAATAAAGTACTACACAAACCAATTTCAAGACAGTATAGGGTAAGCTAGAGCGGCAATGGATTGGCTCAGTAGCACTTAATATTTCTTTCTATCTCTACCGTAGATTACCGATTAGGCACCGCAGTATTTACAAATAGACATCATCCGTTTCTGAAATTTATGTTTCCACACAAGACATTTGAAAATGGAGGATGATGCAATAGAAAAAATAGAAATTTAAATATTCATCACATCTGAACTTTACATTCCCCACGTGGCATTTAAAAATGGACGATGATGTAATGGGGAAAGATAGAAACTGAAGTATTCATCACATAGTTCTGAGAATTGTTCCACAAGTAAATACAAAGAAGTTCCATCCCTTCATCATTTCATTCGTTCTAGATAAAACTTAGAGGGTAAATGGGAGGGTAATGCTGGAAAGGTAAACAATAACAAATTTATATGAATTTCATTAATCAAGCATTTAAAAATAAGATACCCCTATTGTCAATCAAGCTTGAGAGCCTATAAATTAGATTACAAACAGCGATTGACGTATCATTTACTGCCCACCTGTTATAAAAATCAACCCTATCTCCACTAAAAGCAAAGACACTCGTAAGTATTCATGTTCTATTTTCTTACTCATACCAGCAGCTAGCAGTTTATTTCAATCTGTATGTAGTTCTTCAATTAAGGATGAGTATTGCGTCATGATTATCGATTTTTACGATCCAATTTTCCCTTAGATTGACTATTTACGCAGACGATTTAATTTTTAAATGACTCTAAACTCAATTTCAGCAATAAATAGTGCAAGCTAACAGTTCTAATGACAGTTTCATAGTTTATACTATAGTTTTATTCTCTTTAATTCAGTATGAACTATAACCTTGATATATATTACCGGGACATATTCTTCAAAATAGGCATCCTACACCATATTACACTATAAAAAAAATGAAGTTATCACTTTGCAATGGCGTCAATTAATTCATATTTTATGATAGACTGCTGTAAAGCTTCCCTGAATTGGCTAGATTTGATATGAGATATTAAAACAGGATCGATGTAGTCTTCTGATAATGATTTCGTATTACTATAGTAACTCTCCATTTTGAAAAAATGTTTAGGAAATAATCATGCCTTATGATACGAATAACGAATTTGCTAACCTCACACGTAAGTTGAATGATGATGAAATCGATTGCCCTGACAAAATTGGATACTTTAAATTGCGTGCTGGCGATAAAGGATATCTGACCGTTTTACCAGAATATAAAAGTAGTAAAATATTGAAGACCATGTTTGTTGGAGATCGTCGTATAGGCAAAAGTAAGTGAACATTGTGCAATCGATCGCCTTAGTATTACTTTAATATTCAAACATTATATAGTCTCTGATAACGTCGTCACGGTTCTTTAAAGAGAGTGAATTAAATGCTATTTTGATCAAAACTAATTTTAAATGGCTGGCGATTAGCGCTAAGCTTTACATCATAGTATAATCGAACCTATACCAATCAGCAAAGTCGTTGTTAATAGAACTTGCCGATAAGCTTGAATTGGATATAGCATAACTGCTATAAGCTAGTCTTATCGCTATCTAAAATTTGAGCTTTATGTTCATATTTTAGAAAACATACACGTACATTAAGCTAGAATCCTTTCGATAATCAGTTTAAAATGAAAACGTCATGTAGTTCTTATTCATTTGTAGCAAGATGCTATACTTTAATTTTGTTCAATTACAGTAATATAGGCTAGTCGACGATTTACATGGGAAAACACATAGGAAATTTTATTTAAAGACTAGGCTAGACTTAATATTAATGTGGATTAGAACTGAAGCTATGCAAACTAGTGTTTTGATATTCAGATTTTTCAAGCTAATATGAATAGCATGTCATTTATTAAAAGTAATTTCCTTGATTACGATTTTACAAGCTCTATTGATCCAAGTTAATAATTCATTTAACTGTAACTATTTATTTTTCTTGACTTTAGATGAATTTATAATTCAGTCTACAGATCTTTCTGAAGCTAAAAAGAAAGACAAAAATATGTGTAATGACTGTGAAAATAAATCTGCAGTAGATTGCTTAGCTTGGAAATGTCATAAGAAAACGTATTTTCTTGCTGGTAAAAAGGCACCTGCACCGAAAGGAAAATGCTTTCAAATAAAAGATCGAAATTATGTCAATTTGGTATTTGTGGTAAGTTTTTATAATACTGTATCGTAGATACTATAGCAAATATAATACCAGTAGGTGCTTTTCACAGTAAGCACTTTACAAAAAAGTTTTCACAATTTGTTTTCGCTGTCTAAATATACCTTACGTTCATGTCTTTCCTTTAGGACAAAGATGTATATGATAAAACTACGGAAAAAGAGGAATACTTTGCATTGTATAAGATAGACTTGAATTCGAATATCTATATATTTCGTCATGAACCATTCTACCTGAAAGAGGGAGTCAAAAACAAGTTCCTTTATACCATGCAATGCAAGCAAAAGATTTCAAAATCGAATAGCGATGACGACGATTGTAGTCTTACACGCGTACATACTTATCACACTATTGAAGATGCCGATTGTGGATCTAACCAGTATTTTCCCAGTGATACTCATTTTGAAAGGATTTGTGTAAGTGATGAAAAGCAAAGCAAGGATTGTAGTTGTCTAGCTTCAAAAAATGATAAAACAACGGATATACTTGATTCTCAGACAAATGGCTCACTAGAAGAAGAAAGCAATACATTTAAAGAGGGCCTGTATGATTGAGTGCTTTAATCTTCTGAACTCCGTTGGAAAATTTGCTCAACAGCTATGATACTCCGATTCTTTCTCCAAGAAATACTTCATCGTACGGTGTTATGGTATGAAATACTTGTCCATTATTACACTAACACAAACTTACGTTCTAAGCGACTGGTGATCAAAAGATTAACTAAAACCGACTAGTGTACAGAACTCACTAACTCTTGTTATGTAGTCGTAGTAATGATACCGCATAATACTAAAATCGTATTAATAAATTATATATATAATTACAACAACGATCAAATTTCAACATCTATAGAAGTTAATTTGATGTAAATGGCTATGTTAGTGGCTATAATTAACAGAAGATCAATTGAATTGTAAGGATATATTGACGACCGATTGCATCGTTGCAAAAGGAAATATTCTCATAGTTGAGTATCTTCCGGCATTCAAATCGTATTTTTATATTTTAATGGAATAAGTTGTTCTTATTTACGTCGTGTTAGTTGGATCTCAATTCATGCTAATAAGGTACCGTAATTGACATAGAAGGATACTTAGATCTTTAACGAGCTTACGCTAAACCATACAGCCCTTCGTAGAAACTGAACCTGCTTTCAAAAATACAATTCCAGAATAGCAAAGCGTATATTGATTTCTTTATTACCAAGAACTGACCTACCAATTAGATTATCAATAAATAGTATTAAATTACTTTGATTGCATACTTGCTCATTATTGAGTAGAGTAAAATGGCATAAGGCGGTGCAATTCTAGTTCTGTTAGCTTATACTGAACATATTATTATTGTAAAATGAATATTCCTATATGGAAGGATAAGTAGAATAGAGTTATGCGACTGTAATATTGTTGAACAACTTCAATAAAACTTGCTTTATTAACTATGTGTGTTTATCAATCTATGTTAATTGCAACGATTCGAAGGATTAGGATTTATGATCGAGGGTTCAATAGATTGCTAAAGTTGGGTTTCATAGTCATTTACAGATGAACATCAACACTTTGAATAAGAAGGTACATTCTTTATTACCAAGTAGAAATGGATTCGTATTAAGAGGATTTCCGTAGAACAAATTCAAGCTATCATTCATGACATAAGATCGTGGGAAGTACTTTGCAGATTAGTATTGAAGTGATAGATTGATTTTTCCTGTTCTTTCTTACTAGTTCCCCTATTAGAAACCGAGGTTTAGATTAGAATGTTCCATGTAAACTACTCTCATAACCGTTAAATTGTTTACCATGAATACTTAATGTTTCCTCGAAAAAATCCCATATTTTATCCTTTTTTTAACATCAGAAAAACCCTCATGATTGGTATCGTAGAGAATAGGATGTATTTTCACTAAATAGATTAATCTTTTCGTTTCCTTGTTCGTTATCTTTTGCAGTATTTAATTCCAATATAGCTTGCAAACCCACCTACCAATATAGACGGTTTAGATATCGGAAGATATCGATAGATTCCGGTGTAATTCAACAGCATTTAAATTTTACAGCTAGGCAACTACGTAGGTTATGAATCAATTTATATTACATCTAATAGATAAAAATCCAGAAAGAATGAACTGTATAATTAATCTAATCTCTGTAAGGTCAATTTCGAACACCCACATTGGCCATTTTACCATAACTGCAATCCAACTCAGTTTAGCTTCTTATCGTATTTATAAGTATTGACAATTTAGAAGGAAAAGAGATCAACGCATACAGGTATACTTTATTGCTATTAAAACTTCATAACTAGTCCAATTGCCAAAGATATTTATATTACGATCTGGATAGTAAAAATGCCATAAAATAAATTAATTGAAATAGTAAATAAAAATTCTTAAAATTGGTAATGAACATCCATTTTAGCCAACTTTCCGTGGCTAAAATTCTGTCGGGATTTCAGTCTAGCGCTTTCTACTAAACAGCGGTTAGGAAACAGTAGAAAAATATTAAAATTATTAATAATAATTTCTTTAATTTAATACAACTTCTACTTCGCCCTGCCAATTTACCATAAAATTTCAACTCGGAATACAGATAGCCAAGACAGAGACAATTAGGCTTATGGGCGAATATCTATCGCTGGAAGGCCATAACTGATAAAATCCAAGATTGAGAGCTCTTAACTGATGTCAATATTTTTTAGTTGCATCATGTAAAAATTGTCTTTGTTACTATTGATTTTATTTTTTAAGGAAATATTGATCATTAAAATAATTTACGCATGTAAAGTTATCGCATTAAAACTAGATTCCTTTTGATTTTGAATATCGACTTTATGCATCGATTAACTAAAGAAACAACGCTAAACCGACATTTATATTTATGAATCAAAGCTGTTCCGGTGGTAGATTAACGGCAAATTATATTTTATGATTGGTAGAAATTTCAAATCAATGTATAAAGAACTGTTTAGGGCCTAAGTATAACTGCATTTACAATTTTCAAAGTCAATAGATGACAAAGATGAAAGTATGACTAATGTGTTAGAATAGCAAAACATCACATTCGATGATATTATTCGTCTTGGTGGTGTTATTAAATAATACGATAATTTCAGCCAGTAATAGTGACTATTCCAACTTCCGAATATTTATATTGTCGATGAATCCTGATCAGCATCAACTTAATTTCATTGTAAGGGCCGCATCATGCCTGAAATGTGGAATCATAAATATTACGTAGCTCAAATCGGAATAGGAATAATATGCTAATCAAACTTAGCAAGATAGAAAGATGGTAATAGTTGAATTAGAATCTTGCATATTGAGTCGATTAACATCGCATCATTTAGAAGTGCTATCGTGAATGAAAGCCAAATACTGGCAAGATGTATAGAATGCTAGAATCAGAACGACAGTGCCAACCTAGATATTATTGTATCGTCTATAATGAATATTAATTATTGTTTTCCTGTAATCTTAGTCAGGAATGGATGAAAGATGGCAATCAGTCTAATAGGCTAAAATCATTAATTATTGAGTTAAGTAGCATCATTTTATCATTTGATTATGGATAATTGTCTAAAATTATTTTAACTAGCAAGATATGAAGATTGTTCCAGGCTTAAAGTGCTAAAATGATAAGCCTTGATTTTATCGACTGTTGCCACTAGAATAGTTATTGTACTAACATGGATGAATAGTAATGCAAAGAAAATTAGTTGAAAAAAGCTTAAATGTTTTAAAAATTAACAACTAAGTAACGCTGAATTATTAGTACGAGAAATAAATAAGCGGTTTGTAATGTCTTGTCTCAATTAGGAAATACACGAAGGGCTATGACATTTCCTTAAGCTATTTATAATAGCAAAAACCATATCTTAATTTCAGTAGATGTAAATTTCTGAGTAGTATGATATCCAATAAAGCAACTAATGATTCTATTTTGATCAAGCTACGAGTACTAAGAAATGATAAAGATCGTGCAGAAGCAACTCTAATCTTGATCAATCTATCACTAACTATTATCTTATTAATTTTATCGTTCAATTAATAATAAATTAAAATACAGTTTATGGTGCGATCCATTGCATAATAATGACTGTAATTCTCTACATGATGCCAAAGCCTTAATTTCTAGTAAACATCCAAAAATTTGTGAGATGGAATTCAATGTACAAATAGTAAGAGGGTATAAAAAGCAATTTTACGAAAGTAATGGCGTGCAGGCATCATAATGTAGATTTTTCCAGCTAGCAATTACGAGAATAGAGAAAATAGATGTATTATGATAGCCCTATAAAGATACTATTTATTTATATTTACTTAGACTTGGATCTAGGAGCAACCCTGGCCATTTATATTCATAAATTAACTGTGGCAATATTTATTATTGCCAAGATGTAAAAATTGCATGCTAAACATTCTAAAAATGTTTATGTTCATCAATCTCAATTAATCATAGCGTTTAATATTCTGCTTATAAGGTTTTACACCGAATAATGCATTATGCATCAAATCAATCTCAAATAATTCATTTGTTTCTATAAAGGATTTTCATCGTTCTCATATAAAATCCTGCTTTTAATTTGCCTAATTCGATAGCTTATTGAACACCTACTTACCAATAAAGTTACCAAAAATTAGACATAAGCGCCATTAAAATCGTTCGATTTGAAGATTAACTTTTTTGATCAACTCAAAACCTCTAGTAATAAGTATTTATTATGCATGTTATACCTACGTAATATTTAATATTCTGCAGATAGAAATTTAAAGTAAACACTGAAGGTTTCGCGTCCTTCATTTGTTCATTACTGAATTCAGACGCTCATGAAATGTGATTTAATTAATACCAACTATGAATAAATAAAGTTGCGATCTATATTTAGATTAACTTACTGTAAGCCTATGTTCACTCCAATTGTAAATTATGATAGAGTTTAAATATAGATTCAAAGAGAATGTTGGTGTAGATGCCTTTTTATTGTAGCGTTATTCATATACCAATTAACCAATTAATGTGTTCGTCATATACTCTTATTAACGCGGTAATACTTTTAAATCATACCCTATGTGTGATCTTTAAGATGCAATGATTAGAGACAAATAACATTATCAATCCTTTTAAAACAGTATTTTTACAGTATGGATATGCCAAGATTTTAGATTGAATTGAAAATGGAGAGGAGCGAGTAATTTGTTCGCTTGTTATGCTTTCTTTACTCGCGATCCTTTACTTCCAATAACTCGAGACTAATAGAATCAGCAACACTGTTTCTCAGCTAGTCGGCGAATCAAGTTAATTTCAAGTACTTTACCGAACAATCTTAATAGAGGGTAAGCTATAATATCTCTACGGGAGATCACTAACCAGGCATTGCCATATTTTTAAATAGTACATATAACCACACTTCGTTTAATGAAAGCTGGCGATGATGTAATGGAAAAGATCGAAATTTAAACAAATAAAAATTTTATAATATTCCGACCAAGGGCAAGACAGATGAAATTTTGTTGACAATCATAACTCATTTTGATACTGATTTGAAAGGAATGTCCCATAAAAAAGGGTGCACGAAAATTAATGCGGATTAGAGATTCCCCTGTATTCGGACTATTATACTTTGATTTATCGGATTCAAGACAAATGAAATTGCTAAAACGGATGCATATACTACATAAATTAAAGTTGGAAATTAGGTGAAATTTATTTAATAGCTTTACTAATACTTCTATCAAAAGTGATACCAATACTGACGGATGTAAAAAGTGAATGTTTGGTGTGTTCAACGTCAACCTTTAATAAAAATATTTTGTAATTGAAGGTATTTTTTACCTGGGAACTAATTATAACCAATTAAATGATCTGCTTTTAATCACAACAGTGGGTAAATATAGGGAAAGTAAATATACATACAGCATTAATAGAGTTACAGTAGATCAGGAATTAATACGTTTATTTACTAAAAACAAGTAGTCCCGTACCGTTTATCGCGGCTCAGCCGAAAAGTATATAAGCAATACCTGCGAGTTGATCAGATCATCTCTAATCCGTTCCAAAAATTCAACCTCTACTCCACTGAAAATACTCGTAAGTACTTATTCGTGTTCTATTTAGTTTTATTTTTAAGTACAGAATGATATTCTTGTCAGGAATAGGTTGCAGTTTTGCTAGTTTTTGATAAATCCGACGTTGCATTTCATACCTACTTTAAACGAGATTGAACTTTTACATATGATGAAACTGTCTTACGCATACCATGAAACATTAGTAAAATTTCGATGCGGTTCTTCAATTGAAGATGAACACCTCGTCTTGACTACCTAGCTGTACGAGCCCATTTTATCTCAGATTTACTATTGACACAGATGATTTTATTTGCTTATGACTTTAAACCCAATTCCAGTAATAAGTAGTGGAGGCTAACAGTCCTAATGACGGTTCTATAGATTATACTGTAGTATTTTTCTCTTTAATTCAGCGTAACTTTTTACCTTAAGGGTAAATGTTTTCAAAATAGATATCTACAGTGTTCTATAATTGATTAGATGATTATTTTTTGGTATGCGAGTCATATTGCCTGCTGTATCTGTCGTATACTGTAGATTTATATTGCTTTATTTCTCTGAATATAAAACAGCATTATACGCCTATGTTACACTGTAGAAGAAAATAAAGTTATCCATTTGAATTTATAATGGCGTCAATTAATTTATATATTATGATACACTACTATAAATCATTTTTGAATTGGCCACCGTGGACATGAGATGTTAAACCAGAATCGATGTAATCTTTTCATAATGATTTCATGATACTATATTAAATCTCAATTTTTGGAAATATGTAGGAAATAATCATGCCTTCTGATGCTGGTAACGGACCTGCTAGCACCGTGTATAATTTGAATTGTGATGAAATCGATTGCGCTGAAATAATTAAGTACTTTAAGTTACAGGCTAGCGATAAAGGATATTTGATAGTATTACCCGACAAGAGTAATAAAGGCGATAACACATTGAAGACCATGTATGTTGAAGATCATCTTGTAGGCAAAAGTAAGTTAATATTGTCCAATCGATCGCTTTAGTATTGCTTCAATATTCATGAAGTACGAGCAAAATTGAACCAGTTTCAAAATAAAAGCAAATTGCAACAGCAAGTTAACATTATATAGTCTATGATGATACAGTCGCGTTCTTTAAAGTAAGTAAATTAAATGCTATCTTGCCCAAAATTTTTTGCAAATGGAATTGCCAGCAGTTCGGTGCAAAGTCACTTTATTTTTAAGCTTTGCACGTTCATAGAACTTGCTAATAAGCTGAAATTGGATATAGCGTGACTGCTATAAGTCAATGAGAGCACCTAATCAAATTTGAGCTTCATGTTCATATTCTAAATGTACATATATACACTAAGCCAGAATTATTTCGATAATCAGTTTACAAATAAAAATGTCATATCATTCTTATTCATTTATAGAATGATGGCACATTTTAATTTTGTTCAATTGCAGTGAAAAGGAATATGGCTTAGTCGACGACGATCTGCAATAGATTTTAATTTAATTTTTAAACGTTGAAAATTAATCAGCATCATTTCGGAAAACACATAGGAATTTTCATTTTAGTACTCGGCCATACTTTATATCAATGCAGACTATAACTGACGCTATATCACCTAGTGTTGTTGTTGACACAGTGTTCAGGCTTTCCAAGCTAATGTGAACAGGGTGTCATTTATTAAAAGTAATTTCCTTATTTATGATTTTACAGGCACAGATCTAAGCTTATAATTCATTTAATTATAATTATTTATTTTGTTGCCGCTAGGTACATTTGAAATTCTATCTGTAAACATTCCTGCACCTACAGAAGACGGCCCCAAGTGCTGTTCAGATAATAGCTGTAGAAAGCGTTCAGCAATAAATCGCTTAGCTTACAAAATTGACGACAAAATATATTTTCTAGCTGGCGAAGAGGTAACTGCACCTCAAGGAAATTGCTTCAAAATAGACGGTCGAAGTTATGTTAATTTGGTATTTGTGGTAAGTTTTCTGGTGGTGTGTTGTAAATGATGTATCAAATACAGTGTCGCCACTTATTTTCCACAGTAGACACTTTATAGAGAAAAGTTTCACAGTTTATTTTCCTTCTCTGAATACGCGGTTATGTCCTCCCTTTAGGACAAAGATGAATACGATAAAATTATCAAGTTAAAGGGATACATTGCTTTGCATGTCGTGAAAGCGAATTCGGGCAATAGGGACATTAGATTTCGCGCTGAACCATTCTGCGAAAGTAAGGAAGCCAAAAACAAGTTCCTTAATGCCACGCAACATAAGCCAATGAATACAGCATCGAATAACGAGAACGGAGACTATTCTGCTGTACAAGTGCATGTTTATCACACCATTGACCAAGCCGAATGTACAGAGCGCGACAGTTTACCAAATAATACTAATTTTCGAAAAATTTGTGTAGCTAATAAAAAGGAAAATAAGGATCATAGTCGCTCAACTCCAGCGAATAATTCAGAAAATGATACTCTTGATTCCGAAGCAAAAGATCCTCCAAACTCTTTCTCATCAAAAGAAATAGGTGGTAAGTTTTCAGGAGATGAGAATGGTCCATATTTGCGTAGCACTTAGTTGCATCCAGCTCTGCTTTGAAAATAATGTAAGCTTGACCTCTTTTTCAAAAAATAGAATTGCAGGGATAGCATAACGTAGTTTGATTTCTTCACTAACTACAATTGGCATACTAATTAGACTATCTGTGTACATTATTAAACGGCTTTGATTGTACACTTGCTTGTTATTGAGTAGCGTAGAAAAAAAAAGCCACACTGTGGTGCAATTCTTGTTCTATTAGCGTATGTTAAATGATTTATATGTAAGGACAAGCAGAATAGACTTATTCGAGTGTGCTGAATAACCTCAATAAAATTGGCTCTTATCAACCAATTGTATTTATTAATCTGTGTTACTGCAACGATATGAAGGATTAGGATTTTTGATGGAGGGTTCAACAGATCGGTAAGGCTAGGTTTCATAGTCATTTATAGACGTATCACCACTTGAAGTAAGAAAGTGCGTTCTTGTTTTATTATCTAGTAGAAATGGTATCGTGTAATAACAATGATCTCGCCAATACTGTCTTAGTCAAATGGAGCTTTCTAAAAGGCTTTTATTGCAAGGTTTTAGGAATAGTAGAGCAATAATTCATTAGTACAAGAAACTAGTCTAAAATCTAAAATCCAGTAGAAATGGCATCGTATAATAAGGCTGATCTCTCCAATACTGTTTTAGTCAAATGGAATTTTCAGAAGGGCTTTTATTACAAGGTTTTAGCAATAGTAGAGCATAATGAAGTACTACAAGAAACTAGTCTAAAATCTAAAATCTAATAGAAATGGCATCGTATAATAAAAATAATTTCACCAATATTGTCCTAGTCAAATGGAATTTTCTAAAAGGCTTTTATTACAAGGTTTTAGGAATAGTAGAGCAATAATTCATTAGTATAAGAAACTAGTCTAAAATCTAAAATATTCCCAGCTGAAAGTGAAGTGAAGTCCATCGCTAATATCTGTCTATCTCCACAGTTCTTAAATACATTTCGTTCAATCCATTGATGACAGCATAATGAGGTACAATTTGACTTTAGTCATCAAACTGAATACATTTCTTCAAATAGATCATCATTCACTTCTATAATCCAAATCATGCTACAAAGGGAAACCATCGAACCGAACTTTCTCAGGTCTAATTCTACTTAAGATGGTACTCTCTTCTATCAATGTCCTACACCTTTTGGTACTAACAGCGTGACACACGGACATTCGCATTAATGTGATTTGATTTTTAGTTTATTTAAGTTTATTATCGGGCTATTTTAAATATTTGCTTAGTCCTCCCCTATTTTGGTAAATAGTTATAATCAATCAATGCAGTATCCTAATGAAGACGATACGGAGACCAATTTCCAAGCCTAGTGTTCAATTATGACTTGCGTTCTTTGCATAGATCACTACACTAGATTTGAGCAGTATACCGACATAACAACGAACATCATCCATTTTATCTTAATAGAGATTTTTAACTATAGCTTGAAACTCGATTAGCCCGTAATGAAAACTACAAATCCCTTTTCCTTTGATCCTTACAATTCAACAAGGCGGTTATCGTATAAAGATTGGAAGAATATAACGAGCATATTATCTAGCTGCAAAATTTGTCCACATATCCTATTTGTATTATATATTACTATAATTACCGGCTACTATCTCATCACCATTTGTAAGCAAAGATATAAAGTGATGTACAAGAGAATTTTCAATGATTTTTGAATGGCAAGTTCATTGAAAGTGATGAGTGAGCCATTAATATAAATGAAAATCAAAGCTTGAAGTATTTCTATTCCAATAGAAAGATCGATCAGTTTAATACAGAGATTATCCGAAGTTAAGATCATAGGTAGAGTTCGATTCAAGTTTCTTTCTCATCAGAATTCTAGCCTTAATTTTCAGTATCGAAATTGATTTATTGCTATCATAGCTTAGTAAGAAATCTTGGCGCCCATCGTTTCTACTGTCACTGATACTCGTATGTATATAACAACTACAATCAGTATTTATTGACAAGGCTGAGCTCTATCCAAGTATTAAGTTTTGTAGGAAGATATTTATCGTTCATCTTGTCTTCAGTTGTATTGATTGAGCCAAAGACCATCATCGTTGGCCTTTATTTATTAGTAGAATTCATAGAATGGAGTAGAAATACAGTCGATTAGTGATAGCTCATTTAGGAGGGTGGATCAATGCATGCAGCGATAGATTTTACTATAATGACAATTCCACGAAAGGAATGATTTCATGAATTATTTATTAGTCAAGCTAATTTATTGTAAATTACGATTCGTATCAAGCCATAGTGCTTTTTTAAAACTGTCTATTCATGGTATTTAGCAGTTGTAAGGTTGTTGTTGTTCTCTATATGCAATCCTTTTCGAAGCGTTGTTGACTTTTGCATGCAAAAATGACTTCCCTACTCGTATATCCGAACTGATCCGTGCATAAATAAATCTATTTTATGTTCACATTTGGACGGATCGTTGAATCACTGTTGATCTTTCTGGATTGATGTTCTTATTCCTATCATTACTGTACGTATTTACCAATCAAGACCGAAACATGCTTAATCTCGTTGTACTTTTGGGGGGACAATGTTGACAAGGTGTCCATTTGAGGTTAATCATGGATGATAGATTACTGTATGAAACAAGCAATCGAGTAGTTTATATCATGACATTCCCGTGTTACTCTGGGACTACTCAACAATCATTTTATCTTTTTCCCTCTCTTCTTGACCAGGGAAACGAATGGTGAAGTAGTCCCTGATTTGGCAAATGGATTCATGCCATGTACGCCATTAATTAAGCCTCAGGGCGAAATGCTTTGCCTGATGTGTGGTGGCCAGTCTTGCCCGGGGATCCCATGATGGGTACAGTATCTCTAAAAAAAGCTCTGGGCGGGGGATGGGGTCCGCCACCCTACGGGTGTTAAAATACACGAATCACAGGGATCAAACTAGAGAAAAGCTGAGGCCCCGTTACCCCAGGGGGGAAACAAATCCTAACATGTCATACAAGTACTGGACGACATGTTTACTGTAGGGATGAAAAGGTCAGAATTGGAGCGTATGACGCTCAACCGTACCGATGCAGACCAGATGAGACCAGGCGATGAAAATGTGGAAAGTGTACTGAAGTGGTGAACAGGCGTAACTGTGGTTGATTTTCCTGAAATACGCGTACACCGTACAGTGGCCAAGCATGTTTATTTTCTCTTTAGCTCTTTCGATAGAGAAAAAGGGAAAATGTAACATGGAGTTCGAGGGCTGAATTTTCCGTCGATATTGTCTATGTAAGAATAGTTAGGGCAGACCGTTGTAATTTCTACTGTATACTGTATAATTGTATCACCTATACTGTACTTTGCCATTTCCAAATCGAAAGGATTAGTATACTGTACTGTACAGTAGACGTCATAGACAGTCCGGGTCAGTCCCCTACTCCGTCTACTCTACAGTACTGTATACTGTAGAACATGGTACTGTGCACTGTACAGGACAGTCAAAATACCGTCGATGGACGGTACAGTACAACTGGCCCTTCAACTTTCAACCATTGACGTGCATTGTATGACTTGACCGAGATGCTGTTGTCCCTTTTGGGTCACTCTACTATCCGCACGCCTTCCATATAGAAGATAGTAATCATAATGAATTCATCATGAATCATCGAGTTGAGTTGTTTTGACCGGCAAGAGAGAAAAAAAAGAAGAAGAAGCCTTTCCATCCATACTGTAGCAGTGGAATGGAATGCAACTTGCTCACTCAGTAAAAATACCGTAGATTGACAGTGCAGTGTACTGTACGTACAGTGTACAGTACTGTAGTCCATGGAGTAAAGTACTGTACTGTACACTGTACAGTACAGTACCATGATTGAAAAGCCGTTTTTGTTTACAGTACAGTACAGTACAGTACTGGACTTGAACTGGACTGGAGTGAACTGCAACTGGCCCGTACTGAATTGCAAATGGCCCGTACTGAATTGCAAATGGCCCTTCAACTTTCAACCATTGACGCCCATTGGTATGACTTGATCGAGACGCTGTTGTCCCTTGTGGGTCACCCTACACTACAGTACTGTACAGTGCTCTACAGTACAGTACTGTACTGTAGCATGGTTGGAATGTCGTTTTTGTTTACTGTACTGTACAGTACTGTACACTCTGTACTGTACTGAACTGCAACTGGCCCTTCAACTTTCAACCGTTGACGCCCATTGGTATGACTTGATCGAGATGCTGTTGTCCCTTGTGGGTCACCCTACTATCCACACACCTTCCATACAAGATAATATTAATAATTAATTGAATAATGAATCATCGGGTTGAGTTGTTTTGACCGGCAAGAGAAAAAAAGAAGAAGAAGAAGAAGAAGCCTTTCCGTCCGTAGCAGTGGAATGGAATCCAACTTACTTGATTAATCCATTTTCTACATGATTTTCAGGATATCGGGGTTGATTAACATTTGAATTCGTCTACCAGTTGGGTAAGGAGTTGATGCTAGATAGCCAAGTAGTCGTTGTCATTGATGGATGATTGATCGTTGTCGAGAGTGGAGACATGAACTTGCAAGTTGATTTCAATCACTGGGCAAGTTCATGCAAGTCAAGAGTTGAACAACGCTTGCCAACTTTTGGCTAATATAAATGCGTTGCTCATGATTGCATTGGACATTCTTCACTGGTCTTGCAATCATCGTTTTGACGCCTATCAACAATCCTTGACTTGTATGCTTCTGCAACATTTTGTAATACAATCAATTTATTGATAGTCTTTCGAGATTTCAATCATCGATGATGGCCAGGTCAGCGTGTCAAATGATGCACAACAACACAACAATCATCAAACTACCTGATCATTTACTACTGAAAAGGACAAGGTTAGATACTACACGATACAACGACAATGCCAAACTTTGTCATCATCATGACACTGGATTCCCTCCGTCATCACCAGCAATACACTAGGATAGAAAAGAGACTTGCCAAGCTGTTGATACAAGTATCCTTTCGATCCTGTCATGTTAGATCCATTAATCCTACCGAGATCGATATCTTTACTAGCATTTCCATTCAATTGGATATACTCGTACATACACCATCTTTTCTATCGTAATAGTAAACTGATCCATGATGATACTATACAATCAAACACAATCCAGTCTTATGCATCATAAAAATAATAATGTTGATCGTCATTCTAAATTGATTATTTCTTCTACTGTATTTTCATTAGATGTCATTCTTCTCAGATCCCATCTCCGGCTCCTACCGAAAATCATACAAAGGTACAACATTTTCATGCCCATGGATAGTGTCTGTCTTTCGTTGTCTACCGATGTGTCACAGTTTGTTAGTTTATTTTATGACACCAGTATCAAACTACTGTATAAAAATAATACAACAAAGTGGAAATATTCATGGTCTCTTCGTCTTATCTTACCACACATCAATAGACATTCAAAAGTTGCTCTCAAACAGCTATGGCAGGAAATGTTCAAGTGGACAATTGGTGCTGTACCAAAATGACAGTGGATCGCTATACATATCTATGGAAAATTAATAACTTTAGTTATTGTCGTGAAGAAACTGGTGAAACGTTGAAAAGTTCAACTTTTACAACTGGCCCCGATAAATTAGAATGGTATGAAGGATAGTTGATACTCTGACAAGCACACGAATCAATCACACCCAATTGAATGAGACCGTGTAGGAACCAAGTGTTAACATGGATGTTTGCATAATCTATTTTCGCTATCATTCTATTTGCTGTCATGTAGGTGCATGAGAATTAATCCGCGGGGATTGGATGAGGAAAGTAAAGACTATTTATCCATGTACCTATTGTTATTATATAGCAATAAGAAAGAAATTCGAGCTAAATTCAAGTTTTCCATCTTGAGTCGTAACGAAGAGGAAGTCAGAGCGATGGGTTAGTGACTATCTTCATTACTACTTGAGGCAATCATGCTTACTTACTGCTAAGAATATTCCAATTCGAGTGGATAGGATACAATGATACGCGTCCTTATGCTAGAATCAATAAAACAGATGATCAATTTTTGGTTCATCTCTCCATTCTTGTATGTATACAGAAAGCCAACGTGCGTACAGATTTGTCCAAGGAAAAGACTGGGGATTTAAAAAATTTGTGCGTCGTGATATGTTAATGGATACATCGTATGGATTGTTAATCGACGATCATCTAACCTTATTTTGTGAAGTAAGTGAGACTGGAGTTGATATCACAAAACAACTACCATGGCTTGATTGTAATCGTTGTTCATGAAAAGTTATAAGGGATATTCAATGCTTCTATGATTGATGCGTTATAGAGTAATGAATCCGCCCTGTAGCAAGGCGTACATCAAGGCATTTTCCTTTTATCATTGATAGTAACATGATCTACCTTACTCGTAACACGTTTTTGTGTTATTTCGATCACAACATGGATATCGTAAAATAATACAATTTTATGTAGTATTAACATAATTTTGCCCTCTACTTTCTCTAACATGGCTAAGTCGAAAATACCGTGCTTTAAGATTTCGTTCCTAGACGGATTCTTACGTAGATTGATTTTCCAAAATATCTTCCAACATTTTAGATCAATGTTGTATCTGATCCTGTCACTCTTGATGGTCGTTTTACCGCAGAAGAAGCTGAAGTACCGAAATGTCGATTAGCACAAGACTTGGATCAATTATTTAAAACGAAAAAATTTGCCGATATCACATTTAATATTGGAAAGGATCAATTGAAAGCTCATAAAGCCATATTGGCTGGTAAGATGTTTGCCTTTTTGCTACTTAATTGTGCATTAGTTATGTAATAAGGATACTTATAGTATGTGCTAATCGGATAACGATCGCGAGTTCATGAATTTCACACCTTTTACTTGATCCTAATATTGAGCTGATTGTATTGCAAGTAGTATTATTATTATTATTATAATAATAGTCATATGGTACCATTTCATCATTAAATTAGCAATGTTGACCAACTTGGTATGCGTATGATAATAATTTAGCAAATTTCATACTTTGTATACGGTACGTTTTGTAGATTTGTGTGTCGAAGAGAATACACAACGTTGTAGACTGTTGAAATAATCTTTCCACGTATGATTAAAAAATCTCAGCTAGGTCGCCTGTCTTTGATGCAATGTTCAAGCATTGTATGGAAGAGCAACGCCAAGTAAGTTGTATCCAAAACTTACCAATCGATACATTATCATAAATATGGGAAGATTTTAATTAATCGACAGTACCGTGCACGCATAATTAAAAGATATCATTAAATCATCGCGTCCTTATTGACAGGGTACAGTAGACGTATCTGACATAGAAAGCGATGTATTTGAAGAGATGATCAAATTCATCTACACTGGGGAAGAACCAGAGCGCATCGATGATCTAGCCGCGGAAATATTAGCGGCTGCGGATAAGGTAATTTACTGTACAGCATCATAAACTGCTGCTTTCGGAAATATATCTGCTTTCAATAAAATTATCTTCAATATATGAATATAAAGTATGAAGGGCAAATTATTCACTTTCCTCTTGACCTTTTGGTTGACAGTACGATTTACAAAGGTTAAAATCTTTATGTGAAAATTCCATATCAAATAACCTGACTGTTGAGAATGCGGCTAAAGTGCTAATTATTGCCGATATGCATAATTCTGAAGTACTAAGACAAAATGTTTTGGAGTTTATTAACAGGTAATACCATATCGCTAACCTATAACGATTAGTAAGGGTAGGGTATACAGTTATTGGCTTAATGGACGTCATACATCTTTAAATATCTTTTTCAGTCATGCCTTGGAAATCGTTGAAACCGAAGGCTACCAACATTTGTTGAAGAGTTATTCTCACCTTATAACCGACGCATTCCGCACCTTAGCAAGATCTTGCAATAGCAAAACCGATGTAACATCGACCAGAAAGAAAGTGCGCTTATCATGATTGTACTTATTATTATTGTTATACAGAGATACTTGATTTAACGTTATATTCTAAAATTCATGATCATTATCATGGGCGATAACCTAAAGTAATTTCTATGTAATTCAAAATTTCAAAAATTTTATTGATTCTCCCTTCATGTACATACTTATGTACTGTACCATACGTACTGTATGCAGAAAGCTGTATATCTATCTCGTGTAGTTATAAAATGTTTCATAATGAATATGTTGCCGATTTTGATCTAGCTACAAGTGCTAAGGCGCTTGTCGACTTATCTTCAAAAGCTAGCAAATCTGTTCATGATTTGTGGCGGATAGCGTGTGCAAATTTAAACTCAATTATTTCCACTATGATGGTAACTGAAAAGCATGCACCTGACGTCTTGCAAACAGGAAATCTTTAAATATTGGAAGAGCAAAGAATATGGTGACATGCCACGATAGATGCGCGTAATATACGAACGTTATTTGAACTCATCGTTGAAAACTGTGTGATAAAACTAATTAATTTAAGATTTAGGATCTCATTTTCCATCCAAGCTATCTAGGATCATTAATAGCTCAGGCGAGCTAACAGTTAACTGAATGATTTGCTCCCTAAAGTATGATATTGTTTGTTGTATTAAATAGATTTTACCTCATATTCAAGATGGCACATGCATGTAATAAGGATACGAATATGACTATAGCACTAGAGTTATACAATAACGATAAAAGTTCATTTTTTATATAATGACAAGAGTGTATATATACTGTACAACATCCACTCTTTCCAATAGAGCAACACCAGATATTGTCGTCATCATTTGTCAAAAAGGATGTTTTCAATTTTGTTGTAATGTCGGTTAAGTAAACTTATTTTGACTGCCATATGCTATGATAGAAAAAACTGAAATTTTATTACGATACCTTATTTCTAGAACTGCTTCTAGTTAACACCAATCAAGCAATAAAGTAAAACCAGAAAAATGACGTTATATAAGTTATTAAAACCGATCGAAATAATACAGATTTCTGCTTAACTACAAGCATGTTAATGCCTTAGAATTTTAAAATAATGGAATGAAAATCACAAACAAAGAAGACCCAGTTAGTAGAATAAGTTCTTAACCAGCCATAATTATTTTGACGAAATCTACAAAATACAGTGAAAATATTGAAAACTTTAGATTCAATTGATAGCAAATGAAAAAATTTCGTTTACCTTCGTAGTTAATCATGCCTTGGGAGTCGTCGACACCACTCAATAGTTGTTCAACATCATCATCGCTTAATTTCTCTCCTACATTGGTGAAATTATGAAATGATTTAGCCAACAGTGATCCTTAATTAGGGCAAAAAGATTGCAATCTTTCATTAAAATCGTCATGTAGCTCAAAAGGATGTGAGGTTTTCGGTAATTGTCGTTACTCAATGACTTGGTCTTACTCTATCTCAAAAAGTAGAGAAAATGGAATACAACAACTCTTTGACGGTTAACTGCGCGTCTTTCTAGCGGATGATTACCATCTTCAAATGGCAACTAAATGTATCATCGTGATAAATGTTACACAATACAATAACAACTTTTACTATATTACATTACTGTGAAAGATTGAACGATTACTGCCGACAACATTTACTTTAGTTAATACGAAAGCTAACCGTTTCGCATTGGAGTCACAACATAGACAGAATACTACGTTGTGCTATCACACAAATTGAGTTGCATTGTACTTTCACTTATTCAAGGAAAAGCGCATTCTATTTTCACTTATTTAACGAAAAGCGTTACCTAAACTGGTCAGCACATGCCGAAGTTCCGCTGAGTTAATCGTACCATTGCCATCCTTGTCAAATACACGTAAACCCTCAACAAAGTCCTCCAGAGATCCTTGATCACGCTTCTGCCGTGAAGCCTGAAGGATTGGTAGAAATTCTTCAAAGCTGATTCTTTTAACACCTATAACGGCCGTTATATTCAACATTAGTATGTAGCAAGATTGATCAGATTGATGTTCATTTTACGACCGCTGACTACAACTTGACAGGCATGGAATTAATTCATTACTATGTAACAAGCCTTTTCTCGATTAGTATGTTGTACATTATTAGCAAGCATCCCCTTGATTGTATTTCATATTACAATCGATTGATTGCCTAACTACCGAATCGACCAAGCTATTCCAATTGTTAAGGTCCAATTTTGAAATAGTTATTCAATTTGTATAGACATTGATTGCAAGCACAAGCCTACCGTTGGGATCGATCTCTTTGACAACTTTGGTCACCTCTGCCTGAGTAGGGTTCATCCCTAAGGCTCTTAAAACGTCCCCTAGTTGAGCAGAGTCGATTTTTCCATCGCCTTTCTTATCGAAAAGTGAGTAAGCTTCCTTAAAATCTAAAAGATAAAGTAAAAGGCATTCATGATGAGGCATATGACTTGCTATGAGACCCTTTCTCTCGTTGACTACCACCAAGTTGGTGGATTTCTGCCAAGAGATAAACAACGTTTTGGGTGTGGACGTTGTAATACGTCATGTACTTAGTCGTTGAAAATTGAGCATCACTGATTTATGTATTCAACGTCTATATTACGGCATTTTAAGTTTATGATTAATATTAGATGGATAAATAGAATTAGTGGACTATCCCTAAGGGTTTTAAAATAGCCGATCACAATCATTGGCATCAAGCAATGCATAAACAGCAATAGATTTAATGCCCTTGCGGACATGGCCGGCTATGAATGCCCATGCCAATTTTGGCAGACTAACTTACCAGAAATTTCTATTTCTGAAAATCCGGACTAGTCAGAAAGAAGAAAAACCTATCATTAGATCCATATGACTTGGCTATTCCACTAATCTATCATAAAATGATGGAGTCTTTCCTCCAGAAAATAGAAAGAGCTGAATATCCATTCGATCCTCTCACTTACCATTTTGTCTCTTGGCAAAGTGTTGAATAGTAGCGGCGGCGTCGTCTCTCTTTTTCCAAGCTTATTTTTCCTATCCGACACTGTACCGTACCATCGACTTGCTACTCTATCCTCGCTACAATTTCAGGCCATAGTATCAGTACGCAGTCGTAAAAAGCGGTTCGGTTCTGAACCGAACCGAACTTCTGACAGGTCTAGTACGCACGCTCGCTGGCAGTACTGTACAGTGTACAGTGTAGCGCTAACAGTACAGTCACTGTAAAGCTACAGTATATTATACTGTACTGCTCTTTATCATTTTCAGAAAGGTGTCCGACCGTCCGTTTCCAGGTGGCCTGTGGCAAGCCTACATACTGTACTGTACCTGAGTGTACAGTACTGTATACAGTATTGTGAATGCACACAGCACTGTACTAGTGTTATTCATCATTTTCAGAAAGGTGTCCGACAGTCCGTTTCCAGCTCACCTATGGCAAGCCTACAGTACATACTGCACTGTACATGTACTGTACTGTACAGTCTGTACTGTACTGTACAGTACAGTACTGTACTGTACTGTCTGTACTGTACTGCACTGTTATTCATCAGTTTCAGAAGGGTGTCCGACTGTCCGTTTCCAAGGACCCTACTTGGATGAAAGTAATAGTAATTTAGAGTATAGTTTGAAACCGACGTACTGAAAGAACTCAATAATGCAGTAAAAATAAATAAAAACATCAAGGACGAACTGCTCAAGGTTGTAATGATTTGCATAGGCGAAACTTGAGCCAAATTGAAAGACCTAATGAAGGGCTTCACTATGGCTGAACTGTTTCCAGTGTCAACTGTACAGTATTGTACTGTACACTGTACAGCACCGTACTGTAGATACGGCTCGCCACGCCCATGAAATCATGGTCCATTCCATGATACTGTACCGTACTGTACAGTAGTTACTGTAACAGTATTATTACCGTACTGTTTGGTAAAAGAAATTTCCGGCTAAGCCTTTACCAGAGTGTCCATACAGCGTACTCGTCCTTCCTGTAGAGTTCTACCACAGTTATCAACATCCTGCGCTATTCCTTAAGTTGTTGCTGTTTTTAATCAATGTATTCATTAAATAAATCAAATGGTAGAGCATTATGAATATAAAATGTCGGGCCTAACTTGCAGTTGTTTCAAAGTACACACTGATCTACAAAGTATAAATAGCTCACCTTGACGATTTTGTACTTTTTTAGTACTGAAATCAACGCCTACAATAAACTACGATACAATGATAGCGATACCTAATAGTGATTGTAGAAGGCATTTCTTATTTTTATTTTATGGCGTATTTTGCATAATATTCAATACGTACTTTGATGACTCATGAATGAATTCGTTCATGTAATACGAGAATACAGAATATCCTTTGGCATTCATTTATGAAGGGCAGGTAGTCCTCATTTATGAAGGGTAGGTAGTCCTCATTTATGAAGGGTAGGTAGTCCTCATTTATGAAGGGTAGGTAGTCCTCATTTATGAAGGGTAGGTAGTCCTCATTTATGAAGGGTAGGTAGTCCTCATTTATGAAGGGTAGGTAGTCCTCATTTATGAAGGGCTGGTAGTCCTCATTTATGAAGGGCTGGTAGTCCTCATTTATGAAGGGTAGGGAGTCCTCATTTATGAAGGGTAGGTAGTCCTCATTTATGAAGGGCAGGTAGTCCTCATTTATGAAGGGCAGGTAGTCCTCATTTATGAAGGGCAGGTAGTCCTCATTTATGAAGGGCAGGTAGTCCTCATTTATGAAGGGCAGGTAGTCCTCATTTATGAAGGGCAGGTAGTCCTCATTTATGAAGGGCAGGTAGTCCTCATTTATGAAGGCCAGGTAGTCCTGTTCAAGGTACACGAAGCAGGCCCAACCAAATAATTGTTCGAGATAGAGGTCAATTAAGGAGTCATTGCATTAAGTTAATTAAAAGGTGTACTGTCGATACAAGGTATCGATGTTATACAGTACCTTTGCTAAATCATCCATGATATGAATATAAGAATACACAATACCCTTGGGCACTTTGCATGCTTTTAATTGACAACCAGTAGACTCCCTCTCCGCAAATACGCGTCTACCTGGTGTCTATCTAACATTATTGTACCAGTGAATGAAAAGGTTAACACAGGGATAAAAAGGCAGTTATAAATTACTAAAAGCTATAAGAAGGACGACAACACCATGACTATCTTTGGATTGGCCATATTACCTACTAGTCGATAGTAGTTATATCCATAACGGTCTTGCACTCATCGTGGCACTCCCTTATTATATTTCAGGATAGTCATCTCCTACTACAGTACAGTATAGAACTGTCCTGCACCAATCAACTTCAACACAACGCCACTCACATCAACATGTGATCAGATCAGCAATGCTGGTCTCCATCACGTGACTCACGTGAGCAGAATGAGGTCAAAGATTATTGGAGCGAATTTTTATCTTATCGGTGACACTCCATTAGAGTGGCAGGAAATAGCTTGCGATTCTACATTCTCGGTGAGAAAGTGTTATGGTTGGATAGAATTGATCAAGTTTTCCTCTTTCAAAGTTCAAGGTTTACTAACTTGAACTTGTGTTGATGAGCAGACTGATTGGCCATGTCTGCTGAAACACCGACAGAAACAACCACTCTACTAGGACAGCAAGAATGTGCCAAAATTAATATTAGCTCTAGCGATGAAGCTGTCCAAGCGAAGATCGTGAATCCTTCCAAAGATGCTCAGTCTATTCCGAATCGGATTAAAATTATTGTCTTGTGTATATTATTTACCGAATTTGCCGAAAGTATTGCATTTTATAGTATTGCTGCCAATCTTATATTATTTGCCAATACACATTTGGGCTTTACGAATACACAAGCAGCGACATTAAGTTTTATCTACGTTGGCACAGGTTATGCTCTCCCTATATTAAGTGGGTACTTAGCGGATTCCCATCTTGGCCAGTATAACACCATGTATCTTGGTGGCCTAATTTATATTGCGGGTATCTTAACCGTCTTCTTAATGACAGTGCCCTATCAACTGCCTTTCTCTACCAGTGCCAAAACATCTTATTTTATTGTTGGTCTAATTTTGGTAGCAATAGGGACTGGAGGTATGGCATTGATTGAATGAATCTCATTTCCAAGATAAATTGTTCTGATAACTTGTCTAGTCGAAAGAATAGACATTCGGTATCAATTAATTGTATTAATAATATATATACAATGAATTAGCCGTTTGACTATGATGAATATGCTATGAACGATTATGATCTAATAACGGTTGCATTAATATTCCACAATAAATAGATTATAGTGATCTTCAACCAATCATTCTATAATCAGTTTATTATCAATTGAACCTATTCAATCTTGCTATGTTATACTTCTCTTTTTAATAGTGTGGATATGATACACTTAGAAACTAGTTAGGATTGAATACATAACAATTATCAAAAGGGTCTCTTTAAAATAGATATTCGAGTTATATTATTCTGTTACTTATAAAAAATATTCTAATTAAAATTCCTCTCACGATGTACATCCTTAAACTAAATTGGAATAGGAGTAACGCTGCTAATTTCCCTAGTGTATCAGCTCTTATACACTATTCGAGAAATTAATCTAGTTGCTAACTCATTATTCTATTGATAATAATATTCTAATTAACATTATTATTATGATATATACAAACTCAATTCGAATAAGAGTATCGCTGCTAGTTTTCCTAGTATATTAGTTCGTTCACTATTAGAGAAAATTAGTCTAGTTACTAATTGCATTATTCTATTGATAGTAATGTCCTAATTGGAATTGTTATCGTGATATACAAACTAAAATTATAATAACAGTGTCGCTGCTAACTTGCCTATCATATCAATTCATAGATTATTAGAGAAATTAGTCTAGTTACTTCATAAGTAGCTTCGTCAATCTTAGCAAATTGGGTTCAAGCGATACAAGACTACATTTAAGATTTTATTCAGAACTTCATTAGATATCTGTATCCATGCTAGGACTTTCAATTCTCGAGCGACATAGGTCTATCAATAGAAACCCAGTGACACATAGAATTATATAAAACGAATTCGATCGTAATTGTATAATTGGGGTATAGTAGTTTCGTATTATTTTATTTTTTTTTTTTGGAGGGGGGTGAATTCTTTCTGGAACGATAGCACATAATAATAAAAATATATGGGTAGTATACGTAGTGATTAATAAAGTTAAATTAGTTACACGTATTCGTATCGCAAAAGATGATCGTATCGGCGATGGAATTTCCTTGTTTTTCTACTTAAGCACATGATAAGTTTGTGCGTACATTCACGCTAATGAGAAGATGTACTAAAAGATAAATTGAAAGCAGAATGATAACAATAATGCTTTATGTATTCATTTGATAGCTTATATTCAAAGTTAGGCAGGAAATCATGTCATTTCTTTGCGCATTTATAATTTACGTATATATTCTTGTCCTAATGTTGTACTACGTATATTTTGATCAGGTATTAAATCGAATATTTCACCTTTTGGTGCAAGCCAACTGGAAAGTTGCGGCCCAGTTTATGTCCAAAGATTTTTTGCTTGGTTTTACTTTTCTCTTAATTTAGGATCGCTAATCTCATTCACTGTCGTAGCCTACATACAACAAAATGTAAGCTTTTTCTATGGCTTTATGATTCCTTCTATTGCTATGATATTAGCCGTGGCCGTATTTGCATCAGCCCGAAAATACTACGAACTCTATACTCCAAGTAAATATTTCATAATTCTTGACTAGAATTTCAAATTAACTTAAAATCAAGATAGAAAAAATATTAATAATTTTCACGTCATTATTGAAGTATTACTCCATTTGATAATATTCGATCTCTAAGCAAATTTGTACTTTATATTATTGCTAGATAGATATATAAGTTGATTCCATCACTAAGTCTCTTGTTACTTTAATATTTTTTGCAGAGGGTTCGTTACTTGGAGAAGCGCTAAGTATCACATACCAAAGTTTTAAAGTTAGACTCTCCAAGCGGACTAATATTATTGATAAAAGCAATATCCAAAGTTTCTTCGATTACGCAAAAAAAGAGAATGGGGGAAAATTTGATGCTCATCAAGTGAATAGGATCAAGCCCTTAGGACGCGTAATACCCGTCTTCCTTCTAATAGTCTTGTTTAGAACGGTTTACTTTCAGGTATGAAAAGCATCCTGCAGCATGAGATTATTTTTGTTCGGTACTTTAGTTCGTGCTATTAAATCTTTAATTAATGTTAAGCACATTCGCTATAATGGAAATTATTGTAAACAATGCTTTTACTATTATTCCAGTCAAATTATATTTATATGTTTATAGTAAATAATGAAGTCTAAAACCGATAAATATGCGTACTATAAACAACAGCTCTTAAGTATTTCAAATGAAATTATTGCCTAATTCAATAATTGTTTACGATATGTATGTATTATATCTAATACAATTATAAGTTTAAGAATGACAAAATTTTGCGAAATCTCTTAATCCTACGTTTGGTTTCATATCCTGAATAGATGTCGACAACATGGTTTATACAGGGGGAATCCATGAATTTACAGCTAGGCAATATCAAGCTACCAGTAGCGTTACTCTCTACTTTTGATATTATTTCCGTGATGATTTTTATCCCAGTTGTAAATTATGGCGTGTACCCTGCATATCAAAAGATATTTGGCAAACGCATTTCCCGATTTCGAAGGATGGGTTAGTAACAAATTTTATGCCAACAGAGCTACTTTGACAGTAATATTTACTAAGATGTTACAGGTAAGATTTTACTTACATACAGATTATATTTACTAGGAACCGGTATGGTATTTGCTGCTCTTGCTATGCTTGTCGCTGGAATAGTTGAAAGCAACAGATTAAAAAATGTATACGAAAATCCATTACCTCAGACAGTTTCTGGTAAGACATTCAATGCTTCTGCGAATATTACCGTCCTTGCTCAGGTACCCCAGTTCGCGTTAATTGGACTAGGTGAAACTTTTACTAGTGTAACAGGTATATCCTACGACCTTAAATATTCTTTTTTACCTTTATTATTTATTGTTGAATATCTGTGAGAAATGGTTATTATGAAAATTTTGAGCATAAAAAATATATGCATTTTTATCTATGCACTGAATAACTTGGGAACGCTAAAAAAAATGGAAGCATTTGAATTCGCTTATGCTGAAGCACCAGAAGAACTTAAAGGGATTATTACCGGAATGTACCTTCTGGCTGTCGGTTGCGGCAGTTACTCAGGGTCTTTAGTTATTGCTATCATAAATGCTATAACTCATAACCCTAGTGTCCCTAATTCAAAATGGGTTCCCAAGAATATTAACGATGGACATCTCGATTACTATTTTTATTTTCTTGCAGGTATCTAAAAGTTGTAGCGTTTTGCAATTTTACCATTTACACTTGATTGTATATGATTAAAGATAAAATTTTAAATACTGTTCCATGACTACTTAACAATAATTTGGTCTTTTTATTTTTAATTTAATTTAGCTTTCATGATGCTTAACTTTACCCTCTTTGTAACCATGACAACATTTTGGTATAAAGACGATAATTCATATATGACCCATAAACTAACTACGGAAGAGATAGTGCCTGATTTGGATGCACAAAACATATTATCGATACCAGAGGAAAACGTTAATACTTGATAGTAGAAGTAAACATGCTACCTGTAGTGTAATAATAGCTAAGTTTTAATACTAAAATATACTTTAAATATGTAGTGTACGAAGTGTTATATTACAGAAATAACCAATCTTGATATTTTTATATTAAGTTAGTATTGGAGACGATCTTTCGCACTTCAGATAGTGAGCAATGATCGATGCATTTGTAATAGAAATAGCAAGAAATTGTAATTTTTAAAAGACTTTATTTTAGGATTATTATTTTCCATAGCCTAAATTTAAGCATTGGTGGCCATTATACAATGTTCGAAATTATACAACGTGTACATAGTATATCCTAACTATATGAAATATTAACGGTGGCCTTGATGACTGTATAACGCTAAAATATCAGCATTTTTTATTATTTTAATCATTGTGAATAAAAACGTCGACTAGTTGATATTTTAAGTAAAATGTGTTTATTATCTTTCGTTGTATAAGAAGTTACAAAAGGTAAAGACCAGGTTAATTTATCATGGAAATCGCGATTCATTAACACTAAAAGTTGTACAGCGATCGCAGCCAATTTAACGGTAAATGTGTAATAGATGTATCTCAGCGTATGAGAAATGAAGTTGTAATAAATTCATTCGTAGTAATTTTTAATTGCAGGAAGTTCTAGAAAAGTGATAATTACACATTAGCTGTCAGCCATTACAAAATCTTTTTCTATCAATCAATTACCTTTCCGCTTTTGCTTGCAATATTTTGATTAGGATTTCTTCAATTATAACAAGTGTCAGGCGACTAACCTAGCTAGGCTAAACTATAGGAAAATTATTATTTTAGAGAATTGAAAATCGATTTTAATAGTACCACTTATATTTCATCACTAGAATTTTCCAATAATATTGTTATAATTTTTTTAACTGAATTAGTTATAATGGCTTTAAAACAGTAAGCAGGATTGGCCACGTTAGGAGACTTTTATTGTGTCCTCACTTTACAAGGTGATGACAAAGACAATCCCCCTTCATGTTTATTTATAAATCTCTATAGAATAGTTTAGGCTTGCATAATTAATTACTATATTATGCCAAAAGGATCCATAAGCTACAATTATTGGTTCAAGGCTAATTACGTAAAATACTTTATGTCAAAAGTCTCTTGTATTTATCTAGAATTATCAAATAGCCATAAGACATAATAACCTTATACCTTCTAGGCGTAATGCGTCATATTATGCCTCTTTAGTATAGATTGATATCTTAATACCGAGAAAATATTAAACAATTTCTATGCTAAAACATTGTATTGCTGTGGTTTATTTTTGATAGACTAAACTTCCTACTTCTAGTTCCAACTTCTTATTACAATAGACCTTATCGGCGGCTATCGTAGATAGAAAATTCCCACCTTATTAATTAAACTTTTTTGACCCAGTGGGATGAGTTTTGATCGTTCTATCTAAACGGTTTAGTCAAGTGCTAACTAGAATTAAAGCAGCTGCGATTATTTTCATAATGGCTACAAGATCGTTGTACTTATAAGGATTTATAAGTATAAATACTTCCATCCTCCTTACAAAGTTGGTTTCGTCTTTTCAGCAGAGTAGATTACAGTTAATTCATAGGTTTGTTAATGTCAGTTAAGAAATGTACTGTAAATTTTCGTATATTACATCTACATAAACGTACAAGTTTAGATTAATTTAAGTGTAGCTTAATTAGGCATTACGAAGAAGAAATATTGCCCGTGTTGAAGTGTATTAATAATTCATAGACAGGATGTTTAATTCTCTCAGAATCTTTAAATGTAATGATTTTATTCTTTTTATTTATCTTCATGTTACTATTTTATCAGTAATGCTTGGTTCAGTAATTTTAATTACAATATAATGATTTTTTTACACAATAATCGCAAGCGTACTATTTTTTACAGAAGCATGTAGGAAGGAGTAACGAAATTTTGTTGTTTATGATAGCACTTAGCTTTAGAAAAGCTTTAAAATGTTGATAAATCGAAAATTTGATTCCTAATTCTTCCAATATACTAGGGCATCCCTGATTAACATTTGACAAGCTCAAACCAGATTCTACTTTATTTTCACTCGAGTAATGAAGCCGATAATTGTAAGAATCGGTGAACTATTTTTCAAAACTAAGATCTGCTAGATTCGAATAAGAATCATTTAGCTAACATGGCAGATAATCAGCCTATAATAGCTAGCTCTGAAGAATCATCATCACTGGTAGACAAACTTTATTCGCCTAGTAATGTCTATGATCTTGAAGATCCCACTATTAAAATCAATATTCGAAAAAGCAATGATGATAAAGTTCCTCTAAGAACAAAATTGGTAGTTTTATGCATTCTACTAACGGAATTTAGCGATTCTATAGCAATAAGTAGTGTAGCTGCCAATATAATATTATTTGCCAACACTCACCTAGGATTCACCAACCCGCAAGCGGTAACATTAAATTTTATCTTCACCGGTATTCGTTGTGCATTTCCGCTACTTGGTGGATGTGTTGCAGATGCTTTTCTTGGACAATATAACATGATGTATGCTGGCAGTTTAGCATACATTCTTGGTGTTATGGCTATATTTTCAGTCACTATCCCATTTAGTGATCCTTTTTCCAATGGTGCAAAAATAGCCTTTTATTTACTAGGCTTATTCTTAGTTGCTGCAGGCAGTGGAGGTAAAGATTATGCTCATAAAGATCTATATCAAGCAATTCTATAATAATTATCATTAGAGATTTTATTCCTTGAGCCTCATCTCTAGAATGTCGAGAAATGAACGCTACTAAAATTAAACAGCGGTGTTGTTAATAATATATGTACTCAAAGAGAAAGTCTGATTCTATATTAATTATGCCACAGCTGTAGATTTGCAGCTATGGCTAATTGATCGACCAATTGCATTTAGTTTTATATCTTTCGTCACTTAAATATCATATCTAGACACATTTGTAATGAAATTTTAAATAATTAGGGTCATCGATTTCGGCTAAATTAATACTTATAGCTTGCATCTTACAACTATATTTTGAAGTATGAACTTGCTAACTCTTACTAATTTAATTTAAAACTTTACGTAAGTTATGTTCTAACATTTACTCTTTATGAGTAAAATTTTTACTGGCTACTGTATGCTTCCTAGTACTTATAGTATTAGATTCGTAACGGTATTCATATCTCATTGGTTACAATTTTGCTACATACTGGTAGTGCAATATAGGCTTATTATTATCATATAAGTATCCTTTATTTCTTAGCATTGATTAATTAATTTAGGATATTATAATAGGCGATATAAATTAAGGATGGTAACTATACCCACAAAGCTGTTGTACTGCTTACTAAATCTGAAATTTGAATCTGGTTGTGATTTATTGAATAGGAGTTAAATCAATTATAAGCCCATTTGGTGCAAGACAATTGGAAAATTGCAATCCTATCTATATTCAGCGATTTTTTGCTTGGTATTACTTTTTTACCAACGTTGGGGCACTCATTTCCTTTACAGTAGTAGCTTATGTCCAGCAAAATGTAAGTTTTTTCTATGGATATATGATTCCTGCTATTGCTCTTGTAATGGGTACTACTATATTCGCCTTGCCTCGAAACTATTATCGAAATTCTTATCCAAGTAAGCGCCTGTTGTCTAGTTCGAGATAAATTACCTTGTCTTGAAATATTTAAAGTGTAGTTGGCTCAATTGGATTAACTGGCATGTTGTAATTTGCTTTCTCTTTCGCATTGCAACAATTTGATATTTGTAGCCAAAGTACAGTACTGCAATGTAATAGACTGCTATTGCTCTTACCTATTAGGTTAATCATAAAATGAATTTCGGAAATAACTCTACAAGTATGTTAAATTAAATTTATAGAGGGTTCGTTATTGGGAGATATCATTGGAATTACTTATCAAAGTTTCAAATCAAAATTTGGCTGCAAAACAGTGTTGGTTGACACAAATAATATAAAAAGTTTTTTTGACTACGCTAAAAAAGAAAATGGAGGGAAATTTGACGCTAGCATAGTAGAAAAAATAAAGCCTCTAGGACGCGTTGTACCTATCTTTTTACTAATCGTCTTATTTAGAATGATTTACTTCCAGGTAGAAATCCTAATATTACTTTCGGGTCTATTTGTGTTCATGTATTCTTTATTTGATTGGATCTATATTTAAATTGATAGGACTTTCTTAACAACTACCGTGTAGCGTAATGTGATTTGATGCATACCATTTACTAAATGTTACTGTTGACCTTAACAACCAAAAGATGATAACGACATGGTTTTTGCAAGGGGAATCTATGAATTTATATTTAGGCAAGCTTAAATTACCGGCGGCAGCGTTGACAACATTTGATATTATCGCTGTGTTGATTTTCATACCTGTTGTCAATTATGGTGTGTATCCTCTATATCAAAGAATTTTCGGCGTAGCCATTACCGCTACAGAGAATTGGTTAGAAATTATCTTGCTAATAATCTTTTTTATAGAATTGGCGTACCTATTTTGTCAAAGTAAACAGATATGTATAAACGTGTATTACATCATTAATAGGGACCGGCATGGTATTTGCTTCTCTTGCAATGGTAGTGTCTCGAATTGTTGAGCGATACAGACTTATAGATGTTCATGAAAATCCTCTTCCTCAGATTATATCGGGCAAAGTTTTCAATGCATCTGCCAATATTAGCATTCTAGCTCAAATACCGCAATTTGCGTTGATTGGATTAGGAGAAACTTTCACAAGTGTAACAGGTAGCGAAGATGCTTTATACATTTATTTTAGGCTCCTCTGCGATTGCATATGTACGGGTACAATATTTACTTATACCGTTTATATTTACCGTCATTTAATTTTGGCTGTATCAGGATTTGAATTTGCATATTCTGAAGCGCCAGAGGAGCTAAAAGGGATTATGACAGGACTCTACCTTTTGGCCATCGGTTTAGGTGGTTTTATAGGTCCTCTCGTGATTACGATAATTAATGCTATAACCTACGATCCTAAAGTTGTAAATTCCAAGTGGATTCCTAAAAATACTAATAATGGTCACCTTGATTATTATTTTTATTTTTTAGCAGGTATTTCGTATAGTAGCGTCTTAATAAAATAATAAAATTTGGTTTTAAACATTGGTTAGGGTTAGATAGCGTTTGGATTGGTATTTTAGTAAATATATGACAAGATAATCGGATACTTTATAAATGTGTAGAATTAGAAGAAGTCGATAAGTTCAATTGTAGTGTTTTCATTGGCCACCTGGAACTGTTACACTAATTTGAATACTAATCATAATCTGTCAAATCAATTTTTTGTACTATACAGTCTTTATGTTGGTGAATTTTTTGGTGTACGTTATTATGACAAAGTTTTGGTATAAAAATGAAAGCTTTCCAGAAAATTGTGATCCGCGCACTAGTGGAAGACCGCCGGAAACTAATTTGCACAGCCTAGATAAAGAATCAGACTTTAATGTAGATATTTAATATGACTACGAAATACATAGCCTCTATTAATAATGAATCTTGAAATTTTTTTTATTTCATACTGACAAGTATCATATCTAATGTATGCTTCATATTGAATGTTTTATTGACTAAATTCATTGCAAGATTTTATGGATTAGATCTGATTTTAAAATTCTTGTAAAGGAATCTCTTCATCAGATATTAATTGATGATACGATGAGAGAAATTAGCATTGAGTTTCTGGGTTTGCTTTTGATATTCACAATAGTTCAATTTTAACAGTTATGAATTACGATATGATCTGTTATTCAATACAAGTGCAGTAGGAATCAGGACTATCGTACAGTAGTACTGATTCACCACTCCATTGCAATTGTAATCTCGTGACAAAATATTTTATACAATGAGAGAAATTAGCATTGAGTTTCTGAGTTTGCATTGGATATTCACGATAGTACAATTTTAACAGTTATGAATTACGATATGATCTGTTATTCAATACAAGTACTCTAGGTACAGATTACCGTACAGTAACACTGATTCACCACTCCATTGCATGTGCAATCTCGTGACAAAATATTTTATGCGTTTAGACTGATACCAATTGCAATGACATGAAGAAGTAAAGTATTACAACTCACTACTGGTTGTTTTGTCTTGACTATTTCTTTTAAATTTACTCTGATTCTTGTCATTGCAATAATACAGTATTACATGCTACAGGAGTTAAACGTTAACTATTCTATCTTGCAACGTGTATTTCGTAACTGCAATCTGGTTGATTTATTTAAGTTTTAGATTATTCAATAGCGCGAGGAAACCGCGCATTCACATCTAGCTAGTGCTAAACATTTATGCAAATAATATGCAAATGATATTAGTTTGCTTTAACTGGATTATAAGGATTTCGAGCAAGTTAAGAATGCCTTGAATCACTTAAATTCATCCATGTGTAATTTGTTACACCTTTTGTTTGTCTGCCAATTGAGATTGCGTTTTTTAAATGACTCTATTCCGGAATGTAGCTGTGTAATGTAAATATACATAAATATCATTTTACTATTTGCTGATAAAATGAAAATATGCGTATGTCAAGTACCTGGATGAGAGCTAACATCGAATTTCGAATTGCATGCTAGGTAAAGATTTCTGCACGTAGGTGCATTTTATAGCGTGGATTTACAACGTATAGCTATACTCATTACTTTCTAGTAGGTGATTATTCTGATTTAAGGATACCATTACGAGGTATTGAAAGTCATGTTTTTCAAACTTTCCTATCATGTATTTTTGAACGTTAAAAATTAGATTGGTAAATAAAGTTTTATTTGGATCGCTTTGGCATGTTTACAGTACTTGTATTTGTTATTCTCTATCATCAGTGGATTTTCGATGGATTTCGTAGGAGGAACTAGTGATCGTTAAGCATATCGACGGATTGATCTAAGAATACTTTCTAGCATGGAAGAAGATTTGCACTACAAGTCGTGCCGCATAAAAGGGAAAATTGATTGATATTCTGTATCCATTTTACGAGTATTGGTTGTAAAATGATTGCCTATTAATGCGTGATCAAACCTGCACTATTAATCGATGGAGAGCATTCAATATTAGCTCGTGCAAGCATAAGCAACTGTTTTCACTTGTTTCATGAATGCTGAGTCATGTCAATAAAGTATTGCAATTTATGTATAAATTCATCGTTGTAAACAAAATTCAATACGGCATTGATTGTTTGATCATGGCGGTATTTTTAGGGTATCTCTACCTCAGTATCTTCTCGCGATATTCGTATTTAGATCTGTTTATGTTCTAAACTTGTTTGCACTAGTCCAGTTTTGGTGTAGCCTAGAACTTGTACGATGCTGGTGTCCCCCATTTCTTTATTGTGAGCAGTGAACTCCTCTAGTAACTAATATCCTAATCCACACGGGGTACGAATACCGTAGGATAAAATCGCTCCAGTACGAATATTCATAGCCTATCTGTCTTGATCTATACCACTACCTACAGTACATCAGCATATACATCTGCTTTTAAAAGCATTCTTGATCTACTCTTTCTCAGATGACATATCTCTCTCCTAGCAGCAACACCTGCTAATGTGTATTGGTGATGATTTAGTAAATCTACTTTTATCCTCTTGGTCAATCTACTGACATCCTTTCGACATGACTAAACTAAACTAAATAAATAACATTACAGATGGAAAGGACGTACGTTACCGTAGCCTGCTGTACAGTGTACAGTACATTTGGTATACAGTACAATGTACCGTGTCAGGTTCACACTGTACAGTATACAGTACTGTACTGTACTGTCGATACAATGTTGGCGTCACCCCTGACCTTGTTATTGTTGTGTTGTCATTTACTTTGTAGGGTCACCTACGATAGGATTGATACGCCTACTACGATCGTCATCGTCTATTGTATGCAATTCCATTTGGGTTAGCGATTGCGTGCAGACTGGACGAAGTAGAAGTTCAAGCGCTAGTCTACTTTGATCGTCATCGTCTAGTCTATGCAGTTCAATTTGTGTGCAGACTGGTCGAAGTAGAAGTGCTAGTCTACTTTGATCGTCATTTGGTCTAGCGATTGTGTGCTCACTGGACGTAGTATCACTTCAAGCGCTAGCTTGCTAAGATCGCCATCGTCTACTGTATGCAACTCCATTTGCTCTAGCGATTGTGCGCATACTGGACGTAGTATAACTTCAAGTGCTAGTCAGCTTATCTTGTCATTGGCGTCGCTGTTCTGACGGTTGAAGCTAAGAAACAGTTGACGTTCTCCTGTTGTCCTGGTTGCACTGCTGCTGGACGTCCATCCAACATGGAAAAGAGCGAATTTGGCGTTCGGCATTTTTGCCAACCCTTGTCGCCATTTTGGGTAAGTTTGAACGTATAGGATAAATTGGATATTTGATCGAGTGATGATTGATTGCTGCTGCTTGAAGGATGGATCTCACGCTGTTTCGTTGATTGTATCTGCTGGAAAATTGCATCCGCTACAGAATGATAGTAATTGGACAACTTACTACCCATGTCGAACGACGTTGATTTCATGGAACTTGAAATGAGACATAGATTGAATGCCTCTCTAGCTCTTGATACTGTATCTTGTTGGTCTTTTTTTTAAAATGGCCACAATTCTTGTACTCTGATTGCTTGACGATCGTAGCAAGAGAGAGAAGAGAAGGAGGAGACCATCCAAATTCATTTTTTCAATATGTGACTATGCGTCCATCTAGGTAGGGAACTTGGACATAGCACGGTAGAATAGCACATCAATCGACGAGGCATTACTTAATTTCGCTCGCATACGCCTCACAAGAGGGTTGTCCATGTTGACATCTTGTTGAGATTATGGCGTATCCATTCTTGCATCGACTACCTAAGTGCAGACTAAACCTGCTAGAGGTAAAGCGTTGCATCCAACATCAATTTTACCTCCTCATCATTGCTGATACCTTGCCAATGAATCATGCAAAGGATGCAATCATACAAGTAGGCAGTACACTGATGATATACAGTAGAAAGGCGACATACTAGACAGGATTCTGTAGGGATTCATCGGCTTTACCCATTCCATGACAGATTGGATTAGAGAAGGATTGTTTGGATGATACCCAGTGGTGCTGGACTTCCTTTTATGCCACCAATGGGTAGCTATAGAAGAGCAATCATTCTAGCGACATGAATGCCAATCCAGCCTGGTTTGCTATTCAACTGTACAGTACAAAAATGGATGAGTAACTTAGTTTATGCTGACAATCATCTAGAATGCAATCAAAACAAAATTATCAACCCCTTTCCTTGATGTTCGTAGCGCTGCTAATCAACGCTATCCATGCACGCGTCTATTCAATAGTGCACATTTTACAATCGCTTTCTACTACATCATCGTTAGACTGTATTCAGCGCCGAGTGGGCTATGTGCCTAATCGATTGACGATACTCAAACGCAACATACGGAACTATTGCTGGACTTGTAGTGGTTATGAATTTCTATCCATGAGAATGGATGCTGATTTCTGAATACACAAAGGCCGCCAGACGACGTCCAGCATTTTAGGCATCGGTAGATTCCCTTATGTTTTTGCCCTACCATCGTGTTTTAACTAGCATGTCTGACGCCTCAAAGCAACGGCGTCATGACTGTAAAATAAATCGAAATTCAGAATGATCGATAAGTACATGATTTAATCACATAACATGATTACGAGTGAACTATAGTCATCAAGATAATATGATTTTGCTAATTAATTTATGAGGATATATAAATATTGGATTGCGATTGGGGCACAGTTGGATTGCATAGCATGTTGGCTTGCTATTTACGTATGGCATTGTTGAATGGTGGTAGCGTATGCATATTATTTTTGATACTACTGGACTGCCACAAGAAATAGTCCCGGTTGGAAATGAAATTATTCTGTACACTAAATCATTATAAATCACGTTCCTGTACTGTTGCTTAGTTAACTCGGATCAAAATGGAGCAAATGTATATCGATGTTAATCAGTTGTTGGATATCAATAATAAATGAGCTACGCCTGTTTTAGTAATTATCCCCCTTGTAGGACCTTACCCCCGACGCATGAGGCAGAATAAAAATGCGAGTACATAAAGCTTGAGTCCACCAAAGTAATATAATTGCACTGTAAAGTACTACACATGGAACCGGGACCGTTTCAGATCTGGCGGAAATGTTGTACAACTATCTCACTCTTTATGCTGTCTTTATTTATTTATTTATTTGATTAAACTATTCCTAAGTATACAGCATGTACTATACAAGTACAGTATACAATACGTACCATCTTCTCAAGCCAAGAACTAAATATATGTTATGCTTAGATGGTCATTCATGCAATGCGAGTCAATGGATAAACGGTTATTGACGGTACTACCAATTTGCTCCGAAACTATTAATATCAACTTTAAAATCAGTTTCAAAGGCGGATTGGATCATCAGATAGGATGGACAGATTTAAATGAATTGATTAGTTAATAAACCTTATTTGCTTACAATTATCTATACTCCCCGAAATACATACTGAAGCAATACTATACCCAACTTGTAATGTATCACTATTTGATTAATGAAGGCACATCAAATAAACCGTTACTGAAATAATTAAACCGCTACTAGATAATGATTGGCAGTGTTTCTTTAATTTAGTCATTTTCCCCGCTATCCTTTGATCGAACGAAAGAATAACGTTACTTCTGAGATAGCGATTATCTATTGCATAGTATTTTATGTTACTGCAAGTTTATTACCTGTAAAAAACTTGTGAATATATTCGTAGATAAATGATTGGTAGTGCTTCTTTAATTGAATCATTTTCCCCGCTATCTTCTGATCGAAAGAAAGAGTAACGTTACTTCTGAGATAGCGATTATCTATTGCATAGTATTGTAGGCTACTGCATCTTTATTACCGGCAAGTAACTTGTGAATATAATCGTAATGGTGATCAATTTTAGAAGATAGACTGTATGATATTGTATTAGTTACTGTTCTTTCTTACTTGCTTATTAGTGTGCATCAATACTGACGATAATCACAAAACTAAAAAAAATTTCTGACGTATAATTAAGTGAATATGTATTGCTATTGCTTTTCATACATTTTGTTATTGCCATAATATTAAATTGGTGCGCTGATAGGATATGACCAACTCGCTACGCTCAGATCAGTAATGATCTAAGTTTAAATTCTTTATTGTTTGAAGTATAATATTATAATGATGGGAGCCAATTCATTTTGGTAGAGTTTAATATGTATTATTATAGAGAAACCTAAATTTATTTAAACCAAGATAACCAATCAAGTATTTACACCGTATTATTTTAGATATGCATAGTAGTATGTTCTAAATTTATGATATACATTTTAGTACTTTGAAAGTTGATATTGGCTGCATGCGCGCACATCAAATCCACAAATTATGATTTATGAATTCATGATAGCATAGATACAACATAAAATAGATAATGGCAATGTTAATGAAATTGAATCATTATATTTAATTATTATTGCTAACGAAAACTCACAAAAACAATAATGCGAACCTACTATATTCTTATGTACAATCTAGAACAATTCCGCTCCTTGGCCAGATTTTACATTATGTTTTGAAAATGCGATCATCTTAATCATACCTCCTGCTCTTATGATCTTGGCTTCGCTTTTTTACATGCCTGTGCTAGTTCGGAGACCAGAATGTCAGCCAAAGTTTGGTAAAAAAGTTCCATCAACACTATACAAATTTAAATTGGTAATGATAACAGCATCGTGGATGTCATTAAAATTGCTAAATTTAGAGCATGATCCATGCGTCTACTGTTAACTCGGATCCAATCTCTATCCTCTTTTGACTTGTTATTCTATTGACTATAGTATTTTACTAATAGTACTAATATCGATAATATGGTAGGGATCTTAAATCATTTTTAACGCTAATCCTGACAATTTCTCATTCTGTGAGTGATCGTAGCAGACATTGAATTAAAACGAGTCATTCATTGTTCAACATGATCAATTCATTAATAAGTTTGGCAATTTGATGTTCACGTCTTAATTTAACATGATTTGATAGCAATAACCATGTTTAAACTAGTACGAGTATTCTTACGGTTACTAACCACTTCTGTATGTGAAAGAAAGTGGTAATACGTATTTGTTTATCAATGTACATCAAATTCGGTTGAGTTGTCATGAGTTTGGTAGATGATAATAGTAATTGTAATTTGTTTTGATATTTAAAAGACTTTCTCCGTTATTGCCATACTTCCACCTTTTATTGATTTGGTGTATACGATAGCCGATATTCAATCAAGTCAAACTCCTGGGGTTCATGTGTTGACTTCATCAGTAACATGGATAGCAATGGTAAATTAAAAATTTTTTATGATAACGTTTACGATTTACAAGATTAATCTCTATGCTATAATTAGATCATACAAGGAAATAAAAAGTTGATGTGTTATTGTTTTGTCTTGGAATTTGGTACCTTTTCTCTTCCCGGTCGTTGTTTCGCCGACGCATAGTCAATTAATCATTTCGATTTTGATATAAATGTAACAGATTCTATCGGTTGCTACTTTGCGGACGGAGTGGAGCAGAGGTGTTATATCTTCAGGCTTGTTATTCCTTTACTGGTTTACGATGGCTATTGCTTACACTATCAAGATTAGAACACTGTTATCGTACTACATTCTTCTAGTAAGCAATTACACGTAGCTGTTAATTGAAAAAAATATCAATATCAATCGACCTGAATATGTAATCGAATTTGTTTTGTATTTGTTTATTGGAAATTTGTTCGATAATTGTAATGAATAATTGAAGATTTAATGTAATGAGTTTTATGCTTCATGGGGTAACTTGCGTATTTTAATCATAACTAGGATCAGATGCCAGAAGGATTACTGAGATTTGTCACATTTTGTATGGTATTTCTTATCAGCGTATGCATGTTTGTGCAAACAATATGGGCTGATCGATCTTGTGCAGCAGAACGTCGGGATTCTGAAAGGGTATACTATGATTAACTTACTGTTTATAGTACTTAATTAAAGAAGGATGGCGTAAATTTTGCAGGATGTCATACCAAATGTTTATGCTGATAAATCTGTCTTTATAATCCTAAAAATGTAGTCACCTAATCCAGAATCGGAAGCTTCCTTTATTTCTCAGATCTTATTTTGGTGGATGAATGGGTAAATAGCACTATTATTGAAATAGCGACATACTTATCCTCGCCAATGTACCATACTTACATTAAAGATTAGAATGATTGCGTGTTTCCAATAAAGAAAACGCTTTATAATAAATTTTATTTTATTTATAATTATGTAGTATAATGATGAAAGGATTCAAAAACCCATTAACTGAAAAGGACTTGTGGGACTTGAATGATCATGATAAGAGTGATGTTATAGGTATGAAATTTTCCCGTGAATGGCAAAAAGAGATGCAAAAATCGAAGTATGAAATAGCTTGAATTGCTGTAATTACATTGAAGTAGAATGATTTGCTCATTTCAGTAATTTAATTTTCAGAAAAATCACATCGGAAGATGGCGTCATTGTACGTAAAGGTAAAGGGCCATCCCTTGTAATGGCCTTAACACGAGCTTACGGAGGTACTTTCCTGCTGGCTGGCCTTATGAAATTAGTTCAAGATATGTTGGTATTTGTCAACCCGCAACTTTTGAGGTATGCTATTATGATCTATAAAGCTATTATTGAATGAGCATAAAGTATATCTAGTTTATGCTTGAAATAAACATCGATTATTTATTTATTTCAGTTTAACTAGTTTGATGAGACAGCTTGTTTTATTCCTCACACCAACATTGAATCTTTTTAAGTTATTTAATAATTCAACTCTTAAAATTTGCTGTTTTACAGACAGTTGATAGCTTTTACTGCTGATAAGAGCATACCAACTTGGACTGGATTTGCATATACATTCTTATTATTTGGAACAGCATTTGTGCAATCATGTGTCCTTCATCAGTACTTTCACGGTTGTCTAGTCACAGGAATGAGAATTCGGTCAGGTGTCATTTGGGCTGTGTATCGTAAGGTAGAGTACTCTGCTTGCCATATTATACGGTAATGATTTCCCATTGCTTTGGAAACTAATAATGATTAATATGAATTAGGCTCTGGTTTTATCAAATTCTGCGAGAAAGAAGTCAACCGTTGGAGAGATAGTAAATCTAATGTCTGTTGATGCTCAACGTTTTATGGATCTGATGACATTTTTGCACATTATATGGTCAGCTCCATTTCAAATTGCAGTATCTATGTATTTCTTATGGGATATCTTAGGACCTTCAGTAATGGCCGGTTTAGCTGTTTTGATTTTGATGATCCCAATTAATGCATATGTTTCAACGAAAGCAAGAGTTTTTCAAGTAATCATTTTGATACCATTTCAGTATAATTTTTATCGAATGGAAAGGGCATTTTCCTGTATTGAAATAATTGAACCATTCTTTTATAAGAGAATTACTGCATAAACAAGTTGTAGAACAAATTTTATATTTATAGTTATCTTCTTATGAATATTATAGGTCAAACAAATGAAATTGACCGACGAAAGGATTAAAACTATGAATGAAATCTTGAATGGTGTGAAGGTGCTAAAAAAATGGAACATAAAGTCAATATACTTTGTTGGAATCGGCATTAATTTCATAATGTCTGTCGTCATCTTAAGTGGAGTAAAAATTTACGTACTCATAAATATTTTACGATTGAAACCTTTAGGTATTAAAATTGTATGCGTGGGAAAAATCGTTTATAGCTAAGGTACTCTCTATCCGTTCAAACGAACTGAAACAGTTATTGTACAGTTCTTTGCTGAATGCAGTTGGCATGTTTGCTTGGGGCAATGCACCTTTTTTGGTACGTTTAAGATATGCAGGAGTTATTAAGGATATCTAGTTTACATAATTTATTATTGCTGCACATATTCACGTTCTATGATGAAATTATCGCTAAAAAATATTCGTTATTCAACTTTGTATTTTATATGTTTTCGTGTTATCGCCTAGGTTGCTTTGGCTACCTTTTCTACTTATGTATTAACTGGTAACGAACTAAATGCCGAAAAGGCTTTTGTTGGATTATCCCTCTTTAATATTTTAAGATTTCCAATTGGTATGCTACCCGCTGTTATATCTAGCATAATTCAGGTACATATGAAATGGTTTTATTTCTAACTAGTTCATAGTCGTTCCTATAGCATTCCTTTTCAAATCATTCTATTTCAAATGTGCAGGCTAGTGTTTCCGTAAAGCGTTTATCTAACTTTTTGGAGAATGAAGAATTAGACCCTAATAGTGTAGAACGTGTTATGCCTCCTAAATATGGTATGAGCGCTACAGAAATTTATTTCATGAATCATTTTTGTATTTATCTTGTGATGCATGTGCAAGATGTAAGATCTCTTCATGCGTGATGAAGAGTAATGTTATTATGTATAATTGGATTTGTAAAGTACAATATATAATTTGCATTTGTTACTATTGGAAGAGGGTAATTCGGTTATAATTGAAGACGGCACTTTTAACTGGGAACGAGAAGATAAAAAGTCGACATTATCTAAGTAAGCTGTTGAAAGAGATTAATTGAATACCTAGATTTAATTTTGATCTGAAATATTTTGTAAATAACTGGATCTTTAATGTCATGCAATCACAAAGGTGTACTTTAAATTTCATAATTTGTAAATGGTATGCCTTAGGATAAATATCAAAGTTAAAACTGGTTCTCTTGTTGCGATCGTTGGCCATGTTGGTAGTGGAAAATCATCTTTACTTTCGGCACTTCTCGGAGAAATGGAAAAAATGAATGGCAGCGTCTACGTTAAGGTTAATACTTCATATCTTGTTTAATTTTTTATTAGTTTTACATTTACTTTCATGTAGCCATGCCAATAATTCAATTTATAGGGTTCTGTAGCTTATGTTCCTCAGCAAGCTTGGATGAAGAATGCTAGCTTAGAAGAAAACATTCTTTTTGGTAATGATCAATTTAGAGGAAGGTATAGCCAATGCGTAGATGCATGTGCACTAAAACCAGATCTAGAAATGCTCCCGGGTGGTGATCAGACTGAAATAGGCGAAAAGGTAGTTAAATCTTTTTACTAATAACACCTCTAGTGTTTCTCTGCTATCACGTTTTTCTTTATTTTCTAAAGAATTATTTTGATAAATGTTATTGCGATTTAAATATATGCTTCGATATTAGGGAATTAACTTGAGCGGCGGTCAAAAGCAGCGAGTCAGCTTAGCACGAGCTGTTTATTCTAATAGTGATGTGTATATGCTTGATGATCCTTTGAGTGCTGTTGACGCACATGTTGGTAAACACATATTTGAAAACGTTATAGGACATACTGGAATGTTACGTCATAAGGTGAATATTAAGTTACGGCGTTCTTTGCTTCGTACGAGTAGATTGTTTTATCAGCCACAACTTTTAATTATTTCTTGTAATACCTACAGACTAGATTATTCGTAACACATGCTGTTGGATTTTTGCCGTACGTTGATCACATTATTGTCTTGGAAGATGGTGAAATAGTCGAAGTAATAATGCATGATAAAATAATTTTTTATAACTTCTCAGTAAATAGTTAATACATGTTAGCAATAAGGTTCTTATTTAATTTATTGCTACATTATTCAAGTCTGGGAGTTATAACGAATTGCTATCAAGTAAAGGAGCTTTTGCTGATTTTCTCACGACATACGCCCATACTGAAACAAATCGTCCCGGTAAGATGACAATATATGCTAGATTGTCGTTCTGTGGACTTACAATCAGAGAAATGGATAGGTCTTAAAATTATGATTGTCAGCGCTATAAATTGTTATACTACTTTCTTCTCGATTGATACAGATGATGAAATAGCCTCAACAAGTCACTTGGAGCTACCAGACGGTAGCCATGATCGTTGGCATCGTGGTGATGAAGACCAAGAGATGTCTAGACGATCTAGTAAAGGGAGTCGAACTGGGTCGTTATCTGTTGGCGATAACGATTCTATGAATAAATTGTCTTTTTCTGAATCAAGTCGTGGTCGTGTAAGTACAGTACAAGAGGATAAGGAATCTATTGCGAAGCAAATTAAAGAATTAATGGAAAAGAAGAAGATTATTGAGATGGAAAAAGCAGCAGTCGGCAATGTTAGCAAGTTGATTGTTACAGTTTCTTGTATGATATTGACTATGAGTCAATTACTTCTTAGAAATTTGTTTCAAATGAATACATATTTATATAATCTAATTTTTAACGCAAATTACCATTAGGTCAAATTTTCGGTGTTTACTAGTTATTTACGATCTTGGGGATGGATACCTGCAACCTTGGTCATTCTGTTTTATTTCGCTTCTGAAGGTCTAAGTGTTGGTGCTAATGTTTGGCTAGCGCAATGGAGCGTAATTGTAAACTCTACTGCAGAAACAAGAGATTTATATCTTGGTGTCTATGGAGCTTTTGGTGGCTGTAGAGCATTTGTAACTCTTCTTACTAGCGTCATTGGTGCAGTTGCTGCTTTAAATGGTTCACGATCACTACATCGTCGTATGTTGGAACGTGTTCTACATGCTCCAATGTCATTTTTTGATACTACACCGCTGGGACGAGTTGTAAATCGTTTCTCTAAAGATATGAACATTATCGATGAAATAATTCCAAGGATATTTAACTTTTTTCTGATCATGATGACTACAGTTCTTAGCACTTTAGTTGTAATCTCTGTATCAACTCCTATATTTATGGCTGTTATTGTTCCTTTGATGATTTTGTACATCTTTACTCAGGTAAATAGATATATTTACTTATTTTACTGTCCATAAAGCCTTATCACGATTAGAATTGATTGTAGAATTTTAAGAATTACTACTTAAGATTTTCATGCTTGTAATATTGTGTAGAGATTTTATATTGCTACATCGCGCCAGTTGAAACGTTTGGAATCCGTTAGTCGGTCTCCAATATTTTCTCATTTTGGTGAAACTGTGCAAGGTGCTACAACAATACGTGGCTATCGAGTTCAAGACAGATTTTTCATGGATTGTGATAAGAGAGTTGACGTTAATCAAATGGCCTATTATCCTTATATTTCCTCAAACAGGTAAGACATGCTCGGTTTTGCTAACTTTTAAGTTATGTAGCACGTGTATACAAGTTAATGTGATTGTTGCTGGCTATCTTTTATTCTGTTAACAATGATGTCAAGATGGCTGGCGATTCGATTAGAATTTGTTGGTAATTGTATAGTTATGTTTGCTGCTGTTTTTGCGGTTGTTGGCCGAGGCAGTAACATTCCTGCTGGTATTGTTGGATTATCAATTACATACGCTCTTCAGGTAGGTTGGTATTGTTTGTCCTTAAGGAGATTATGAGGACGAGTAATTTTAGTTCATTTCGTGTGACTTATGTTATTAAGTCTGTACGTTTACAAAATTAAGAGCAACCTTAATGCTAACTCTTATAAAGATCACTCAAACATTAAATATGATGGTGCGCATGACCGGAGAATTAGAAGCAAATATTGTAGCTGTTGAACGAGTACAAGAGTATTCAAATATAGATTTGGAAGTGAGTATAGAATTTGCTAGTGTCATAGTCTATCCTACTCCAACTACCTACTTGATTAACAAAATGTCAATGTTATATTGTTTGGTATGATTGTAATATGATTCAATTATTGCTGTAACGGTAACAACTTTATTTGTAGGCTCCGTGGGAAATTGAGGATAGCAAACCGGATGATCAATGGCCGAAAACTGGTGAAGTTAGATTTATGGATTATAAAACTCGTTATCGTGCCAATTTAGATCTTGTTTTAAAAGGAATTGATTGCGTAATTTCTGGTGGCGAAAAGGTCAGTAAACATAATTGTAATTGTATATCAAGTTGAATCTAATTGCAAAGTTTGGGAGACCACGTAATACTTCGAAGCAGTTATTAAAGTTGTTGTAGCGTATGTACATTGCTTGCGCTATTGAAAGCAGCATTTAATTAGTTATGCTTTTGGCCGTATATGGGCTGTTGAATTTTTGGAACGATATACTCGTAGATCGGTATTGTTGGGCGTACTGGTGCAGGTAAATCATCTTTAACCTTGGGATTGTTTCGTATCATTGAATCTGCTGGTGGTTCAATCGTTATTGATGGAGTAGACATTTCTAAAGTGGGCTTGCATAATTTAAGGTCACGGATTTCTATTATCCCTCAGGTACCATATTTATCATACAATGTTTAATCTATTAAATGACGATACTATCATCAATATAAAGTGTCAGCATTACATTAAGAGCTATAATAAGTAGTGCTGATAGCATTATTCTACAGAAATATTTCGCAACGTTATTGCTTCCGAATTGTAAAGATAGCCTAAGAAAATTATTAGTGGAATATTAGAACACCTGTTAATAATTCTGTATGACTTAGTTAATGATTTACATTCTTTAGGATCCTGTACTTTTTTCTGGCAGTATTCGTATGAATCTTGATCCTTTTGAAGACCATAATGATGAAGAAATTTGGTCTGCGCTTGAACATGCCCATTTAAAAACCTTTATAAGCTCATTGGAAGATCAGTTGCAGTTTCAAGTTAGTGAAGGTGGTGATAATTTGAGGTAGGTGGTTGTACAAGTGTCTCCGCAGAGGTGATCACTAGCGCTGTGCAAGTAGTAACTTAAGGCAATTATATAATTTAGGAATAGTAATTATATTTGATATTTTGATCAAAATTACCATGGTAATGTGTTGTGTTATGGATTGCCTTAGTACTGTATGTGGTAATAATTTACTAAAGTGGTAGTAAACACAATTTGCTAAGTTACTCATGATTAAGTGATTATGAAAATAATTTGGTATACCCCTATTTTATAGTGTTGGACAGCGACAGCTGATATGTTTAGCACGTGCTCTTCTTCGTAAGTCGAAGATATTAGTTCTAGATGAAGCAACTGCAGCTGTCGATCTGGAAACTGATGATTTAATTCAAGAGACAATTCGAAGAGAATTTGCAAGTTATACAATTTTGACGATAGCTCACCGTTTAAATACTATTATGGATAGTACAAGGTTGGTATTTAATAGTACGATGATATTCTTGCAGAGCAACTGTTTTAGAAATTATTGCTTTAAGTCATGATAAGTAGCAAAGATCATGTTCTGCTTTGCGAATTTATTTTGGAGATAACTTAATTGCCATTGTCATTGTAGGATAATGGTATTGAGTGATGGACGTATCGCTGAATTTGATCCTCCATCGGTATTGTTAGAAAGGAAAGAAAGCATATTTTATGGCATGGCAAAAGATGCTAAATTAATTTAGATATTAGGTTAATACAATAGCTTCTCATAAAGTTTATTGATTATGTATTGGCGGTACAGCAGTTGATAAACTTTTTACTTAAAGTAACTAGTATTAGCAAGTTGTTGTAGCTACGGTCGTATTGAAGGCTCTTGCGTATTGTTTGAATGTCTGTTTGTTTGTTTGTTCCGGTTGCTTTCAGCCGGTAAATTTGATAAGTGATGGATAAATATCACAGCATACCGGCTTATGCCTAGCAACTGAAAAGGAATTTAAGCAAGTGTACCGTTGTATGCTATTTCACCACATATGCGATGATGCAAAATTCAAGGTTGCATATTGTATATTGCATCATAATATATTTGTTTATAATGATATTTTCAGTGATGATCTTTGGGTATATTGTGCTGTACAACTTACGAAATGTTATGATAAAAGCGCCTACCCACGTTAGGGTCTCTTGTGTGATAGCAGAGTTGTATTTCTACGCGTATTTACGATGGATATTTATTCTACTTTGTTTGCAGTAAACGCTAGTGTATACAGTATGTAAACTGAAGGTACTGGACAGTGTACAACGCTATGGCGGCGGCATACTGTACATTACTGTAAGTTAGACCTAACGCAAGTACAGGACAGTGCAGCGTACTGTATAAATCAAAATACTATGTAAACAATCATTGATTCATGTACAGAGACAGTAATCCTAATCTGTACTGTATCAACTTTTAGTAATCACGATCAGTAATCCAAATTTTGAATTCGAAGAATTAGATAAGCCAATGATAGGATGACCCTGCATATTAAATGAGAGTTTGTGTGAACTAGAGTGGACGTATTGAGTAGCATTGGGCGGCAATAGCTAGGAATACATCCGTTAGCTCATCTCATCCAGATTTACGGGTTCAATAATACTGGTAGCATTCAGTTTAGCCCACTCAAGATTGGAGTTTTATTGATTTGTTCGTGCTATATACTGTAAGTATAGCTGCACATGCCAACGAAATTCCTGTCTAGCAGATTCAAGTTATTCACTTGAATTTTTTCTACTTTAAGTTTAAAAGCATGTCGTGATTTTTAGCATACAGAGTCTGCAGGCATTGCGCTAATTTTAATTTGATCAACCCGATCTCGTTTATCCATGTGTATTGCATTATCGCGCAATTCTGCATCTCATGACAACAGGACAAATGAATCCTTAATAAGGTACTGTCCTATACGTTGACACGATGAACATTTCTTATTTTATTGTACAGAAAGTGTTTTAACAGACCACAGCGAAGACTTTGCACGAGTCCAGCTTGCTTTTTGAATCAAGTTGTTATTGTCCCTATCGACATCAAGGTGAGCTTGTCAACTGCAGGAAAGAATATAGAATTCTCCATCAAATCAATCCTTGCTATGCTAGCAGTGCAAAAACTACCAATTTACCATCGCTTGTATGCACGACTGGTTAGATGGGGTGCAAACAGAATAGAAGCTACTATTCAATGATTCTAGCATATTACTTGCAGAGGAAAAGCATTGTTTTGTTGCTTTTGATGAGCACAGTAGCATGTTGCAATAATTGTTTGTTTTGTTGTTGATGTTGACCTTGTTATTGTCTTTGATGACTAAAACTAATTCTAAACCATGAGTCGGCAAAAAGTTAATACCTGAGTCCACACACGTGATCGGAATCATAATCAACATGATCGTGGATTGTACTGTACACTGTACACTGTACCGTGCTGGATGGGGCGGTTGATCTGGCTTGACGCCTGCGCCCTGCAGTCGCCAAGTCTAGTTTACGCTTTCGATGACGTAACAATTGTCCTGTTGTCAGGTCCAGCTACAGGTCACTCGCATAGTCAAGCGTCATCTTCGCTGTACTGACTACAGTGCATTGTACTGGCCAATAACGCTTCAACCTCACCGTGACGCTTCATCTTTGCTGCACTTCAGCTGCTCGCTGGCTGCTTCAACTTCGTTGTCACCGGTCTGACATTTTTCCGCCATTGCAGAGAAAGAAAAAGCACTGGAAAATTCTTGTTTTGTAGGTAAAAATTATGCTAGCAAAGAAGCCATAAATCAATTTTTTCTGTGTATGTTACAGTCGAAAAGAGAGCTAATTCGTCATGAGAGAGAGAGAGAGAGAAATGACCTTGGAAGCGAGTTGAATTGAAATTGATAGTGGCACTTGTACTGAATCGTGTTCACGCATTGCAAAGTAGAAAAAGTTTACAGTCGTAGGAGCGCTACCACTTGCCATCTTCACAGTATTTGTTCCTTTCTCATTTCCATGGCCAATGGCTCATCGTTCTACTCAGATTGAAAGGACACTAAAATGAATATCAGCCATCTCTTAGTCACTGAGGAAGAAATAGGCTTTGTAACTGTGATTTTACTGCACGGGTCTTCTTTTGTTCCGTGATCCCTATGGAAAGTCCAATGAACGATTGGATACAGTTTAGGTATAGGCTTTCTCGATGACGCCATTGAATCATTTTCAGGCGCGTTCTATTTCTAGGCCTTGTCGTTATGGTACTAATGTAGTTTTCAGGCCAATCATGGCCAAAACAACTTAGGATATCAATACACACTCTCCTATCAGGGGAGTGGAAGTGTTATTGACGCCCTGCTAATTTAAACATGCTGCAATAGGATACACAACATGATAGCGAGTGCGAATTCAAATTAGATGGACACTTCGTCGACAGTAAGATTGATAGACACCCCTCAGAAAATGGTAATGATAATTCAATCGTACAATTTTTCAAGTAGTCATGGCCGAATTGCCTGCAATCGTGGTTTTACTCCAGTATCCCAGTGCAAAGAAAGGGAAATACTGCAATGATTTAATGTTTGCCATCATCATCCATGCATGTGTAAAAAATCCTTCAAAGCGATATTTTGCCACTATTGTATCAGTAGTGGATAGTTCATAGACTACACAAAAAACGGGAAACACTACCATGGTTCCACATCTGTATACACATAGGTCGTAGAAGCTGCTATCATCATCGATGCATGTGCTAATGCCTTTCTAAGCGATGATCTATCTATTTTACCACCATTGCATCGGTAGTGGACACTTAATACAGTACACTGATCAATACGGTAGCAAAAAAAAAGTTGATTAATGCAATGGTACGGTTTCAAACAGTCGCGGTCGAGTCATTTCAAAGAAAGGGAAACACTGCAATGATTCCTCTATTGGTCTTCATTAATTATCATGGATGAATGTGCTAATGTTCTTCTTGACGTTAATATCTGATCACTGTTGCATCAGTTATTAAATCATAGCGATCGAGAAACGAATTCATTAATGATCTTGTGCGTTATTCTTTTTCTAGCAGCTGTCAATATAAAGTAAGGGAATCAGTTCATTTAGATCCACCTTGAGTGTCACGATGGAGGGAACATTTGGTGTTCGTGGTCTTTGCGAGCCGCTATCCGTATTTTGGGTAAGTACTTGATGAAAGAAAGTGTTTTTCAAACCTATTAGAGCATTCAATTGCCACTCCTTGGCTATCTAGTGCTCGGTTAATTTTTGATTTTAATGCGATATTTTATTTCCGTATCATGGCCGGCTCAATCGAGTTCAACGAAGTGCTTTAATTAAGTATTGACTTGTTATAAGTGATATCGCGAAATTATTGTAAATCGAATCCCACACACGCATCCAGATATACGGTAAACTAACTCTAAATTCGATATTATCCTTGCATTCACAGCAACGTTTTTAAATGGAAGTTAACCACTTGCCTTGATCACGCTTGTTATTTTTTATGCAATTAATGAATACGTGTAGACTGATCTTATCCATTTCAATCAATTCTTCCTATAGTACAGTAGTTCACTTAGAGGAAAGTTCCATAGCTGTTAATGAGTGGCGCGTCGTCTGACGGTCTGAATAATGTTTGAAGATCGGTGCCATTGTACTCGCAGAATTAGACAGGAAATATTTAAATTCTTTATTACCTATCATTAAATGTTACTGTATAGCAATGACAATCAGTGAGGATATTGGTAGCGAAAATTGGTGTCTCCTCCTGAGACTACAGTTGTATCTACAGTCCCGTATCCGTATGGAAGCTCGCATGCAAGTGCGAATTTACCATTTTAATAATCAAGTTGAAGTAACTAAAGCATATTTGCATATCAGCTACGGTGCGATCCATCCCTTGATTACCAACTTCCATTAGAAATCCATACCTTAATTTTGCTTGAATCCCCGTCATTTTAATCCTAACCCTAACCATAGACTACTAGTAGTCCACCAAATAATTTTAAAGTAGTACTCGCTACTACTGTATACGCCTATCTCAATGTATCAGATTAACCAATGCAAAATGGATCAACGCATGTGGTAAAGTATCATCGAATTTAATCATTTTACTATCATGAATTGTCTTTCTTATTTACGAGTGGCGAAATAGATAAAAATGATCAGTTACTTTTTTACGATAGGATAATGTCGGGGTAATTGCTGTGTCATTAAAACACGTACGTGCTTGACAAACTAATCGTAGACAAATTTCATCCAAAGGCTATACATGCTCAGCATTGTAGTCGCTTCGTAATTTGATTTCTAGAAAAATAAAGCATTCTACCATTACCCGCATTAACGTATAAATACAGTAAATACAGTAGACGTAGAACAAGAAGAACTAAAATGCCTTTATAAGTGTTATTTATTTTTAATCTGATTGACAGTGAATAATTCTTATGCTTCTGAGTCGAAATAATTATTGCCATGATTAAGGCCTTTAGTTCTATAATTGGTTGAAAAGTAAAATTTTCCATTACGATAATAGGTGAATAAACGGACAGCTGGACTATTGTCTTGAATCACGATTCCACACGTTGAATTAATATTTCTTATATCAAAATTTTTAGTTCCTTTCTGCTTAAAATTATTAATGCTATCTTTCTACAAATGGGGTTCAATCCCAAGTCTTTGATAGTCCTAATAGTAGCAGTTATTAAATAGTTTAAATGTTGTGACTTAATTGTCTTCGATTGCCAGCAATGACTCAATTGAATAATAGTCGATCGCGATTCTTAAAATTTGCTATAACGGTATGTGATGCAAGGATATTGCCAACAAATGCAGTACATGGGTAGCTCTACTCGACATGCATTTCCATCGATACTTACAAAGTGGACTCTTTCTCTTGGCATTAGCATCTTTGTAATGAATGAAATAGATCACTACTTAGGAATGCATGATGCTGATTTCCCGTTTTCGTTATGAAAACATTTAGCTCTTCTTAAAGACTACAGTCCAAATAAGTTAAATAGAGAACCTCGGCTTGATGTTAGATACCGCTACAACTTAAGAAGCCAGTATTTGCTGACACAATTGAAATTTTTAGTAGGTTAACTTGTAGATAACTTGCACTCCATGAGTGCTGTACATCGACCTAGAAAAAACTAAATGCCAATTTAATTTCTACTAGAAGGGCGATATTGATGATTTTAACTGTACAATAAAATAATATGCTTCGCTTTACAACACTACTTTATAACAGTATAATGTGAAACCTAGTCTAAGTAATACCGATGTACCACATTAATATTCTATCCCTGCAATTACGGTCTATTTCTGCTCCAACATGGTTGCAACTTGCAATTATCGGCTATAAAGCATTAATTTAGGATGATGATTGATTATCTGTACTTCTGCAATTACGCTTATGTAAACATTAATAAATTCTAAGAAACAATATATTTAAAGACTACCGTATGGGTTTAATTTGAATCACCGATGCAGAATAATGATTTCGCTAGTAATAATACTTAATCTAATCGTATTCATGACTACGTTTTTAACTAGGCTTGCATTATATCTATTAGATTACCAAATCTAGATTTAGTTCGTAGTCATCTGCAGTCATCGATGTTGCTTCGTCATTTTAATACGCTTTCCTAAATTTTAACGTGATAGTATACGAATATAGTCCTGCTATATTTAAATGTATTATTGCTCCGATTTTAGGAATCAAATTTCTCAAAGCCATGGCCGGATTTCACTATATGCTTTGAAAATGCGATTTTACTTAATATTCCTACCGCTTTCATGATAATAACATCTTTATTCTATCTACCAAATTTGGTTTCAATGCCAGAATTTCAACCCAAGTTTGGCAAGAAATTTCAGTCTTCACTATACCGGTTCAAACTGGTAAGATATAACTTTACCAATAGTGTCTATCGTAGCGATCGTTCCTAGCTGCCATTGCAATTCTACTTTCTTATAAAAGGAATGCATGGCAACAAATATTCATTTTCTTTAAATGTAGTTGTCTCCTCTATATTCTGTAGTTAAGATTGTATGGCTTCTTAATGAAACAAAACTAACCGATTTTTAACTCATATCAACCGTAATGTAATGTAATAATTTTATGCGTATGTTTCTCTACAGTTTTTATCAATTGCCATGATTTTACCACCCTTTGTCGAGTTGGTATACACTTTGGCGGACATTCAACAGCAAACGACTGCTAGTGTTTTGATATTAACCCCTTGCACGACTTGGCTTTCTATGGTATGGTAATAATGAATATACATAGCTAGGAATACTTTCTATCGATGACCATACTGTAAATAGAATAGTTAATTTACCCCTAAGTTAGTCTAACAAGTATAAACTTAGCGATTTATTGAGAAAAGAACACTAATTGTGAATTTTAATTGAATTCTAAATATAATTTATTCGTCATCACTTTTATTATAATATACCTCGAACAGATATTGCAGTATTAAAGCAACAACTAATAATAAAAACCTACCTTAAATATACTACTAGGTATTAGCTGCTGCTACACTGAGGATCGAATGGAGTCGAGGAATTTTCTCGTCGAGTTCATTATTTCTGTATTGGTTCCTGATGGCTGGGGCTTATACCATCAAAATGCGAACAATAATATCCTACTTAGTCGTTTTGGTTAGTTAAGGCATTGTACAAAGATGAAAACACAACTTTCTGATAAGACAATATTTCAAATTAATCCTTAGCGTGCAGTTGGCGTTATACTGCAGCTCCGTTCTTGATATTTAACTCGTTGCTGTAGTGATAGCATTGGTTTATTATGAGCGATGATTAGTTATAGGCGTGTACCTTCTTCTATGAAATTACATTCTATCCTAAGATGACCTTTATCATAGCCCTTGTGTTTCTATACTTACTCGTATTAACAACGTCACAGATTTAGTATTTGCTTTGTTTTCATTTTTACTGGTAATCATTATAATTGTACAGAGCTTTTTAAATTGAAAATGTGGACTGTAAAATCTGAACGTGGCTCAGTACTGAAGAGTTTTAGCTGCATATAACTTTAATTTAATTGTTTTGATAGCATATTTTATAGTATTATGCATTAAAACTTGAATAACAACGTGTTCTTGTGCTCTTAAAAGGGATATATGCCGGAAGGGTTGCTGCGATTCGTTACTTGTTGTATAGTCTTTGGCGGAAGTATAATACTTTTGACTCAGACGATTTGGGTTGATAGATCATACACGAAAGATCAAGAAGGATATAAGGAAGAAGATATTGTAAGACGATATCAATAGCGTATGCCAATTTGTGATCCATAATCTGATGAAGTGTCTTATTATCAACTATTAGGAGCCAAGTCCGGAATCTCGTGCTTCATTTTTATCCAAAATCACCTTTTGGTGGATGAATAGGTATGTAGCGGATTTCGTTGATTGCTTTCTGTTGTACCACTGCAGTTTGATATGAACATACAATAGATTGCGTTATTATTAATTGGCTACTTTTATGTGTGTTACTTTCAACGTTCTAGTACTATGATGAAAGGGTATAAACATCCATTAACAGTTAAAGATTTGTGGGATTTAAATGAGGTTGACAAATGTAGCCCTATTGGAAATCGATTTCTACGGGAATGGAAAAAAGAAATAGCCAAAACAAGGTTAGTTAATCGGATATTAACAGTTGGTGATATAAATGGTAGTGAACTTTCCTATTATAATATAATTACTATTCAAGGAGTACTACCAATGAAGACGGCGTTAAAGTTATTACGCCAAAAGATCCTTCGCTTCTGTTAACGTTAGGCCGTGCTTTTGGTGGCACGTTCTTTTTCGCTGGTTTCTTGAAATTTTTGCAGGACTTACTAACTTTTGTTAGTCCACAGATTTTAAGGTTATTACACTTATAACAGCATGTGAATTGATTTTTACTTTATTATTTACTAAGTTACTCTTCAACTATGTAAGATTAGAGATTATCTGTTATTAATACTAAATTTGTCTTATTATCGTTGTCATAAAAGGGCTTTGATAGGATTTACAGCTAACAAAAGCCAACCTTTATGGATGGGTCTTTCATTCGCTTTCATTATGTTTGCCGCAGCTTTCATTCAGTCATGCATACTTCACCAGTACTTCCATCGCTGTTATGTAACTGGTATGAGACTAAGATCTGCAATAATTTGGGCAACGTACAGAAAGGTAAATTTCTTGATATTATTTTGCAACAATATCACAAAATTTTATTTGCTCTCGCCGCCGTAAATTTAGCCTGGGTAATTAACGTAAAGTATTTTACACATTTTAGGCTTTGTCGTTATCTAATTCTGCGCGTAAAAAGTCAACCGTTGGAGAGATTGTCAACTTGATGTCTGTCGACGCTCAAAGATTTATGGATATGACAACATATCTTCACACGATATGGTCTGCACCACTTCAGATTGCATTAGCTATGTACTTCTTATGGCAAGAACTTGGACCGTCAGTCCTTGCTGGTCTCGGCGTTTTGCTTTTACTTGTACCATTTAATGCTTATATTTCCATGAAAGCTAGGAATTTTCAGGTTTTTCATATCATAATGCTTACGTTTTCTTAATTTCCGTATTGGTCATAAAATTCTATTTGAAAGTCCGTAAAAAGAATAAGGTATTTTGGTTTTCCTTGATTTATGACAGCATCTGGTGTATAATTTAATATTTAGGTCAAGCAAATGAAATTTAAAGATTCTAGAATTAAAATGATGAATGAGATCCTTAATGGTGTCAAGGTAAATAATAACTTACAAAGTGATGCGCTTAATGTCATCATAAATTGCTAAAAAGCTTAAGATATTCCTTGTTAATAGGTCTTAAAATTATACGCTTGGGAAAAATCATTCATTAATAAAATTTTGGGCATAAGAGAAGATGAGTTAAAGCAACTGCTCAGGAGTCGCCTTTTGAATGCTATAGGTTTTTTTGCTTGGTCCAATGCTCCATTTTTAGTAAGTCATTCGTTATATGTTTATTTAGAAATTAGAAAAACTGGTAGTACCATTGTAGTATGGTAAAAGGTATTTTTATTAGCTATTTACTAATTAGCAGATACTGATGGTATAAGTTATTAACATCGACAGGTTGCCTTGGCCACTTTCGCTACGTATGTTTTATCTGGTAATACCTTAGATGCATCGAAAGCTTTTGTATCTATTTCATTATTTAATATCCTTCGATTTCCTATCGGAATGTTACCGGCTGTTATTTCTAGTATTATTCAGGTGAAATCTTGTTATTATTCGTACATTATTTCTTTAAAAATGAAAAATTAACTAACGTAAAATTTGGACACGAATTTAGGCTAGCGTTTCATTACAACGTTTAGCAAGTTTCCTTAAAAATGAGGAATTGGATGAAAACAATGTTGAGCACTCAATGCCGACAAAGCACGGTATCAATGCTAAATTGTTTATTTTCCAGTTTGTGATCGCGTAGAGTTGTATTATTAAATTTAAGATAATTTCTGTCTTTTTTTACTTCGTAGAAAAGCAATCTGTTGTCATTGAAAATGGAACCTTTAAATGGGGAGTTGATGAAAAGCAAGCAACATTGAAAAAGTATGTATCAAATTTATTACTATTTACAGCTAACTAAGAAGTTTAAAAGGGTATGAATTATGATCGTAATTCTAAATTACGATATGCATCATATCAAACTTATTAAAGAGAAACCATATTATTATCATCTGCTACTAGCATCAACTTCAATGTTCCTACTGGTTCTCTTATTGCTGTAGTTGGTCATGTCGGTAGTGGTAAATCTTCCTTAGTGTCAGCAATTCTAGGTGAAATGGATAAAAGTGAAGGAAACGTCTATGTGAAGGTATAATTCGCAAGTTTTGATTGTTGCATTTGACTTTTACTATTTTATCTATCATTTAAATGAACCAAATTTTTATTACTATGGATATGATATGATATCAAAGGGATCAGTGGCTTATGTCCCCCAACAAGCGTGGATGCAAAATGCTTCAATAGAAGATAATATTTTATTCGGCAATGATCGTTTGGTTGGCCGGTATGAAAGGAGTATTGAAGTATGTGCGTTAACGGCTGACTTAGAAATGTTACCGGGTGGAGATCAAACAGAAATTGGAGAAAAGGTTAAGAAAGCAATTAGAAATAAATAATTATGACTTTATTATTGTGTCGTACGTTAATTAACGGCGAAGAAGAAATTTCTTCTTGTTCTCTGATGTTTAAATTTGAAAATTAATCATAGGGCATCAATTTAAGTGGTGGACAAAAACAACGTGTGAGTCTAGCTCGTGCTGTGTATTCAAATAGTGATGTTTATATCCTCGATGATCCATTAAGTGCTGTCGATGCTCACGTCGGCAAGCATATTTTTGAGCAAGTGATTGGTCATCACGGAATGTTACGACACAAGGTGAATATAGATGTAGCGAAATTGTGCATATGTGTATGACTAATATACGGAGAAATAACTAATCTTGTTTCCTTAGACGCGAATATTCGTTACTCACGGTGTTGGATTTCTTCCGTATGTGGACAAAATTGTTGTATTGGAAGATGGCGATATAGTCGAAGTAAATATTTACTGTAAAATTATACTGTAAAGTTATGTTCAGTTGATAGCAAAATATTGTCATTCATAAAAATAGTATGTCAACTATGTTTTCATATTGCTAGAGTGGTAGTTTCGATGAATTGTTATCGCGCCGTGGTGCTTTTGCTGATTTCTTAATTACATACACAAATACTGAAATGAATAAGCCCGAAGAAGGTTAACTCCCTTATTTATCTGATTAAAGTATTTTCTTTCTTTTGTATCTTTGATGCTATTACTTAAATTCATTTAAACTGTACTCATAATATTGGTTGAATAAATTTAGAACGGATTGCAGAAGAGGAGCTTGTTAATGACGAGCTATCGCAATTACCTGATGAGATTCGAGATCGCTTGAAGTCTATTTCATCTCAACATGGCAGGAGTTCTTCCGCTGGTTCAAGGGATAGCTATGAAAGGCAGAGACAGGTATCATTTAAAGATTCACTTGACGTGCGCAGCTTGTCGACTGTTAGTGAACGCCGGAGCCGAGTCAGTACTACTCAGGAAGATAAAGATTCAATATTAAAGCAGGTCAAGGTGATCTCTGAAAAGAAAAAACTTATTGAGGAGGAAAAGGCTGCTGTTGGACATGTAAGAAAATTTTTTTAACTAAATCTGAATCGAGCTAATAACGCAATGACGTTTAATAATATGTAGTATAAATTGCAATCTTAATTTCTTTCGATCGTAAATCCTAGGTCAAGTTGGGAGTATTCATATATTACATGAAATCGATGGGATGGCTAGCTACTATTCTGATTCTTATTTCAAGAGTAGCAATTGAGGGTTGTTCTGTTGGAAGTAATGTCTGGCTGGCTGAATGGAGTGGTATCGTCAACGCTACTGATGCAACTCGAGATCTTTATCTTGGTGTTTATGGCGCAATTGGTGCTAGTAAGGCTGTTGTAACACTGCTCAGCAGCTTATTATTAGCATTTGCTGCTATGCATAGTGCTCGCGTACTTCATTCATCAATGTTGTTTAATGTATTAAAATCGCCAATGTCATTTTTTGACACTACACCATTGGGAAGAATTGTCAATCGATTTTCCAAAGATATCTATGTAATTGATGAAATTATTCCAATGATTATGAACATGTTTCTTGGTATGGTTTGCTCGGTAATCAGCATTCTCGTTGTCATCTGTGTTTCCACTCCTTTCTTCTTAATTGTTATCGTACCTTTGGCTATTGTATATATTCTCACGCAGGTATAATCGGACGTTTATTGCATATGGAAAGTTATATAGAGTTTCTAGAATAAGCTGATATTGATGTCTTACAATGTTATTGTTTAGCGATTTTATGTGGCGACATCACGACAGCTAAAACGCTTAGAATCAATAAGTCGTTCACCTATTTATTCACATTTTGGTGAATCAGTTCAAGGAGTATCGACTATTCGTGGTTATAATGTAAAAGATCGATTTTGTTTACTCAACGACAGGAAAGTAGATGCAAACCAAATGGCCTACTATCCTAATATATCATCTAACAGGTAAATCTTTACCGTGTTGAATAGTTATATAAGGAATGACTAGATTTAATTCGCATTGGTATTACGTAAATTTTATTAGATGGTTGGCAATGAGATTAGAGTTTACCGGCAATTGTATAGTCTTGTTTGCATCTATATTTGCTGTTGTGGGGAGAAATGCATTGCCGCCAGGAATTGTTGGTTTGTCTATTTCCTATGCAATGCAGGTATTTTTTAAATTAAAATTAACATACTGTACGTTAATGTGGCTGTGAATCTTAATGTCATATATTTGGCCTTTTATGCATAGATTACTGGAACATTAAATTGGATGGTTCGTATGTCTAGTGAACTTGAAAGCAATATTGTAGCTGTTGAACGTGTTAAAGAATATACAGAAATAGAACAAGAGGTAAAGTATGGAATATAAATACCTTTTAACTAATCAATTAATTTTATTGTACAGTAAGTAAACGCTGATAATTATAATCTGCTAAGTAAGTAAGCATCCTGTTGTATGACTACTCTGATAACGAATATATAACTTGTTTTCACGTTTCGGTGGGCAAGGTCTAAAGTTAAATTGAATCTAACGTTCTTTATAGGCACAGTGGGAAATAGAAGAAACGAAACCAGATCCTAAATGGCCAATAAATGGCGATGTACAGTTTGCAAATTACCAAACTCGATATCGTGCCGGTTTAGATCTTGTGTTGAAAGGCATCGATTGTGACATTTCTGCTGGCGAAAAGGTTTTTATCTGCCATGTATCATTATTCTTGATCGACTGCTACTGAGCATTACGCCATGTAGTTGTTACTATGCAGTGGTAATGAAATTTTCTAATTTTATTATTAATATGAAAAATTATCAGATCGGAATTGTAGGTAGAACAGGAGCTGGCAAATCTTCTCTTACGCTAGCGCTATTCCGAATTATTGAAGCTGCGGAAGGGACTATTTCTATTGACAAAACTGACATCTCTAAACTAGGAGTACACAATCTTCGTTCTCGTATTACCATTATCCCACAGGTGCAACCAATTATAATTATTGAATGTTGGGCTCTTGATATAGAATTTTTAAAAGTATTACCAGGCCTTATAGCTGTAAAAGTTCTGGTAAAAATGAATTTAATTAACTAGGATTTATTATCACGCCTGCATCTCTGTAGGATCCGGTGCTATTTTCGGGCACTCTAAGGATGAATTTGGATCCATTCGAAGGTCATTCTGATCAAGATTTATGGGTGGCCCTTGAAAATGCTCATTTAAAAGACTTTGTTCAATCGCTAGAAAAGGGATTACTACATGAGATTTCTGAAGGCGGTGAAAATCTTAGGTGTGTTGATTGCTGTACACTTATAAATCTGCAATAACTAATAAAAGTTATTTTGAGCATTGGTAGAATTAAACGATGATTTCTTTTATCCCGTTCTTTTTGGAGTCTTTTCGTGGTGCTTATCTGTTGTTTTTCAAATTGACGTATTATTTTAGTGTTGGTCAACGCCAGCTTGTTTGCTTAGCTCGAGCCTTACTTCGAAAAACCCAAATTCTGGTATTAGACGAGGCAACAGCTGCTGTTGATCTTGAAACTGACGATTTAATCCAGGCAACCATTCGACGTGAATTTGCTGATTGTACAATACTTACAATTGCTCATCGTCTTAATACAATTATGGATAGTACACGGTAAGCCCTTAAATCGCTCTGTCATTCTTAAAAGGTTGTGTGCACCATATTTTATGCGAATGATGTATTTGTGTTTCTGTATCGCTGTCGGGCTATTACAGTAAATTGAAATTGTTATGTACTGTTTTAGGGTTATGGTATTGGATAAAGGTCGTATTGCCGAGTTTGATCCTCCACCAGTTCTGTTGTCTAGGAAAGACAGCATCTTTTACTCTATGGCTAAAGATGCAAAACTAGTTCATGACTAAATATTCTAAGAATTAGTTCTTCTGTTTATTCATATATGTATTCTAAGTTAGAACTTTATTTCTTGTGTTGCACTTATAAGCAACTTATATGTTAGGGTTATACGAACATTTTATGTCCGTAGTAACATAAATTAGGCTACTGATATCTGCAACTTCAATTTGTATGGTATGTCGAGATGAAATAGGATTTAACGATGACTCTTAGTTGACAACTTTTAACTTGTAAACTTGCTTGCATCCATAATTTTATATTCTGCATTAGCTATATGTATATCTTAATGTTATAGATATCATAACTTAAAGTATGTTTACAACAATGATCGAGATGCAATAATAATATAAAGTGATTGTAATAAGACAATAAATTGTTTGTTTTTGTATCGGTACAGTTACTACGAGATGAAATCAATAAGACCTTCTTAGTATAGCGCAAAAACGGAACAACTAATGTAAGATGATAACCCAAAGTGTAAATCATTTGACATTTTCCAAGTTATCAGTTAGTGCAACATCTTGTGTCCCAGGTATAAGAGAAGCTCGAATAAATTGTTACTATTTTTATTATATTGACTTAGTTCTATAACTCCAACGCCTAACTTACTCATTGTACCTTGTTGTTATTCAATCGGTTATGAAATCTATATCCCTTGCTCTGTTGTGAACGTTAATTATGATTATTACTCTCATGTTCTCTCCAGTTTATTTTTATACTGTAGTACTACTAATAATTGCCGAAATCGAGTTTAAGCTGAATGTTGCAGAAAAATTTAGATAGATTAGAGTAATGTAAAATGAAATGCACTGTTGAAGTCTGCTCAAAGTTTTTAGTACGATAATAATTAATTTGTCAATTAGTTGATGACTACAGAATATCTTGATGGTGATACTTTGCATAAATATGTTTGTACTTTTGCTGTAGCTTTTAGGGCTTTGACTGATGCTTTATTAGAATTAGATTACTGTACCGCTATTATATATGTATGGCCTTGTATTAAAGAAAGGAATATATAATATAACATTCAATTCTGAAACTCTGGCGCACAATAACTGTAATCTACATTTAGTAGTTATATATCAAATATAAGTTCTTACATGTGTCCATTGTATATCGGCGTCTTTAAATTTTTCTGACGTGTACATTATTTTCATGTTATGCTCGATATATACTTTTATGCCAGTTAATGTTTACGGTTGCTTTAACTGTAACGTTAGTGTTCAACAGTTGATACGTCAGCAAACCTTAATATAGCTCTAGTTTTAGCTAAATATACTTATTAGAAAAGATATTAGATAAAACGACTAAATTCTCGAAATTGCCCATGGTTATATTTTACTGACGTCTGTGATTACAACGAATCATTATAGCAATATTCGAGCTTATTTTAGGAGCGCATACATTACGCTATGTATTATTATTATTAGCCCGATATTACGGTAAACTATTTAGAATTTAATGCACGATAACCTACAAAAATCAGATGTGAGCATGGATATTTAAAAACTCAACGCTAATTTCATTAATGTATTATTTGACCAATTTTAGTCTTCTAAGCTTAATTAGTATGTTAATGCTTAAGAATTTTGTACAGACCTTTACTTTTACAGCCCGTATCTAGTATAAGTTGATTGAACTCAAGCTTTAATTTTCCGAAATTTGGCGAATAATTATATACTCGCATGATTAGAATATTGCCTACTTGTGATACTTAGCATAGTTTTTTACTGAATAGAATACAGTATTATAATATATCACTTCGCTTAGCTTGATATACGTATATTTGATAAATTCTCGAAGTACATTATTATAACTTAAAAAATCCGTCAGAATCTTTCAATATTGTAGTCGATATCTAGTTGTATATTTATGCAAGTTCTAGCACATTGTAATAAATTGGATCCGTTTCAGTAAAATTATGTCCGAGTTTAATTCTTGCATCATTGATTATATTGCACGAGATTAGAGAATAAGGAGTAATAAAATGGTTTATCATTATGAATGCAGATATCATGATAAAGGAATACACCATTGCACTCATTGTCATCTCAAAGCTCCTGTAATGTAAGCTACTATACACAATATAGATTACTAAAATACCTTAAAATTAACGAAACTAAATAAAACTTTGTTATATAGAATATATGATGGCTTAGTGATTTTTTACAATTTTATTAAGCGAAATATGACTAAAAAAAATCAAAGACGAATGCAGCATACACGGCATTCTATTGCTCCTGTAAATCACACTTTATTGTGCACCGCATAGTATCTGATATAGCGTGTTCAGTAGATGATAAAAGCATAAATAATAACTTAAATGTGATTAGGAAAAGTGATTTCCTTCAAGCGGCGTCAATTCAAATATTAGTTGCAAATTTGAATGTTTAGCAAGCCTTGCTGATACATTGTCTGTTTCGTGTTTTTAGTGAAGTAATACTACTGTAGAATTATAATGAACCCTGCGTTATAGGAATACTGACAGGGATGAATTTTCTTACAGGTTTATATTCTCGAGCAGCTCGACTATTACTCAAATGGGTACATAAATAAAGGGATTTATATTAATTTATTGAATCATTTTTTATAATATATTGGTTGGTGAGTCAGTAAGAACGAGAACTTCAAAATACATAGAAGGAGTTTACTGTCGCAGAGATTGAACTGACTAGCAATCAGATAGCTGCAATATAACAATTACAAATCAGGGATAGTAGGGTCGCGAATGGCTGAGAAACTAAAGGTATAGAATTAAAACAGAGGCCAAGATAATTATTCAGAAAACACACATACTACTGTATATAGAGTTCAGGACACTCACATACGTTAGACATCTTAAGATGAAAATATGACAACACTAGTTAATACGCTATTTTGATCTTATCAAGAGGTATAATCAAAGTGGTATCGTTCAATAAAGCAAACATTACAAATATAGCATTAAACTTTAGTCATAACAACAGTAGAGTTCAAAAACAAACATAATAAATAATTTGCTATGATGAATTAAACATAACACTACATGTAACGCAGCATGTGGCAATTGATCATGACACTTTTTCAAATTTTCTATCCTAGACTATGTACTACTTTGGGTAAAAGTAATCTTTGAATTTGAAAGTAAAGCAAATTGATCTAGATGGATTGCATTATATTAATACCCACATATGTTTGGTAGATATCTATATGGAATTAAGCCTTTGAGCTATTTAATGTTACATGTGATATAAAATATAGCGCGCTAATATCAGTATTAGTATGTGTCGTTTACTGCTATCATCGTTTTCAAGCCGTATGATAATACCAACACTTTCTACGGGATTTTCGAAAGCAATCAAATGGCGAGGTGCTATGTGATTAAATAGTGATTGCACCTTAACTCAGATATAGTAGTAAGGAAAGATTATTAAAGGAATTATCAGTTATAAATATTGAGATAAAAGTGCTAAATTCGATGCTAAATCAGCTACTAGTGCTTCTCTCTCTGCTATTGATTGAGTAACTTGGCTTTGAAGGTCAGCAACTAGATTTTAAAAGAATGAAGTCGGTAATTGAGTACACTATAAAATATTAGTATTGCATTCCATCATACATCTGATAGGAGAAATGTGAAAATTTTTATTACGTAACCTAGGACATTACGATTAGGTATTCAAAGCTAAAATATTGTAATTATTTCTTACATCTAGAAATACGCATGTATTCTATATCATTGATTTTAAAGTTACCGTACGTTTTTTTAATGAATGGGAATTTGTGTTAAGGAATTGAGACTATAATTAGTAAATTGAACTATGCAATCTTAGAACATTACGGCACAGTAAACTGCAAGCCTCTCTAGACAAACTTTATTACCATATTAACTAGTTTGTAGTCAATATACGTAAGCATTAACTATAATTATCGGTATATATGATTGATCATGTTATGAGAGCTTTACCGTAATCTAGTAAATGCATGAATTAAGATCAATACTGATACTTCCTTAGATAATTTATCCTATAAAAATTGCTGCATCTACTATGTAAGAGTTTTTTCGTGATAAATATATTATTATTATAATCAGATTGAGCAGTCGGTTCATGAACGTAATTAATTTTTCCAGAACTTCTCCATGCTATAAATAATTGAAATTAGTCTATCGGCTTTTATGGATGACAATTAACTATTCTTATAGATCGTCATGCTACGAAACTATTTCATAGAATAGAATTACAGAATTGGTTTTCCAAATATTCTTTATGAGTACCAAATTACGTAGTCAAGAATGACTTACCCACTCATGAGTTGCAATCCATGGATTAATTATGCTTCTATCCAGTTGATGGTCCATTTTGGGTATACAGAAAGCAACTAATTCATCGCACAACTGCGCTAAGCTTTTTAAATCTTTTCTTAACAAACTGAAGAGATCAGGAAATTGTAAGGTATCCTGATATATTTTAGTTGAAGAAAAATTTCCAAGCAGAGCTGTAATATTCATGCCCTAGTTATAATAGTGCATCGATAATTATTGTGTTTATATGTAAAATAAAATTAAAACTTGGATTATGACTGGTTATACAATGGTTATCTATCTAATAATCCAAATTGAAGTTTGTAAGGTAAAAGTAAATATAGCGGGTTTATCGTTAAGCCTGTCTAGAAATTACGACTTCATTTGATCGGCTATTGCCGGAAGGCACAATAACTAATTTTTTTTCAGTCAAGACTGTATAACTTCAATTCAATTATAGCTATAAAAATCTAATGTGTAAGTAAGCAATCCTATACTTAGTTAGCTTATATACCTCCTCAAGAAGAAGTAAGATCAGCAGATCTTTACGAATATACTATATAACCTTGCCTAGGGGATAAATTGTTTCGCGACTACTAGATAAAAGACTCTTTTCATTTTCCGTTCGATAGAAGTAAATGTAGCACTTGTCAGAGATTTTATTAAGCTTGCCGAGCTTGTTCATTACTGTGACTACTAGATTAAAGGTTCTTTTCATATTTAATTTCAGGTATGAAAGTGCATCGAGCAATATGCCACCGTGTTCAGCAGGTTATAAAATGAACTTGCCTAATACGTGATAATTTCAGAGCAAAAGCGACTATGCTACTCTAGTTTATTATAGAAATAAATCACCTGGCTGGGAATCGAAATATATATATTGTCTTTACTAATATTGCCATGAATGATTGAATAACGGCGCAGCGACTTGATTGCTTTTTCGGTATCTTGCATGATTCTTCTGACATTTTCAGCAGTCAGATAATGAGATTGGCTATGGATCATATCACTTAGGATCTTGATATCATTTTCTCGTATCTGGTAGCATACAATCCTAATAATCAAATGCTAGTATTCATTCACTGTATCGGATCAACTTACTGAATGAAAAATCAGTTTTTAAACTGTACAATAATGACTACAAACACTATAATTCCCGTCTATCGTAAAACATAACGTGAATATAATATACTGGATACACGCAATTCACACTCTTACAGTTTGTTTTTGAGCTGTCTAATGTTTCCATTTGTTTTAATTTTGCATTTATGATCTGTTAAACATATACATGGGACAATGTTATCCATCTGCCAGTTTCGTAATTTGATCGTGCAATAAAAATTTTTCTCGGTTTCCCATTGCTTCTTTTCCTTTCTGTCGTAATACTTGAGCCAGGTAGGAATACCATCGGGATCATTTTGACCGAATATTTTGGCTTTATAAAATTCCTAGGTATCGTTATAAACATCGTTAATTGTATAATTATTAATCTATGTTATATTGGATTGAAAATACTGCTAGCATGTTTCTATATTATCTAGCTAACTGTAATAAGGCCTATTCCTATTTCTACACTAATGAAGACCAGTCAAAAATTATTTCCAAATTTAGCGAATACAAACAGTTTATTACTGAATATTTATCGCTGGAATGTAGTAGTAATAAGTAGACAACGCAGCTTGTATACCGCTAGATTTCAGACTGGCTTCCCTCCAATAGGAGTTAGCAGTCTTTCATAGTCTTACAAAAGTGTTAGCAAATAGATTTATCGGATACTCTTATTGAGACATCGAGTCTTTTCACTTAGAGTTATTGATAGCGACTCTATTTTATCTACGTGTAGGTATTTCATGATCCTTTCGTCTACATGGAACATTCCTGACACCGCCGATCCTGTCCAGACCTTCGTTGCCAGCTTACTCTTAAGTTACAATAACTTTCTTACAAACAATTTATTCTAGCTTCATCGTTTAAGAATGGGTTATATTTAACTTAAGTTAGATCCAATAATTTCAATTTTATCTCATAAAGCTTTGATTTACAGCGACATTAGAGCCACTTAATCGTCGCTATAGAGGAATTATAGGCTACAATTTTAATTATCGAACAGTGTAGTAAGATTAAGGAAGTGATGAAATGGATAGAAATTTATTATTGGTGAATATGTTGAAGCAATAATACACTATGAAATTTCATGGTCAACGATGCAAATGAATAGAGCATGGCTTAGATACTTTCCATTGCCTGAAGTTTTGAGTATTTGCTAAGTCATCAGCCAGTAATTTGTTAAATAAGCGTTTGTGATTAATCCCTTATTATTTTTGAAACGAGATGTTACAGTACATGCGATTTTCGGCCATTTTTTATATGCTTCAAGTATGGTAGTAAGCGAGCAATGTCTGTTCACTACGTTCGATCAGGCATTAAAATTTAAAATATCTACTATTATTATGAGTGCTCAAGGATAAAGAATACTGCATCAACAGAAAATATTCCACTTGCTATGTGCATTAATGTTTTATTAAGAAAATGCAATTTTTTAATATAAAAATAAAAAAATATTCTAAAACTTACAGACGAATTGGCAAGTATCGACGAGGTTATGGTTAGCGATACTTTTTGAATGGAGCTGGTCGAATTACCTAATTAAAATTTATAACATTTATTATGCTTATGAAACAGAAAGGTTTCCTCCCAATTAACATTAGTCAAGCTAGGCCGTATCATCATCACAGTTATTGAATATTACTTTTAAAGTATTACTGGCATCATATTGCTGGCTATTCTGCGTCAAAATCCCTATAGTCTTATTAATTAGTATCCAGCTATGCTTCTACATAATTTCTTCAATAAATTCTTACTCACTTGTACTGTAACTCTCATTTTTGAGATTTCGCTGCTCTTGCCTAGTAAACAAATGGATTGTAGCGAAACAACGTTGAAAATTTCTAGCAATAGTTCCAGCCTTATTTAAAAAAGTTTGCGTAAATAGGGTATACAAGATCGGATTAATGCATGAATTCATAGGTAAGGAGAGGATGGCTACGAATGGCATGGTATGGGTATCCAACTCAGAGCGAAGTAAACTGCCTATGAAGACGATATAAAATGGTAACCAGCAGGTAAGATCAGTTATGACGATTGTGATCATTTTCATCTGCATAATCTTATCCACTTTAGACATGGTATGATTAGTATCTCGACGCGATTTCGTTAATGTGACAATAATTGTGATATACATGATGGTAATGATGATCCAAATGATAAGAGTTAGGCCGCAGTAAACTAATGACCATACTAGTAGATAATGATTCTCTATGTTTCCCGGCAGGCAAGCACCATTATTACCATATAAACGATTTCTATATGGTTGATTAACGCTGTAGATTATCGGTAGAGCAACAAATGCGACGAAAATTGACCATGATACCAACAAGGAAAGCACAATGTTACGATAGGATAAACGATAATTGGCAAATGGAAAGACCAAGAATAAGAAGCGATCCAAAGTGATAAGAAACATAATCATGGTCGACATGAGAGATGATATAGAAATCAGAAATGAAGATAATAAACAAATTGGACTTCGTAACCAAATTTCATGAAATTCAGCAAAATTTCCAGCATAATAAACATCGGATGATGCGATGAAAATGAGATAGAATCCCATTAATAAATCTGCGACTGATAGATTGATAACTAGCGTTGTAACGATATTGCTTTTCGCTTGGTTTCTTCCGTGCCAAATGATTGAAATAATATTACCAGTAATGGAGAATATGCTAATAAACCAAACAAATGTTCGTAAAACTCCATGTGATAAAATATGAGTGCAAGTTGACAAGCTGAACTGATTAGGTAGTGGTTCGCATAGAAGTACATCTGCAGGCGCAATACAGCACAAGTATTCAAGTGTGGTATACCTATTTATGATTAAATAGACGAGTTTTAAGGCGATTATTGCATCAAGTCTTCAAGTATCATTTTATTGAATATTTTCTTGAACGAGAGTTATGAGCTTTATAAAATTTTTAACTAAACGACCGAAAGTGATGCTATACAGCGCTATAAATACATTGCTAAAAGATATTGTAGTTTCTATGCTAGTTTATACTAACTTGCAAAGTCATCAGTTTTGCGTTGCTAAAATCAAGTGCCATTTCGCTTGCTTTATGCAAGAAAAAGTGGGCAAAATCATTTAAAGCAACAATTTGGTTCAATTATGCTACGAAATTGTTATAATTTTTGGTTAGCGAAATTTTAAAATAGGTATATGGCGTATTCTGAACTTTGTAAACATTTGGGTTGGAATGCAAAGTAATAGAATACTTGTTATATGGAGTCTCAAATCCAACTATTGAGCAATGACTTAGTAAATGTCCGATTTTAAAGGTACGATATAAAAGCTTTTTTGAAAAAATATTGTATAACACTAAAAGAAATAACATCTTCTTAAATTTAAGTATATAGTAGGATCAAAGAAAATCCTCTAATTATGATCAGGCTAAGACGAATATAAATCTTTTAAAAGTATATTTTCATCGTTACGAGATATTCATTTAAAATTTAAATCCTATGCCATGCTGACACGATTTGATTATGTAAGTTACGGCTAATATCATAAATTTAATAATATTGGAATTATTGTAATAGCAGCAATGTTAAAGGTCATTTTTGGGGGATACTTTCAATATTATTAAATTCTCAGGTATTGGCCGTAACATGAATATCTGTACACTTCTTGGTTCGTATATTCATTTTTAGTCAAATCTGAAATCGTTAACATAATAGCAGCTTCGAGATTTTCTAACGTAGATTACCCTAAGAATAAAATTTTGCTAGCCCCTATTTACGTTACATTTACGGTACCGATTTTATACTCATGTTATTATTGATTTGATCGTTAAAATCACTATCAATCATCCATCGCACTTATGATTCAATATTGAAAATATAGCAACTTTATAGCCGAAAGGTACCATTTTAGTACAAGGTCTTTCGATTGAAATATTATTGAAAAAAGCCCTAAAAGACTTACTATCATATAATAAATATATGTGTATGTATACGGGAATTTATTCAATATACTGTGAATAATAATGATTGCAACAGTACTCGCGTATAATATGGCATAAGAATTCTATGGGTCATCTTTTCCTTTCAATTGTGCAGCCTTAATAATAATAATTTCAAATTTCATCATTTCCAAATGACTTTGTACTAATTTATGTTTGCACTGCGTTGCGCAATATATTATTAGTCATCATTATGATGAAATACAAGTCTGCTTTGCTATCATAACATTATGGACATTCAATTAAAAGAGGACCTTGATTATAATTTTAAATTAATATCGTATACAGGACGGTATAGAAAACTTCGAAAAAATATCGCTATAAATATTGCAAGTTGAGACGTAAGAATAAGTAACTTACAGTGAATTTAGATATCTAGAGCCAACAAAGGAAAGTTTAGTAAACTCCAGTACTGGATTGTTTCTTAAATTTCTGATGAAAAAATCCGCAGTAATTATTGATGTTATCATTTCAATTTTCAGAAGCGTTGGAAACCTTTATCAATTTTTGCCTTAATCGCTCACCATGCTGCTATAATTTTATACCAATTCAAGTTGTAAACTTATAAATTTATTATTCTACGCTTACAATATATATAGATGTGTAAATATTAATAAGCAGCGTGGTCCTATTTGGCTTATTCGGTTGTTTGCAACATTTCTAAAATATATCAAATAAAAACGTTTGAGTTTAGTAGTCAGTTTATTACCGAAAAATGTTGTCTGTTGCTATATTTCAAGAATGTATGCTTATTAGCTCTGGCAATTATTGTCAACATATTAGTAGCAATAAATTTAGATGTTAGCTAAATATAAGAATAATCTATGTAAGACTGTCAATATTAATGCTAGCTGTTGGTTTGCTTTGTACACTGTGAATAAATATACTGCAAAATCTAATTTATGAAGCTGACAAAATAAGATAATTTTAAGTATACATGCAATTTAATCTATGAATTTGGTAGATTCGTCACAAAACCGCTTTTGCAGTAAAGCAACCTAGTTTGCAATTCAAATGTCTCGCTCCCGAAACGCCTATTAGGGGAAAATATCTGCTCTATCATGACAGAAATAACACTTCAATAAAAAGAAATTAAACAATTTATGATCTAGGTCAAACGTGGGTTCTCGAAAAGTCTCTTTAAAGCTCAATATATGGCGGGTTGATTAACTTCTATAATAGTTTTGGAGTCCTAGTGAATACTGTGAATATTGGAGTTTTGCTATACGTTGGATAATGAATCTTAAATTATAGGTATCCAACATACAGATATTTAATTTTCACAGGAGATGTCCCACTACTGAGTACACAAATGTCCGTGATGTTGTTGGTGTCAAGAATCCTGCAACATGAAATTTAATTATGATAACCTTAAAATTATAAAGCACAAACAATGAAATTCAAATTTATGAATTTGTGATAAACTATCTTTGAAATACTGAAACTAGAACTATGGTATTTTTTGAAAACTTCATTTTTTACATAAATTTGATTCTTCTAATAAAACCAAGGAGCATCAACCTTCGCTCATCTATTTATGATTATATTCAATTGTGTACATAAAAACTTCTTTTAACAAAATCACAACTTGCCAATTTTGTTAAACCTCTAGATCGATCAAAAATTTACTATCGTACGATTTATTATAATTGTTCATAATTGATTCTAACTGAAGAGTCACGGTCAGTTCTTTATGATACTAATACTTAATACAATCTAATACGTAGCTATTCAAAACATCGTAATATATGTATCATTGCAATAAACCTACAATACGGACCATAAATATCATCTGAAAATATATACTTGTACGATCATGCAATCTAATGTGTAACCTAAACTATTTTCGTACAAAATTATAATTTTTATCATAAACCCATTTTTAGCGCTGCTCTACAAAACAGGTATATACGAATAACTTAAATTTACTCACAATTCTTGCAAAGATTGTATGGCAATCAACGAAAGATAATCAGCCCTTTTAAGCTGATTATGACTTAAATGTCTACAAGAAATATGACGTAAAAAAAATTTACTTTAGACTTTAGAATTATAAATTAGTAAATGTATCATGTTTCGTATCTATTTTCCTTCATGCTATACTCCCATTTTTAAAGAATAATAGGATACTATACCAAATTACTTTTGAAGGTATAAGTCATAGAATTTTAATATTTAGGAATGTAAGATTAAAAGAAATGTTATACTATTCAGACGCATATGTCTTAATTCTTTGTAAATCGTACAGTGTCTTCACGATTGCTGTTTGTCTTATAGCAATTTTATTCACCGACGTCAGGTTAGCGTTATCAATTATGCTACAGATATAATTGGAATAATGTCAGATATGATCTGTTCATATGGTACTGATTAGTTTAATATTCAAATTTTGCTATTAGGGGTTGTATTATAAATTAGTCAAGAAACTTACAGCCGGTTTACTTGGTATGAACTCGTAAAAAGATTATGAGATAACTGATCAAAGGAATTGCCACTTAGAATTCTGTAAATTATGATTTATATAACAAAGTCATTTAAATTTCCTTAGTATAATTCGTTTATAATATCTTAATTTTAAACATTTAAGAAATGGTACCAACATACAATTCATTGTAAAGGATTCTGCCGGATATGATATTCTGAAGTTTAGAAACTGAAAGGTTGGTAAAACTCAGATCCCTACATTACATAAATAAAAATATAGTGAAGTATAAAGATTAGAAGAACTATTATATTAAAAAAATCAAATGGCAATAGCTATATTCCAATAGTTGATAACTCTTAATAGACTTAATTAATCTTAAAATAGTAATAGATTAGCTTCCTTGGGGAGGATGTTTGAAAATAATAGTAAAATACGTTGCAATAATTATAGCAGAAAATAAAAAGTACATTTGGTAATATAAAACTTTCAGAAAAAGATTATTTTCATAATAGCAAATCTACGTTAAATTAAGTTACGAAAAGAAACTAACTTACAAATTAATAAGATTTTTGAGATCTTGCAATAGATTTTCGTTTGTTCCTCTCAAATTATTGCCTGTCAGATATCTGTCATGAGGTATTTCAAAAGTACATATCAAAAGTAATATTATCAGGTGCTTTTCAAAACATATTTAATTAAAAAATCAAAACTATTCTACTTATAATTACTAAGGGTAAATAAGAATACGCAAGTAATTTAGAGATCAGCTATCACAAAGTTTATAGGTAATAAAATGGAAATTTCAGTGAAACTTCTTGTATTAGCTATTGAAATTATGATTCAATAACGTTTCATGATGGATTGAAAATCTTACGAATTAACTATATGCTAAATTATGTTCTACGGCATTTTTCATTATCATAGTCTTTTAGATAGATGATATGTATTTAAATTGAATTTTATAACTAGACACTAATATTGCATTTCGTATATACAGTACCGGAGAATACAGTAAGTATTATTTCACGTTGGTGGAAATTGATCAAAAGACGAAATACGCTAGCGGTGCATAACATTTAAATGACATACTACAGAATCACATATTTGGTGGGAGGAATTTAGACCTTATAACTAATTCCAATGTTTATCTATCAATGCATTTTGTCTGATTAGATATAGTTATATAACTTACAGGCCGTTTATGCGAGACACTACTTTAAAAAAATCATGATTAATGATTGATTTGTTGAAATTGCAGTTTCTAATATACCTAGCAAA